ATTTCAACCAATTAAGTTTAGATAGAGAGTGGAGTTCTTATTTAATCCAAAGCTTCAGGGAATTTTGGAATATCTACCTTATATTTTTCTTTTTTCTCTTTGATAGCAGTCTTAAAGAAATAAACTGTTGGATCATATAATCTCACTTAAAATTCACTAGCAATATCTAAATATTTATTTTCATTTTCCTCCTGTTCAACTTTCCTCTTTTAAGTTTTTGATTATTATTATTATTATTATTATTAGGATTGTGACTTTTATTATCTTTTCTCTTCTGGTTAATTTTATATAGAGACTAATTATGGACCTCCTCTATTTCCATCTCCATCTCCTTTTTCATTTCCATCTCCATTTCCATCTCCACCTCCATCTCCATCATCTGGTTTATTGTTATCCCCTCCTTCATTCAATTCTTCTGGATCCTATGAATCTTTTGATGGGGGTCTTCGATGTTTTCTAAATGATAGGTAAGCATTGGGGTAAAATATTTATAAATTGGCAATAGTTGCAACTAGATGGATAGTTTATCTAATCATTTGTGCATCCTTAACATAAGGCAATATCTATTCTAGTTTTTCATATTAACCATTAAGAGCAATTGATCTTAGAGTATTTTCAATATTTATATATTAAATATTATCTTTGATTGCTGAAATGAATCTTCTCACATCCAATTTTGATGCCCAATTTTTACCTTAGGCAAAAATGTAAGGTTATATCTTATTTAAATTAGGGTATGTTTTCTTAGGTTTTGGAATATCAAGATCAATCAAAGTGTGAATTTATTACATACACATATTCTATCTGAAAAAATCAATATATCTTAATTTCCATTTTTCATCTATTTTTTTTTCATTATTTCTTATCCATAATGCTACTTATTATTGAGTAACCCCAACAGATTTTCTAGTTTAAAATGAATTTAAAATAATTCCATGTACATGTTCACCAAACTTATATTATTTCTCATTTGTCAAAGGTAATATCTTCTCTGCCTTATAAGTCAATAACAATTATTCAACTTACTTTTTATCAAGTAAATCTTTATACGATCCATCTTCATCATTAAAAATCACATTAGGATCTACTATAAATTCAAATAACTAGCGATCATATTCCAATTATTTTTTTTCTCCTTCTCCTTCTCCTTCTCCCTCTGCTCCTGCATTTTCATTTCCTTAATCTTTTGTTAATACCAATCTTATTAAATCTCTTAATGGTTCTTTATCCTTACACTTAGACAATGCTTTAGCCAACTATTTAATATCCAATTTATCCAAACTTTAAACTGGGAATTCTGTCAATAAAATATTAAATTTAATTCCATTAAACAACTCAAGTATAGTAGATGGTGAACAATCATATTAATATTATAAAGGGTAATATGAAGATGTAATATTAGTTGGCATAGGTGCAACTAATAATTCTATATATTATTAAGTAAACTCTCTTAATTAAGATAATAATTGAGAGGCTACTTATTCAAGTCTTTAAGATCTAAGATTTCTGATTTCCAATAACATTAATGTCCATATTTAAATTGTGTAAAGAATCTTTTGATTTTATTCTGATTCTACATCTGTTGGGTCATAGTTTTAATTTTACTTGACTTCATCATACATTTATTAGAGAATAGCAAACAATTTTTGTTATTATTTATGTTTGATTAATTATCGATAAGGTAAATTGACATATCTAATTATTTTTAATTCATTATATGGTGGAATCCATTTAATAAATCTAAATAGATCATCAAATGATTAGAATAATGTTTCAGGTAATTTACCAATTATTTAAGAAATTACCAATTGATTCTAACTATCCCAAACAAATGAAGATTTTGCTTTCTATTCTTATTATTATTCTTATCCTTCTTATCCTTCTTATTATTAAGTATTCTCCTCTTCATCAATATTAGGAGTTAACATTTAGCAAATGAATAATGATGTACCAATTTCTCTTTAGACTCTATCTAATTTCTTTTTACATTTAGATCTTATTAGTTCTAAGTACAACCCTAGAGGAGTAAAATCACCAGCTCTTAATTTTTGAGATTTTAATGTCTCAAAATTAGATTCAGAGGATTCATTCGCTAATAATTCAATATTTCTTAATAGATCTAATAAATCACTTTGATTTAAATCTGGATTTAAAAGTAGACAATGTATCATATTTTTTTTATAATCCTTTTACATTCTGAAATGTTCAAAAGCTTTTCTAGCTTTTTCACGTTCTTTTCCTTAATTATATAGATCATCCTCTGAAGGTTCTTTATTTTCTTTTTCTTTTTATTATTTAGTACCACCATCACCTCCATTATCTCCATCACCTCCATTATCTCCATCACCTCCATCATTTCCATCACCTCCATTATTATCATTATTTTGTTCATCTTTCTTTGTTTCCTTTTTAGGTACTCTACCTTCAAATAATTCAGAATTTGGATCAAATTTGCTGAATATATTTTTTAATTAATCAGGATAAGCTGCAAAAAGTGATTTAATAACATCAAAAGGTGCTGTTTCCAACATTCTAGAAAATGGTGTATTTCCTTATTCATCGGCTACAAAAAACCATTCAGAATAATTTTCAAATATAATATGACTCTTATTCCATTTTTATCTTCTTACTACTTCATGCATTATATTTTATCCTATTGATTTTAATTATAAGGAATCTGATTTGTCATCTAAATCTTTATTTTTTGGGAAACATGGAATTTCAAAATATATAGACTTTTTAGCTTCAACATGTGCTTTCTTTAAAGCTCTTGTAAATTTAGTATCTACTTTAAAATTTTCAATCATTCTATTTAATTTACTTAATACCATAACATGCTCATAATTTTTAGGGTCAAAATCTAAAAATAATATTAATTAATAGATTACTTTATAAAAAGGGAGGTGTATCAGATAATACATTCTCTGGAGCATAAGAATAATTTTAAATCAACAATCCAACTTCAGGTTTCTTTTCTAAAGTTTTGATAAATTCAATAACTGATTTAAGATTTGTATTTTTCCTTAAATGTTATCCAATATTTTAGAACAAATTATTAGAAAAACTTTCTAAATTCATATCATCTTCTCCAATAATTTTCAACTCTTACATGGCTTCCAATACTCCTGATAGATCATCTGTAACAAGTAAAAAGTCCATTAAACAATCACCAAATTCTGAACATTCAGTTAATAATAATTAATTAGCAGTACAACCCATAGTATATAAAGCTTCTTCAATAACTTTTCTTGTTAATCTTCCTTATCTACTAAGATTTCTCATATTTGCTTAAACTTCAGTAAATGAACCATTTTTATCCAACTCTTTAATCAATGCCATAGTAGCATCAGCATGTTATTTTCTCATATATCTTGATGTTGGTCTAGATCTACCATATTTATCTGGATCTGTATATTTTTCTTCATATATAATGTGTAATTGTCCACATTCATCAGCAACTACTTCAAGAGTGCATTCAGCAACAACCTCTTAAGAGACTTTATCAATCCTCTCAAGTACAAATTTATCATGTTCATCAATATACCATCTGTATTCTTAGCCTGACATTGCAGCATCAATGATTCTGTGTCTAGCCTTTTCTTCTTCTGTTCTAGGGGATCCTGGAATTCCAGAATGTTTATCTTAATATTAAATATGCATTTCATACTTAAAGGAATCTTCTCATGACCAAGTTAAATAAGTTAAAATTAGACATTACCAATATAGGATTTTGTTTATTTCATTGTTTTAAACATTTCTTTCTCAATTTAAGTTTCACATATAATTTTTGATTTAAAATCAAGTATTTCTCTTGCATTTTAATAATCATTGTTTGATATATCAAATTATCCAACATATTTCTAAAATTTAATATTTATATATAATTACTTCATCATTATTTTTTATTTTCCATAGTATTATATCAACTGGTTCATATGCATTTCTAGTGTATACAAAATCTAAAAGATCTTGTTAAGCTGCATCAAATTCCTTTGGAGTTGTCTTCATTAAACTTTTTTTACGATAGATGGCTTCCCAACAAAACAATGAAGGAATCTAATAAAGATTAATTCATTTTTATACCTTCTCATTCTTCTAGTTATATTCATTGAAAAATTTAAGTTTTTGGATACGCAATACACATAACACAGTATTATTATTAAGTTTTGGTTCAATCGATCCAAATAACAATTGTGTTTGTGTCTTCTTGAATTGTCCGTTTGTCAATTAATTTAATGACTTCAAATAAACTTAAAGTTTGGGTCCTTGCAATTATTGTTATTATTCTCCCCCAACTCCTTTTCCGGTCCCTGGTTAAACAGATTCAGGAGTAGCATCCAAACTATCTAAAGGCTTAAGTTTTTTCAGGCTTCTAGCGATCTCTGTGTTTTTGCCTACAACCACTTGTGGCTTTATATTCATGGATTAAGATATTAACGATTGTGGGAAAACTACAGTGTCATTCTGTCCTTCTTTTCTATCAAATAAATGAAGTCTCTTACACTGGTAAACTCACCAATGAGTATATCATCGATGAATTTTAATCCTTTGGAACATTGGCTGTCTTAGGCAAAGGTTTCAACTCTCCAATCGACTATATTTATGAAATTTGTAATTTACTTTTGTTACATTTGCCTTTTGAGCCTTCTGCTCCTTAATTGATTCTGAATAGAGGAATTAAGACGGCTTCATTTGATAAACAGTTTTATTTTTTAATATAAAAATTAAAATCTTTATTGATGTATTTTCAGCTATAAGAATAGGAATTTAAAACTAAAACGAAAATTATTTAAATATTCACACTATTTTACAATAACCATGTCATAGACATCCTATAAATTTATTATACAACTAATAAGTATCTATATTACCTTTTTTCAGAATTCATCAAATTCTTTTGAATTTACAAAATAATCCCAAAGACTTTATATAAAGATTTGTTCAATTAATCGAATTTTGCTATTATAAACATAGGTTTAAATTATATATTATTTTAATAAATGTAATAATAAAAAGTGCTCTTTGCAAACAAATAGAGTGTTTACCTTTCCTAAGTTTACTTTCAAGGTACTAAATACAGATTATATTCAACATCTGAGTACAATTATGTTGTTAAAGTATATGACAATGGATAGGAGAAAGTAATAACTTAAATTATGAATTCTAAATTAGTATTTGAATACTGAATTACAAGCTGTTCATATTTTCAAAGATTATGGAAATAGTAATATTGCCAAAGCCCTTGAAGGGGATCTGCAATAAAATATTAAAGTAATAGTTTTTGAAAAAGCTGAAGTCCTCCAAAATATTTTGAAGGATTCATAAAAAGGTTTAGAGGAACCTCAAGTCCTAAAAGTAAGCAGAAAAATAAGTGTAGATCTTATTAGATTTGAGCAAAGGATTAAAATAATGCCATAGTTTAGGCATTACTCATCGTGATATTAGACCTGAAAATATATTGATTGGATTGGACAAATAAGCTAAATTGTGGAATTTTTAACGATGCTTTTTTTAAGTATCAAAATAATTTAATTGAGTAATACGATCATTTACCAAATGAATATATTCCTAAAATTAAAGAAGAAATTGAAACAAATACTTTTGAACATGTGAGAGCACCTGAACAAAAGGATTTCACTTAAAGATGGCCTATAACCAAAAAAGTTGATATATATGCTTTAGGATAATTAATGTATTACATTCTATTTAAAGTGCGCTATGATTAAAATCCTAATTGGATAAAAAAGTACCAAATATATTATATAAGTCCGAAATGGGGTCTCTATAGTAATAAATTGTAAGATTTAATCAGACTACTATTGATTCCTAATCCAAAAGAAAGATTAAGTGCAGAATAAATTGAAGAATACATTCACACATAGATAATAAACTAGAAGTATAAATATATTAATTATTTAGTCCTCTTTAATCTTAAATTCACATAAGAAGTCTATCAACAAATGAAAAAATGAATAGAGAAATAGTTACATAAAGGAATGAAATTGGTAAAAACAATTAATTAGAATTTATTGATTTTCAACATCCCTCTTCATCATCTCTATCAACTAAATTTGTTAAATTAGTCAGTAAAGTAGCCTAAAAAACTGATTTTTGGGTTGCTGCATGTTTGGAAGAAGTTGATGCAGCTCCAAATTAAAAATATTTTCGTTATCTTCATGTTAAAGCATGGTAAAAGAAAGCAAAAATACCAAAGTTTTATGAAAAGCTATCCAACAGATTATAATTAAATTCTGTGATTGTTACTTTTAAAGCTTTGATATTATTACATAATTACTTGAAAAAAGGACCTTAAGAAGCTCTCTTAATTAATAATTAAAATTCATCACCTCTTGCTATATTAGAAAAGATAAAAAGATTTTAAGAAACAACTATGGCCAAAGTTTCTAAGGATAAATTCAGATCTCAGTTTTTTTCTAATTTATTATACAGCTATTCTCTTATATTAATAGAAAAGGTCAAATTTCATTAATATTACTTAAAGTATTTTGAAGGTAATTTTGCAATGGTTCCATTCTTTAATAATATGAATTCTAAGGATAAAGTAAAATTAAGTATTGCTATTTTAAATAATTTGATTAACTTATGGAAACAGTTTAATACTTTCATTAATAGTTTTTCATTCTAAAAGTCATCTCTCTATAATTTATAATTAGGATTTGCAATTACTATGGCAGATGAATTATACAATATTTTGTGTACATGCACACATATATATTATGCTTTAAAATAAAGTACAAATTATATTAGTGGAATTCCAACTTAAAATAATGAAATAAAATAAATCTTTATCTAATTATAAGATGATTTTCAAAACAATTTTTAAAATACTGCACTATTTTTTCAATCATGTAAATAGATTCCTTAATTTTATTAAATAATTCCTGATCCTCCAAGAATTATAATTGAGACTTTGAAAAAAGTACCATTTTTTCAACCTATTAAAGGAGAATTTAATATTTATGATTATCTAAGCTATTCTATGTCAATTGATGGAATTAAATTACCTTAGAGTTATGGTGAAATTATGAGTACTTAAGTGATCGAATATGATGATGAAGTTGTAGAATTGGATCCTAGAAATGAGAAGTTTGCAACATAATATCCAATTAAGCCAGTATTATCAGTATAACCATATAGTGAAAGAGTAAAGAAATTTAGTTTTGATATGGATCCTATTGCAAATAGTTCTACAAATAATACAAACATATAATAATAATAGTAATAGCAATATTAATAATAATAATAATAATAATAATAATAATAATAATAATAATAATAATAATAATAATAATAATAATAATAATAATAATAATAATAATAATAATAATAATAATAATAATAATAATAATAATAATAATAATAATAATAATAATAATAATAATAATAATAATAATAATAATAATAATAATAATAATAATAATAATAATAATAATAATAATAATAATAATAATAATAATAATAATAATAATAATAATAATAATAATAATAATAATAATAATAATAATAATAATAATAATAATAATAATAATAATAATAATAATAATAATAATAATAATAATAATAATAATAATAATAATAATAATAATAATAATAATAATAATAATAATAATAATAATAATAATAATAATAATAATAATAATAATAATAATAATAATAATAATAATAATAATAATAATAATAATAATAATAATAATAATAATAATAATAATAATAATAATAATAATAATAATAATAATAATAATAATAATAATAATAATAATAATAATAATAATAATAATAATAATAATAATAATAATAATAATAATAATAATAATAATAATAATAATAATAATAATAATAATAATAATAATAATAATAATAATAATAATAATAATAATAATAATAATAATAATAATAATAATAATAATAATAATAATAATAATAATAATAATAATAATAATAATAATAATAATAATAATAATAAATAGCATAAGAATCTCAATCTATTAATCTATAGTTATAAAATCAATAAAGTGTAAATAAGATAACCGAATAGAAAAAGAAATAAACGAAACAATAATAATAAGGATCCAACTTGTATTAAGGTTTAGAATTTTCAGATGACGATGAAGAACAACATAATGAGGATGAGACAGAGTAATTTCCTAATAAACCAAATGAACAATAATCAAATAACTTAAGAGCACCTTTAGTTAATTAAAATGTTAAATTAACAAAAGAATTATTAAATGATGATGAATTCTTAAATTGGGGAGAAAATAAGAATGGTTCAAATAAATAAAATAATAATGAGTAAAATTAAAGAATTTAATCTGCAAATTCTTAACCGATAAATTATAATTATTTCGATTAATTTAATTAATTTAATCAGAATAAATAAATCAATAATATTTCTTAATAAAAAGTAAATCTAAGTTAATAAATAAAGTAATATTAATAATCATAATAAAATACTTTTTTAGTAGTTGATTATTTTTAAAAGTAGGGGAGAAGTAAATAAATTATCATCATATTTTAGACGTTTAAGAATGGATGATTAATCATGATCAATTAAAATTAGAAAGATTAATTGGTACTGGAAGTAGTTGTGAAGTTTATAAAGGATATTTGAGAGGAGGTGAAGTAGCAATAAAGAAAATGAAAATAAAGTCTTTGAATGAAAATCATTTAAAAGAATTTAGAAGAGAGATATCTGCATTTGTAACAATTTAGAAACATAATAATTTGGTCTAATTGATGGGTATATCATAAAAAGATGATGAATTATATATTGTAACAGAATTTTGTGCAGGAGGAACATTATTTGATTTATTACATAGAAAAAAACATATAGATATTACTTGGTAGAATAGAGTAAAAATAGCATGGTAAATAGCAGAAGGAATGTTACATTTACATAAATTGAATCCACCATTAATTCATAGAGATTTGAAAAGTTTAAAGTAAATGTTTCTAATAAGAAATATTAGTTTATTATTAGAATAGACATATGATTAATCTAAAGTGAATATAAAGATAGCTGATTTTGGTCTTGCAAGAGTTTAGGCTGATAATGGTGAAATAATGACAGGGATTTTGGGAACATTTGTAATTTATATATATTATGTAAATTTGTAGCATTGGATGGCTCCTGAAGTATTTTAGAATGTACCTTATACTATCAAAGCAGATGTTTATTCTTATGCAGTATTATAATTAATCTAATTTTAGATAGTTTTATGGGAAATATGTTGCAGAGAAACACCTTATAAATCTTTATCTACAAACCCTCCAGCTATTATGAAATTAGTAACTGTTGATAATGGAAGACCAGATCTAAACTTAATTTAGTTAGGATGTCCATAATTTTTAAAAGATTTAATGATTAAATGTTGGGATCAAGATCCAAATAAAAGACCATCATTTTAAGAAATAACTTAATACTTGGGTTAATAATTATGATTTAGTTAATTAGTATGAATTTATTAATCTTTACAATTCATTATATTAAACAACAGCAACTATCATCCTCTTCATATGGGGTATTATAAATCTTCCAATTTTCAACCACATAAATTTTATTTAGATCATCTTTAAATAGTAGTTACTTCTTTTCTTTTTACTATCCTTCTTATTTTTTGAGAATGGATTTAATATTAAGAGCTGTTTTACAAACAACTAATTGGTTTTCACAAATTATATCTGGAGATTCTATATGTAACAAAGATTAAGGTTTTAGAGAATCAATAGCATGAACCCTAGAATTCGTCATTATATTATTATAAATTATTTATATATAACTAACCACAAATCTGAACAAAAATTAAATAATAATTCCAAATGGTTTCATTTAATTTGGCTTAACTCAAAGCTAAATCAATATAAATTAATATAACTTATTAAATTGTAGTTCATATAAAACACAGAGTAATAGGGATTATTAATTATTCAATGCTAAGTTAAAAATGTTTAAATTTATTACTAGAATAGCTTCAATAATAATTATGATATGCATTCACTTCTTTTTCTTAACTATTGCACTATATGCTCTAAATGACTTTTTAGGAATACCAGTAGGAGGTCTTGAGAAGTCATAATATTTAATATGCTAATTCAATTTGATGCCTTCTTCACCTTTCTTAGAATCTTCAATTTAAAAATCTTTATAGTAATATTATGATTACTGAGGATTTCATTGAGTTTATCAGCATCAATATACTTTGATAACGGTTCTAGAGGATCAATGTTATCTATAACAATTTTTCTAGAATTTAATTGAAATTCAACTCCTTTGAATTCTTAATTACGATCTAAAATAACTTGAGATGTTAATTATTATTACATTAATTAAAATAATGGATTGGATAATTATAAGAACTAAAATTGCAACTGATTATAAAAGATAATGCTCTGAATTTTCAAAGCCTGTAAATGAAGCTATAGTTCGAACTTATTAAACTAAAGCGAATGATATTAATATAATTTTTAGAGGAAATTACAAGCTAAATTTTAATTAGAGAATGTTAGATTAAGATTTAATTTTATTACTATCTTGTCTTCAAAATTATAAAGAACATATCAAACACATTGATCTATCATTTAATGAAATCACTAATGTAGGAGTTCAAGAATTATCAAAATTTTTATCAGGTACTCAATCTTAATTAAATAAATAAGGATGTAATTCATTGGAAAGCCTAAATTTACAGAGTAATAAAATTGGTATAGAAGGAGGTGAATTGATTGCAGAAGGTATTAAAGATATACATACTTTGACTCATTTGAATCTGAACTTTAATAATTTATAAACAAAAGGGGCAATGTCTATTGTTGAAATGTTATTTAATAATAAAACAATATTAGAATTAAATTTAGCTAATAATGGTATTGATCATGATGGTGTGATTGTAAATAATCTATATAGATTTATTAGGCAATTACATCAATTTTGAATTGGAAGAATAATTCATTATAAATTTTAAATTTAGATAATCCAGTTTATCATTCTATTGGATAAGAGACAGCAATACATTTTGGCAAAATGTTTCATTCTAATAGAGGATTGGAAAAGATATCTTTACAAAAACATAATTTTACATGTGATGCCATATACATAATTACAGAACATTTATTAGAAAACAATAAATTAAGAGTCTTAGATTTAACAGCAAATAGAATTTCATTTAAAGGATGTGAAGCTATTGCTAAATATTTATGTGGAGAATATTGTGTTTTAGAGAGTCTTATATTAACATCAAATAGAACAGGACATTATGGAGCAAAAGCAATTGCATAGGCTTTAAGCAAGAATGTAAATATATCAAATTATATTTTAGAGAACCTTAATACATTTAGATATGGTTAGAAATGATATTGATGATAATGGTCTAAAAATGATTGCAGAATCATTAGAAACTAATGATATGCTTGTATCACTTAAGCTTTATTAAAATCATTTTGGTTAGATGGCTTTATAAGCATTTCATAAATACAGAATGAAAAATAATAAAAAATAAGGTAGTTCATTATTTATTATATATTATTCTTGCAGCTGAAAGATTCTGGGATTTCCATACTTACATTGTAGACAATCATATTGAAATGGCTTATGTAGAATAAAACATTCCATACGATATTTAAGTATCAAGTCAATATTTTATTAATTGAATTATTTTTATACAAGAATTCATATTAATAATATTAATATCAAATGTAATAAGAAATTGAATTGACAATTGATTAAATTTTAAATCAGATTGATAAACATAATGATGAACTATATTTCTCTGAAGAGAGAGGACTTATTCGTATAGTAGCATTCAAATAAAGCTGATTTGTGTTTTCTTGATAAGGATCTAAAAAAATAATAATAAATTGAAGAGTATATAGATAATTTCTTGTAAAATTGTTTTCTTTTTGCTTAAAATCAATAAAGTTATGTAGAATAAATTCTTAAGGCTTTATCATAATTAGCAATTGTTTAATACTTAGAAATTGGAAGAAGATGTTTTTAAATGGTTTTAGAAATAGTAAGAAGTGGAACTGGTATGGCAGTAATAGCTAGAAATATTATATAGAAATATAGTATTCCTTTATTATAATAATAAAAGGAATTAGAATATGTTCCTACATTTTTTATGGAAGGTATTTTAAAAACAGTAGAATAGAGAGATAATGAGGAAATGGTTCCACTAAAATTAGCTTAATTGAATTTTGTAGATTGGTTGGATTAGATTATGGCTAATTATATGAAAGATATGGATAATTTAAGAGAGGAATAATAATAGAGAGATGTGTTATTTTTAATTTTATGGCATAATTAGCAAAATTCACAAAATTTGCAAATGAATATCATTATGGAGGGATTATATCAAAGAGTTTAGTTTTATTCAAATTATTAGTGGATTCTGATTTAGATGAATAATATATAGGTATATTGTATTTAATTAATAATTCAATGAAAAGGAGTCAGATATGCACAAAAGAAGTATTAGATTCAAGATAAACAGCATGTAATTTTATAAAGGATGTGGAAGATGAATTAAGGAAATATCTATTCATGTTTAAAAAGTTTAGAAATTCTCTTTTAAATCCTGAAACAAAAGAAAATAAAGATACTATTTTATTAAGATATGAGAAAGTTGGGATTCTAATATAAGTATTTGGAATAATATGGAAATCAGATGTGATTGTATAATAATAAATAAAAGAAAGCTTTTTAGTTAATGAATTATTATAGATGGCAACAATTCCAGCAATATATCCTTATTTAATAAATGCAGTTGTTATTTATATTAGAAAACTATTAAAAAATAAAGATATTAAAATATAACAACCTGGAGTTGATAATAATGAAATTGTAAAATATATATGTTTAAAAACACATAATTGTGAATTATTATTACATTATTTAGGAGGAGATTATTTGTATTAATGATGAAACAATTAGATTCAACAATATAAAAATTAACTAAAAATTTAAGTTCATTATTAAATACAAAAATATACATGAAGTATTTAGAAATATTATTAAATTACATAAATTTTTTTCTAAGAATGCTATTGGATATATTAGTCCTATTTCTGATATTTGTATGGAAGTAAGGAGCAGGTAAAACAGAAAGTGTAGTTGCTAATATTTTGATGATATTTACAAAGATTTTAGTTGGAGAGAAATCATCATCTAGAGAAGATTTTGTAACTGTATTCAGTTAAAATGCAACATTATATGCACTTGATATTTTAGAGAGAAATTAAGAACGTGATCTTTTTGAATTAGGAGATGATAATGCAGAATATTAAGAAAAAGACGAATTATCTTTTGGTACAAACAATTTTTTGAAATCATTACATTGTGAACCATTATTACAAGAAAATCTTAAAGGATAATATTAGGCTTAATATATGAAGAATGCACCTTTAAACGAAGATAGTTTATTTACACCTGAAACATTAGATATTGATGTTTAGAGATCTTTTATCGGTAAGTAAAGTTCTTATTTAATATCTGTATTATTCAGTAGAGATGCATTATTGTCATACAAAAAAGTATCAGATAGAATATTAATAAGAATAGCAGAGAATTTAGAAATTAGACCTGAAGATGAAGTTGAAGATTTAAGTAAAGTCAAAAATCCAGGTTTATATGATTTCAAAAGAAATTCTAAAAAATTGGAGGAAAATAGCTTTAGAGAGAAGAGCTAAATAAACAGAAATATGGGATGCTATGAAAACTAGTGCAGATCCATTTATAGTAATTGAAAATTAAGAAGATTCTATTTATCATTAAAGTTAACATTAATTATTCTATGATTAAGTAGAATCCATTAATTTATTAGGTTTCTTAGTTGGTAGAAATCAATCAGCTAAATCATTGTCTTTGAAAGAATATTTTCTTGAAACTTTTGGGGATTAATTAAATTTTGAAAGAATGCTTAATTCAATCAATTTCTATATTCGTGAATATGTTCATAAATACTTTGATAATTTAAATAAATAATAAGAAATTAAAAAATTATCTACTTCAAGAATGAATGAAAAATTAACAACTATATTTTAGGATTACCTATGCCTACAGATCCATAAAGAGGATTAATTAAATAGAAACCATATTTTAATCCAAATAAGATTATTCATTTTCCAATGTTTGCAAAGAAAGCATTAAGTATAACTCAAAAACATATTACTTATACAGGTATTAAATTTGAAGAAATTACTATTACTGTATGTGCATATTTGAGAATTGTATATGCTTTATTAGGTTATTGTCCATAGGATACAAATAAATCAATTATTAAAAGATAATAAATGGCTGAATAATTAGGATAGAGAGCTGAATATAGAGTTTTAAGCTTTGATTGTTTATTATTTTTTCCATGACAATATCAATTTCTATAGTTATAGAGAAGTTTGATTTAAATTTATTAAATTTAGTGTATCAGAGAATTAACTTTAATTTTTTAATGGGCAGATTGGCATAATGGTAATATAGGAGCCAAATATCTTAAAATAATGAATGTAATATTAGAATATTCATTTTGTGCTAAAGAAAAACAATTTATAACATCTTTTTTTGTTATTGCCAAGGCACTTAGATTAAATTAGTTGGTCTATTTATATTAAAATGTAAAAGTTTAAAATTCTAAATTTTATCTGTTTTAACTAAAATGGAAGTATTTACTAAAAAATTTATAAGACAAACTTTTATTTAAGAAATATTGGAATATCTATTTTAATTTGATTATTAATTTAAATTATAATATAGTTTATTAAATAGATCAATCTTAATTAAAAATAAGGATAATGAAGAATAATAAGGAATTTAAAGACCTGATTATTATGTTGATCATTTTATTAAATGTTATTACAAACACAAAGAGGCCTAAATATTCCTGCTTTACTTATAGTAACTTCTAAATATTTTATACTTTGTGAGGGTGATGAAGAAATTATAAAGAAAAAGAATACTATTAAATAAGTAGAAAATCCTAATCTAATAATGGAATTTTCATCACTTAAATTGATATTTAAAATAAATATATCATAGGTATTACAGATCGAATATTGATATTATAGATAGAAGGAATTTACAGAATGGAAGGTGAATAAAGAATTTGTATTCTATATTCTGTTACAGATTAACCACCTCCATTTAAAGATGAAGATGCTTAGAAATTGCAATATTATTCTTTCCTAAAATAATTTCAACAATGAAATTTTAAATAGCTTTGAGTAATATAAAATTTTCTGATGATACAATCAGCCAAGGTGCATTATTATATATTAGTAATGGAATTTAACCAAAATACATAATGTGGGGAGTTATAAAACCTGAAATACTATTATTTAACAAATTTAAAGAATTTCATAAGAAAAGAATGTTAATATCAAGATTATTTACAGAAACACTTGAAGATTGGTAATCATTAACTATAGAAAATTAATAGGTTTTTTCTTAAGCCAGATTCTTGAACAAACAGTAAATAAAAAATATTCAAAATATCCTTCAGATACATAAAAGAAATAAGCAAGTGAATAAAATTATTTTAAATTGAAAGGATCATATGATTAAAATAATTTAAGAATACTTGAGTTTGATTAAACTTTATATAATCAATTAAAATTAGAATTTGAATCTTCAAATCCTTTACGTCTACTTTTTGGATGTGACAGAGCTAGAGATATATATAAGTTTTCTCTTCTTAAATCAATCGATGTGAAGAGATTTCAAATTAAAATAGTAAAATGACTTTTTATTAAATATTTACGTATTTAAATTAGTGACGCATTATTATTTAAGAATCAATTTGTTCTTATTTTATGAAATAAATACAGAATTTAATTCCTGATCTTTCATTAATAAATGAACAAATTAATTTTAGTTGTACTTCTTGGATTGGCATCTGCTTAATTATAGAGTGTATAAACACTTAATGTTACATAATACTTGGGTAACTGGTATGAAGTAGCCAGCAGTCCTTGGGTTCATTTAACATTTGAAAAAGATGCTTATTGCACTAGAGCAACATATGGTCTTTAATCAGATGGAAATTTGAGTGTCTTAAATATGGAAAGATATGGATCACCCTCAGGTGAAGTTAAAGAAATTACAGGATATGCTTATATTCCAAATCCAGAATAACCAGGTTAATTGAAAGTACATTTGGAAGGAGCACCATTTGAATATGCTGATTATTGGATTGTCTAATTAGGTCCAGTCAAAAATGAATAATATTAATGGGCTATAGTTAGTGAACCATCAAAATTCTTCATGTGGGTTTTAGCCAGAGATCCAGTTGAATATAACTTATTATATGCAACATAAGTTCAAAACACAGTTACAAATACTTTGTAATTTGATGGACGTTTCAATTAATATGTTGCTAGACCATGGACTGGATGTGTTCCATATGGTAATACTTAATGAAAAAATTGATTTCGTATTATATAAATCAAGATTTAAATTCTTAAACTATTCTTAAAATATTAAAAAATAAAATGTAATTTAATTGAATATTTCATTGACTTTTTTTTTTTAAAGGATTCTTATAAACAGATCGTTATGATTTCCTAGAAAGTCTTCTTAATGATTTTCCAATTTTATTATATTAAATAATAATTTCTGTGATATTATTATGAGGAAAATAATGCTGAAATTCTTTATGTATTTCGAATTCAATTAGATCCTCAAAATTCTTATTATTAATTGAAGTAAGGAATTAAGATTTCCAACTTTTTGTAAGTCGCTATGATTTTTCTCTTTCAGTCCTTTCAATTTTTAGATTTGATTTAATTTAGATTTCTTTTATTGAAGGTTCTAAATTCATTGTACTATTATTATTAGGAATAGTAACTGATTTAGGTTCATTACCTTTAGGATGAACAATTTTATAAATGGAATTTTTGGTTTGGAATCCTTCCTAATTAATAGGTGATTAGATAGTCAATTCTTAAGATGGTGTATCAAGGCTTGGCTATAGTTAGGATATTGAGTTTTTAAGTGTTTCATCTTAATCGGATAATTAATCTTCCTATTAATAATCATTAAGGAATGCCTTTTGTTAATCTTAAATAATCTTCTATATTTAGAATATAATACTGTTTTAATTTTAAGTGCTTTAACTTTGAAATTGTTTCTTTTGAAATTGATTATTCTTTGCTGCATAGATTTATTATATAGGTAAATGAGTTTTTAGATGTCAGGCTTATAATTAAGGTATTTACAATCAAATACTATATGATCATCTTTATTGCAGAGAAAACATTTCATTCCATCTATTGATAGATTTTATAGAATTCTATCTTTAATATTATGAAATTTTTCTAGATCCATTTAAGATAATACAGATAAAAAGTCATCTCTTTTGATACTGAAAATTTTTGTGAATCCAATACTTTTTGCACTACATTTTCTTGAACTAAGAGTATAAAAAGAATTTTCACCAAAAAACTATCCTTTTGTTAAGGTACATATTACAGTATCAGATTTTGTATCTATCAATTATACTTTGCCTTAATCAATCATGNAAAAATGAATAATATTAATGGGCTATAGTTAGTGAACCATCAAAATTCTTCATGTGGGTTTTAGCCAGAGATCCAGTTGAATATAACTTATTATATGCAACATAAGTTCAAAACACAGTTACAAATACTTTGTAATTTGATGGACGTTTCAATTAATATGTTGCTAGACCATGGACTGGATGTGTTCCATATGGTAATACTTAATGAAAAAATTGATTTCGTATTATATAAATCAAGATTTAAATTCTTAAACTATTCTTAAAATATTAAAAAATAAAATGTAATTTAATTGAATATTTCATTGACTTTTTTTTTTTAAAGGATTCTTATAAACAGATCGTTATGATTTCCTAGAAAGTCTTCTTAATGATTTTCCAATTTTATTATATTAAATAATAATTTCTGTGATATTATTATGAGGAAAATAATGCTGAAATTCTTTATGTATTTCGAATTCAATTAGATCCTCAAAATTCTTATTATTAATTGAAGTAAGGAATTAAGATTTCCAACTTTTTGTAAGTCGCTATGATTTTTCTCTTTCAGTCCTTTCAATTTTTAGATTTGATTTAATTTAGATTTCTTTTATTGAAGGTTCTAAATTCATTGTACTATTATTATTAGGAATAGTAACTGATTTAGGTTCATTACCTTTAGGATGAACAATTTTATAAATGGAATTTTTGGTTTGGAATCCTTCCTAATTAATAGGTGATTAGATAGTCAATTCTTAAGATGGTGTATCAAGGCTTGGCTATAGTTAGGATATTGAGTTTTTAAGTGTTTCATCTTAATCGGATAATTAATCTTCCTATTAATAATCATTAAGGAATGCCTTTTGTTAATCTTAAATAATCTTCTATATTTAGAATATAATACTGTTTTAATTTTAAGTGCTTTAACTTTGAAATTGTTTCTTTTGAAATTGATTATTCTTTGCTGCATAGATTTATTATATAGGTAAATGAGTTTTTAGATGTCAGGCTTATAATTAAGGTATTTACAATCAAATACTATATGATCATCTTTATTGCAGAGAAAACATTTCATTCCATCTATTGATAGATTTTATAGAATTCTATCTTTAATATTATGAAATTTTTCTAGATCCATTTAAGATAATACAGATAAAAAGTCATCTCTTTTGATACTGAAAATTTTTGTGAATCCAATACTTTTTGCACTACATTTTCTTGAACTAAGAGTATAAAAAGAATTTTCACCAAAAAACTATCCTTTTGTTAAGGTACATATTACAGTATCAGATTTTGTATCTATCAATTATACTTTGCCTTAATCAATCATGTACAAGGAATTATCATCTTATATGTTTTAATGAAAAATAAATTCATCAGGACAATATTAACGTAAAATCAATTTTTATGATGCTTATTTTAAAGATTCTTCAGAGAAATTATTAAGTAAGATTTTACTCTTTTAAAGGATATATTTAAAGACTGTAAATTTCAATTCTTCTTTTAATTATTATGATAATTTATTATCAATCACATATGTATATTCTTAATCTATATCTGATTATTCTTAATTTTAATATTATAAATAACTTCTAATTCTATTCTATAATTAATTTGGAACATGATATTAATTCATATAAGCTGAAATAGCACGAATACTTTGACTAAAACTTTAAATAATTTAATTACATAAACTGTGATTATTGAACATTTATATTATATAATATATTTCCTATTGAATTGATTGAATATGCAAATATAAAACTTGAGAATAACATTGAAAATATGCAAGCTATTATTTCAATTGGATTCTTAGGTACTATATCTCCATATCCTACAGTTATTGTTGTTGTTGCTGCCCAATAATATGAATATAAATATTGAATCTCTATTTTATCATTCATAATATTTGCTTAAATAATCCAACTATTCTCAAAATATTATGATGATTCCTATCCTACATAATTCCAAATACATGCTAATATATGAATAAAATAAACTATTAATATAAGTAATTAGAATAAATTAAAATATTCTCTATATAGTTTATTAAATTATGTTGATTAATTAATCTTAGCTATTTCTTCAGTAAACTTTCTATATATAAAAATTGAAAAAATCAATAAGAAAATAATCTCTACTATTTATAATCTTTGATTTCCTTTAATTGTTTAACTTAGAGTAATAACTGAAATAATTATGAGAGTGTCAAATAGTAATTAAGATCTGAGATAAAATGACAGTATTTCAGATCTTTAATTGATAACCTAATTAAATTACTTAATATTTTACATTTCCTTAAAATATTAACTATGTATTTAATTTTTAAATTATATCTAAGATAATAAATACTATAGTTAATGAATGATATTAACTATCAATTCTAAAACTCCATAAAAAAGGATAAACCCATAACAAGACTAATAAAATGATAGTCTTTATATATGACCAAATTTAAAGGAAAACATTACCTTAATCAAAAAGTTGATGACTTAATTTTGAACAATATGTATTAAATTCTTATTAAGTAATTTATTCCCTTTATTATACATACTTTTCATTAACAATTTTTCTTATCAATTCCCTCTTGGCTTGACTTAAGACATGAGATTTTAACATTAATTTTTCTTTAAAGAGTGCTACTAATTTATCAACTTTGAGAACTTCAAATAAATTTGGTTAGATTTTAATCTGATAATTATTCTCTTTAATTTTTCTGCTTTAAAATCCATTAGCTTGAAAATTTGTATTTGAGTTGATAGAAAAGTTTAAATCATCAAATTATTCTGCCTCATTTTAAGGTAAAGGTGAACAAGAAGGAGTTTTATTAAAAGGTCTATTATTATTATATTCGCATTCGATTTACCCAAATTAAAGTTCAAAAGATTCTTGTCTTTCATTCATTAGAATGTAATTATTTAATTAATATGAATTAAAAGATATTACCATTCAGTTATTTGAATTAATGTTGTTAAATTGGGAGATTTCCAAATGATTATTTAGACAGTTTTTTATATATTATATAATATATATTGTCATATCTTTATTAAAACTTAGATGATATAATTATTAAAATTTTATTACTTTTGAATTCACAAGTTTGATAAGTTGATTTATTTATTATAAATTTATTTAATAATATATAAATAATAAACATAAATTGATTGAAAGTCTTTTCAGTTTTTTTATTTATTAAGTATTCTTTAATCGTATTCAACCTTTTCGAATAAATATCTATTTTATCTAGTTACTAATGGGAAATGACCAATTTAATTTTCAGAATCCATTAATTTCGAAAGTATAGTATGTCTAAGCAAATTACCATTTTTAATTTCTTCATCCATCATTTATTATCTAAGATTTGTTAAGATATCTCCTGATTTCTACTTTAAGAATAATTATAAATTTTTTTAGTAGTAAGATATCTTCTTAACAAAATCATAATCAATAGAAGGGAGAGCATCTTTATTTTATTAAGCAAATTAATATTCTGAATGTCTTATTTTATGTTTTTTAATTTATGGAACAGATTCACCTAATTAATCTTAAAATTCTAAAGGTAAATCACCTGCCCCAAAAATTCTATAATAAATATCATATTTAGTTGGTTTTATAAACTTATAATTTCTGCATAAATCTTCATCAATAGAATAAAGTTAATTTGATTCTGGATATTCACCTTTAGGTCTAAACATCAAATAAAATATTTTATGATCAACTCCAGTTATTCTACCAAGTGTAGCTCCTAATTAAGTTGGACTTGTATAGATCTATGAAGCAACTTCAATATCTTGTATCAACTAATCGATAGTATGTTTTAGATTAGGATATTGATGAGTACACGAATTAACAATATCCTAGAAATTATTTCCATCTTATATACGAGAAACTATATTCGTACTAGAGGATTATGGATGTGATTTACCATTAATATAATAATTGCAAATAGTTTCTTTATTCTTCTTTTTATTTTCTATAAGTCTACTATTTCTATTAGTTCATAGTGACAATTGGACATTCTTCTTTAAGCAAATCAGAATATTTAATAGATATATTAGATTGCTTTTGACACTTCAAAAATTCTAGATATTCTGTAATTTCCAAAGATGGTTATTTTAATACAAGTTTTCTCTTATGTAATGGAGCTCTACGTTCTTTTCTGCTATCAATTTAAGGAGTTTCTATTGGAGGTTTGCTTAAAATAGTTTATTAAGAATTATGAGTATGAAAACGTCTAACAGAACTAAATCCTGGTCTTTCTGATTTATTTATTGTTTATGATGATTGTGGTGAATGAATACTAAACATCGGCTTGTATAGACTTACCTATGTAACTTAAGTGTGAATGTGCTATTTATTTTTACTGCTGTGATTATCTTTCATCTATTACAAAACCTTATATTAATTAAGGAAGTCTATCTTAGAGTTATCTGCTAACATATTCTTATAAAAGAACTTCTTCTTAATGTAAGGCTCAGTTGGAAATATCATAAAAATATATATATAAATTATATTAATATCACAAAGAAGCAATACTTTATTCCCATTTAAATTAGAACTTTAACTCTCTTTCACTAAGTAATTTTATTTAATCTTTTGCATAATCTACTTATTTCTTGTATTCAATAACAAATTCATTTATTGATTTAAAGAATTCATGTTTGGCTGATATTTATCTAAATGTTTTAAATGATTTTAATGGTCTAAATTTATTAAAATAAAATACGTTGTAGTAGTCTAAACAGGTTTTTCAGTTTCTTATTGTTTTCCTCCTGGAGCAGGTTTCTTAGCTTCTGGAGCTTTATTCTTTGCATCCTTTGGATCTACTTTTATTACTTAATTGATTTGCCAATTATATTATATTATTCTATCTCCTATAGTAAACATTTCCAATTGAACACCTTCCCAAGTTTTACTTAGAGATCTTTCTGAATTTGTATCTATTATTTAACCACTCTACTTTTATCTCAAAGAAACTTTCAAATTTTAATGCTTTTTTTATATTTATTCATCTCCAGGTAATTTAATAAAATCTTCAAATAATAAGAGTGAATCATAAAAAAGCAATAAAAATTCAAAATTTTAATTTGCAGCTTTCAAATATTTGTCTCCTTAATTGAAATTTTCATCAAAAAGAGTTACTTAATATTTTGATAATAATTCCAAAAAATCAGATAATCTTTTTGATTCTTTTTATTTTAAATCATCTAATTCTTCTTTTAATTATGGATTTCCTAAATTAGGTCTTAATAATTTTTAATGTAATTTTTTAAGATTCTCTTATTTATTTTATTCCTTTTATAATTCATTCCATAAATTAGTATTAATTAAAGATAATGTGAATATCCATCTTTAATGATTTGATAATAATATCATCTCANGCTCTACGTTCCTTTCTGCTCTCTTATTTAATAGTTTCAATAGAAGGTCTATTCAAAATAGTTTATTAAGAATTATGAGTATGTAAAAGCTTTACTGAACTGAATCCTGGCCTTTATGATTTATTTATTTTTTGTGATGACTGAGGAGAATGAATACTGAACATTTATTTATAGAGACTTACCTAAGTAACTTATGTATGAATATGATTTCTGTTATTATTAGAGTGATTATCTTTCATCTATTACAAAACCTTATATTAATTAAGAAAGTCTATCTTTGAGTTATCTGCCAAAAAATTCTTATAAAAGAACTTCTTCTTAATGTAAGGCTCAGTTGGAAATATCATAAATATATATATAAATTATATTAATATCATAAAGAAGCAATACTTTATTCCCATTTGAATTAGAACTTTAACTCTCTTTCACTAAGTAATTTTATTTAATCTTTTGCATAATCTACTTATTTCTTGTATTCAATAACAAATTCATTAATTGATTTAAAGAATTCATGTTTGGCTGATATTTATCTAAATGTTTTAAATGATTTTAATGGTCTAAAGTTTATTAAATTAAATACGTTGTAGTTGTCTAAATGGGTTTCTCAATTTCTTATTGTTTTCCTCCTGGAGCAGGTTTCTTAGCTTCTGGAGCTTTATTTTTTGCATCTTTCGGATCTACTTTTACTACTTAATTGATTTGCCAATTATATTATATAATTCTATCTCCTATAGTAAACATATCCAATTAAACACCTTCCCAAGTTTTACTTAGAGATCTTTCTGAATTTGTATCTATTATTTAACCACTCTACTTTTATCTCAAAGAGACTTTCAAATTTTAATGCTTTTTTTATATTTATTCATCTCCAGGTAATTTAATAAAATCTTCAAATAATAAGAGTGAATCATAAAAAAGTAATAAGAATTCAAAATTTTAATTTGCAGCTTTCAAATATTTGTCTCCTTAATTGAAATTTTCATCAAAAAGAGTTACTTAATATTTTGATAATAATTCCAAAAAATCAGATAATCTTTTTGATTCTTTTTATTTTAAATCATCTAATTCTTCTTTTAATTATGGATTTCCTAAATTAGGTCTTAATAATTTTTAATGTAATTTTTTAAGATTCTCTTATTTATTTTATTCCTTTTATAATTCATTCCATAAATTAGTATTAATTAATGATAATGTGAATATCCATCTTTAATGATTTGATAATAATATCATCTAACTTATTTTTGGTGACATTTCTGATAATTCTTCACAAGCATTCCTAAGTTCTCTAATTGATTATATTCTAAATTCATTCATATTCCTTTACATATTCTCAATATATGCTCTAAGATAATCTGGAATTTTATCAGTTCCAGTTAAGAATTTTTATTTATCTGCATAAATTTTAATTGCTTCTTCTTTAATTATCTTTTCAATATCTACTAAACTTTCTTATAATTTCTTTTCAGCATAAAATAATGGTCCCATACTTTCTAAATCATTTTCAATTATTTTTTTATCTTCTTATTATTCTTCAACTTCTAAAATAGTATCAAATTTATTTTCTTTCCAAGTAGTTCTTGGCATATCAACAACTTTATTATCTGGTTTAAGTGCTTCAATATGATTTGCATATCTTTTGATACAAATTAAGGTTCCACTCAATATTTTTCTAATTTTTATAGAAAATGATGGTTCAAGATTAGCAAAATAATCACCTTATTTATTTTTGAATAAATCATAATGATCTTTCAATTCTTGTATTTTCAAATTGATACATTCTTATGCTTTTTCACATTTAGTCATTTCTGTTCTTAATTTTTCTTAAGCTATTCTTTTAGGTCTTCCATATTTCTTTCCAGTACCATCTTTAGCTGCTAAATCTTCAACTGCTATTATATATTCTTATTCAAATTTATCCAATTATTCTTATTTTTTAGCTGTCAATACTTTTTTAATTTCTTCTAATCTTTATGTTCTTTTTTCTTTATGTTTAATAATTGTAGCATTATGTTCATCCATCATTTATTGATACCATTCTAATTCTTCTTTAAAATATTCATTTGGTTTGCAATCTCTCATAAAATCTTTATTTTTTTATAATAATACATCCAATTCTTAATTTGCTAAATAACTTAATTTTTATTCTAAATCATTAATTTCTATTATAAATTAAAAATATTACTTTCTCCAAATTTAAAATAATTCTCTTTAACAGTATTTTGAATTCCTTATAATTTGGCTAAAGTTGTTGCTGATTATAAATTATTTTTTAGTGTTTACTACTCTTAAATGTAATCTTTCATATCCAATAATCCACCTTCCAATAAAAAATTGATCTATTCTGTTTGATCATCAATTCTTTCTACTAATTACTTTGCATATCGTTCATATCTAATTAATTAATATTTTATTTTACCTTTTTTTATGCATTGTAATTTATTGGCTTCTTAATACATATATAGTATTTTTGATTTCTTGTTTTTATGGTTCAATTTAAGACTACTTTTCATTTCTCTAATTTTCAGATTACTTTATAAATTCATTATCACTTTCATTAGCTTTTTCATTTTAGAAGTTGAGACAACTAGTTATGTAATTAAACAATTTTTATTATGTTTGATTCAATAATGATGACAAATATTCAACCGTTATTACTGCATCCTTCTCCAAAACTGCTTAATTTAATACATTTATAGGTGGTTGTTCAGCAAAATCTACAGATTTCTTAGGAACATCCTCCTCTGGAATATAATTAGGTAATTCAATAGGAGGTGGAGCTGCAGGTTTTGCTTTAGGATCTTTTGGTGCATTTTATTATTACAAATAAGATTCAATTTCATCAGCTTCTACTTTTTCTTTAGCTACTACTTATTCCATTTCATCTGGAGGAATATACATACGTTCTGCAATTTAAATAGTAGATCTAAACTAAACAAATTATTAATCAAGTGGACTGTGATATTTAACTACTTCTTAAGGTGGTAATTCTTTTAATAATTATTTCATTCTATCCTCTAGTTCTTATTAAAATCTACAATATTATTTATTGATACTTTTTTGGATCTTTAGCTTTTGTAGCAGGTGGTTTACCTCCTTTTTTATTTTTGGCTTCTTCAATTAATTTTTCTTCTTCTATTTTCTTATTGTATTCTTCCTTAGCAATAATATATTTTATTTTTGTTTCAGCTATCCTTCTATATTTCTCCTATAAGAATTATTCCTTTTATGGATCTACTAGTTCAAAAATGTTTAGCACTGACTTTTCAAAAATCTAATGTTTATTTCTTATAATATTAGGATGTTGATTAGCAATAGCCATATTATCCTAATGAAATCTTTCATATTCTTCTCCAAATAAATCCAAATCTTTATAACATAAAGCTAAACATTCTTCTAAACGGGGATGATGTAATGCTTATGATAATTATTGTTTGTCTTCTTTTAACTTTTTGGTAAGTTCTTCTAAGACTTCATCATTTTTATCTGCTGCTTATGCTTTCTGAATTTCATAATTATGCATTAATAATTGCATTTCAGTTTTGTATTCATCATTCTTTGATGCTATTTTCATAAAGAATTATCCAAAATTAGTTATTATATCAGTTTATTATTGATCAATTCTCTCATAATAATCAATTGCCTATTTCATTAAATCTCTAGCAGTTTGATTAAGAGAATTTACTTATGGTAAGTATTATTCATCTAATAATTAATTTAATTCTTCTTCTGACTTTGCTCTTGCATAAAATAATTATGATTTGATTAATTCATATCTTTACATACAATAATTATGTGTTTTTTTAGTTTCCTCTAATAAATTATTACAACAAACATCAATTGTTTATGATGCTAATTCATTATATGATTTAGTTTCATCTATCCACTTTTCAACTATTGTTTTTGTTAATGCAGCTAAATCATATGAATTAAGTTTCTCTAATAATTGTTTTCTTTCTCTAAATATATCCTTTTATGTTTTCCTAAATTTATCATATAATTATGTTCTTTCATCAGGATATACATATTCTAATTTCTAAATATCAATATTAAATTCTTCAATGTAATGTTAATGTTTTAAATCTCTCCATCGTTATTCTTTCTAAATTTATGTCTCGTCATACTATTTAAATGTCTCTTAATGCTATCTATTGACCTCTTAAACATAGACTTAATTTTCTGCTCTCTTCTCTGCCACAACCTTACGAAACTCTTCTCTGAAAGTCTGAATGTATAATAAGAGCTCATACATCCACATGCGCAGTTATTTCAGGTTCTAATTAGAATGCCACATCAATTAGACCTTCTTAAAATCTATTACAGAATAGTTCTAAGGATCTAAATCTCTCTTTTTCTAAATCTTCTAGTCTTTTATCAAGTGTGTTAACTTTGGTTTCTCTTTTTTCTCTATGTGCATTAACAGTTGAATGGATACTCTCTACAAATTCTATTTCCCTTTTAAGTAAGGCTTCATCAGTAAGTGTTTGATAATAATTAGTTATTTATTGATCTGATTCAGAAAAGAAATCTGTAATATCTCTTTTAATGTCTTTATAGGCTTCTTCTAAATTTTTATTAAGACGATTAACCCATTTCTCAAATTCATCACAAAACTTTAGATGCTTTTCTCTTCTTGTATCCTTTTGTCTTTCAATAAGTAACTTTATATTAAATTTGATAACTTACTTTAGTTTGTTCTCTATATACAGGTGCAGGATGTTTAGGTAATGAAGCAACTTCAGATTATAAAGTATATTCAAATTTTTAAACTTCTTTTTCAAGTCTAGCTTATCTGACAGCATCTTTTCCTGTGGATATGAGCGACACTTTAGGCATAGATGAATTTTCTGGTCGCTTGTACTCACTAAGTAGAGCAGCATGCAACTGAGAAGATGCTTTGAATTAAGAACTAACTGGTTGTTCTTCAAGATTTCTCTGAGCAGACCTTGTAAAAGTTGATTTCATTATTAATATAAATAAATTATTTAGAATTGTTCTTTGTGATTAGTTTTCTTGGTTACAATAGCCTTGATATCATTCTGTTAAAGAAATTTAGATTACACTATTCTTAATTGTTAATGCCATACTCCCATTTTTGCCATATTTTTTGCAAGAGGAAAATTAAGGATTATACAAAAAGCATAAATATATAAATAATTTTTACAGCAGTATCTTATTATTAATAATTTAGGATTATATATATTTATGGGACTCTGACACTAGTTGTGAGGTAGCTAAATATCAAAAATCAGATATTATTTAAATATGACCAAACAAAATACTAGTTTATATGAAAAGAAATCATTTTCAATCATTATTGAAAGGATCTTAATTAGAATTATAATCTATCTATTTATATAAAATAATGATGGTATATTTGTAGAGAAAATAAATAATATTTACATCCGTATTAATATCCTATTAAAATAAAAAGAAAATAATTAAAAAAGATATTAATTAATATTAATGGCTACCCCTCAATCCTTGTCACCAGCCCCAATGTAATCTTTGGGTGATTTCACCGCTAAAAAGCTAGTAGAAGATGATTTCTCAACAGGAAAAGCTACTTTGAAAGTTAAGGCTTCAGCAAATGGTGGAGGCATTGCAAATTATAAAGGCACATTAGATATCTCTAAATCTTTGGCTCCAGGATAAGAAACAAAGTTTTAATTCCCATATAACAATTATTATTTTTGGTTTGCCACAAGAAAAGAATAAACTAAGGTTCATGTTGATTTTGGCAAATTTAATATCATCAAATAATAAAATTTATTTGCTAATGTTTAATTCTATAATAGTTCATCAAAATCAACAATTAGATTTGGATCAGTTTATGAAGGAAAAAAATGTTTAAGTCATGCAAGTACTATTTTTTATATGATAAATTAGGATTTGAATGGTTAAACTAAGACAAAGTTAACTTCTTATTGAGATCATAAGTCAAACATAATAATTGGGTTTATGTTATTGCTTCATAATTATGTCTTAGCAGATAAGAATTTGATAAGTTAGACTTTTTGGTTGGATATTAAACTAAAAATTATGATGTTTACCTTAGACATTTAACTAATCAAATTCCATCATTCCCATTATTTAGCAATTTTGGATTTGGAAAATTTCTAATTGATGCTGTTTACAGATAGAATTCTAATCAATATGGAGTAGAAATCGAATATACTCCTGTCAGCAGATTATCTTTCCTATTAGCTGCTTCAACTAAATTCTAAGGTGCTGATGTTAAGGCAAGATTAAATATTCTTAATAAAACTGTTGGTCTTTCTGCTAAAGGAAAATTCAATAACACGTATATTTAAAATTTATCTAAATATTAGATTTTCATGGACATTAGCCACTTAAGTGCCAGTTGATGGATCCAGCCCATCTAAATGTGGAATTCTTCCAATTCCTCTTGGAATAACTTTGGAAACAACAATATGAGATTATTCATAAATAAATATTNATGGGACTCTGACACTAGTTGTGAGGTAGCTAAATATCAAAAATCAGATATTATTTAAATATGACCAAACAAAATACTAGTTTATATGAAAAGAAATCATTTTCAATCATTATTGAAAGGATCTTAATTAGAATTATAATCTATCTATTTATATAAAATAATGATGGTATATTTGTAGAGAAAATAAATAATATTTACATCCGTATTAATATCCTATTAAAATAAAAAGAAAATAATTAAAAAAGATATTAATTAATATTAATGGCTACCCCTCAATCCTTGTCACCAGCCCCAATGTAATCTTTGGGTGATTTCACCGCTAAAAAGCTAGTAGAAGATGATTTCTCAACAGGAAAAGCTACTTTGAAAGTTAAGGCTTCAGCAAATGGTGGAGGCATTGCAAATTATAAAGGCACATTAGATATCTCTAAATCTTTGGCTCCAGGATAAGAAACAAAGTTTTAATTCCCATATAACAATTATTATTTTTGGTTTGCCACAAGAAAAGAATAAACTAAGGTTCATGTTGATTTTGGCAAATTTAATATCATCAAATAATAAAATTTATTTGCTAATGTTTAATTCTATAATAGTTCATCAAAATCAACAATTAGATTTGGATCAGTTTATGAAGGAAAAAAATGTTTAAGTCATGCAAGTACTATTTTTTATATGATAAATTAGGATTTGAATGGTTAAACTAAGACAAAGTTAACTTCTTATTGAGATCATAAGTCAAACATAATAATTGGGTTTATGTTATTGCTTCATAATTATGTCTTAGCAGATAAGAATTTGATAAGTTAGACTTTTTGGTTGGATATTAAACTAAAAATTATGATGTTTACCTTAGACATTTAACTAATCAAATTCCATCATTCCCATTATTTAGCAATTTTGGATTTGGAAAATTTCTAATTGATGCTGTTTACAGATAGAATTCTAATCAATATGGAGTAGAAATCGAATATACTCCTGTCAGCAGATTATCTTTCCTATTAGCTGCTTCAACTAAATTCTAAGGTGCTGATGTTAAGGCAAGATTAAATATTCTTAATAAAACTGTTGGTCTTTCTGCTAAAGGAAAATTCAATAACACGTATATTTAAAATTTATCTAAATATTAGATTTTCATGGACATTAGCCACTTAAGTGCCAGTTGATGGATCCAGCCCATCTAAATGTGGAATTCTTCCAATTCCTCTTGGAATAACTTTGGAAACAACAATATGAGATTATTCATAAATAAATATTATCCATATACAATATTAATGTTGTATAATAATCAAATAGACAATATAGCAAAAATGAATTACATGACAACTTAAATATAATAAAAGAAATTTTATTTCGAAGCTTTAAAATTCTACTACTTAAACATTATCTTATATAATTAAGTTGATTAGGTGAAGATGGAAATTGAAAATATGAAAATATAATTTGAAGAACTCAATAAAAAGAAAAGAAGAAAAAATTCAGAGATTAAAAAATTACATGTTTGTTAGCATTGCCTAAAAACTTATGGGTATTAAATTTATAAGTAATATTAAGGACATATGGAGCTAAATATAAGCATATTAAAATTAAACATTAAGAATGATGATACTAATCAATATTATAAATCATATTTAAACAAAAACCCAATCTCATTTTTACAATTCTTATTCTAATTATGATTATTATTAATTATAAAAATATTCCACTATTTATTCATCCTAAAATATTTGCAAAATCATGTATTAACATTATTGTTCATATGATAATTAGGCATAGTTCTATCTAAAATATTCGATTAATCTTAATTATTCTTCTTGACTCATAGAATTTATATATTATTATTATTCATTAATATATTTAAGTTACTCGTTATATTCTACATAAACTTATTATTATTATTTAATAACAATTTCATCTATGCATTGATGTTCTTTAACATTCATCCCATGATCTTATTGAAATTCTTTTTAATCCTCCTCATAATCCATTTAATCGACTAATGCCTCATCTGAATCACTATTTAGACCTTCCAATACCTTTTTTTAATATTCTTTTTGGTTATTGTACATCTCCCAAAATATTAGTCTAATCTCAATTTCAACTTTTATTTGACCTACCTACTAGTTTAAAGAAGTTATAAAGACTTAATTATTTCTAGATATCTTTATCAAATCAGATTGAGCAAACTTATTTTCAGAAAATTTAAGCCAATCATAATTTATTTAGATTTTCCGATTTTATGGATCATCAGATAAAATTTTTTCAAATATCAATTAAATAGATAATTCTTCATCATAATGTCTAATTAATGATACTAATTTTATTTGATAATCAAAATATTTTTCATATGGTTCAAGTGAATAAGCTTAATTTTTTATCTTATTTTCAACAAATTCTTCATTTCCATTAATTCAACAGGATCTGCTAAAATATCATATCCAAGATTTTGCACCTACATCTTATTGAAAATAATTTCATCTACATTTTATCCTTTAGAATAAATAGATTACGTAGTATTATATTTATGTGTACTTCATCTAAAACATAAAATATCAAAATCAAAGTTTTTTAATAATTTCATTTTTTTGCTGAAATCAACCATTACAGTATTTGCTAAATGTCATAATAATTATAGTTTAAATATGTCATTCCTACAGTGGCATCACTCAACAAAATTATACAGTACTCTAATAAAAATTTAATCTTGTATTCAAGAGAGTAATGACAATATCTCAAGACTTTATAGCCAATCAAATAATAATTAGAATTTAACATATATATAAATTATATTCTGAACAACATGATGTTCTTTTGAAATAGCTAGTCCAAATATGAGATCTCTAGATTCTAAGAGGAATTTTAGATACTACTTTTCTAGCTATAATTTCTAATATTTCAAAATTATGTATTTAATTAGATATCTTTTGTTTATACTATAGGATTACGGAGTTAAACTATTAGGTTAAATCACATCTATTAATTGAAGATCAATAATCTGTACTTTATAAACTTTTTCAGCTGAACCATGTTTTAATAATTCTAAAAAATGAATATCTAGCAACTTCATTTCTTAATTTCATTCAAAATTTCACAATATCCTATTATCGCATCCATGACTTTTCGAATATCAGCATTTTTACTAAACATAAATTGATATTCTAATATATTTTTATTTATTTTTAGCCATACTCAAGAGCTTTTTTCTTATTTTTAATACATCTTTTATTCAATTTAAAGAGAGCATTTAAAATTTTAGGATCTTCAGGCCTTTTTTCAAAAGTGTAGAGATAGAATTCTTCTGCTTTTTTGAAATTCTCTAGTTTTTAAAACCATAATCCACTAAACATATTGTACTCAAAATTTTTTTGTATTCATATACATAATGATATTCAATCTTTCAAAAGCAAAATATCTAAATAATCATCATAAGCCTCTTTGTATTTCTCTTATTTAATTAGGGAAAGAGCCTTGAAGTTTAATTCTTTTTATCTATCCATATATTAAACTTTATATTAAAATTATACAATACAAAACTCAATGTTTCTTACCTGTAAGTTTCTCTCTACATTTTCTATCATTTCTTTGCTTCACTTCATACATTTCCTTAGTTCTTTAAGAATTATTAAAATCCCTCAATTTCCAATAAAGTATATCCAATCTAAAATTTGAGTCTGATGGCAAAGGACAGGGATGATTGACCATCACATGAGGATTCATCTCTAGCGTATCAAATAATTTAACCCCATCAAATTCAACCATTTAATTCCAAATACCATTGATTGAAAAATACTAGAATATTATTAAATCTATTACTCTTTATTCAACATCTTTATCAAAATCTATACCAGAATATTTTGCATATCCTTCCTTTTTAAATTTATTTAAAACTCCAGGTTTTACTTTGTACAAATAACCAATGAATTGATCTTACAATAAATCTTTCTTGTTGAATACATTCTTGCTTCCAGGATTAAATGCCATATCTGCAATCAAGTTATTTTCCTTAAATCATAAATTGTAATTACTAAATCTATTGTATATGATCTTCCATTAATATTAAATACTCTTGTTCCAAATGCAGTTCCAGTTAATACTCCTGGACATTGAATAAATATTTGCTTTGAACGTGTATTGTGGTAAGTTACTCTAATATATCCTATATTTTTCCCAGTGACGCTATTTGCATGCATGCTGGCTGCTGATTCAATATGTCCATCTATATCGTATCCTCTACCTTTCAATTAAAAGGCACTTATTGGTGGATGATGACTCACCTATTCAGCATAAACAGGGCATCCATTAATGAAACCTTAATATGTTTCTCCCAAAATAGGATTAAATGGTTTCTCTAAAGACATATACATTATAATTGAACCTAAAAATATAATTAATTTATACTGCATCCAAATGCAATTGTATACTTCATTTATTCTATTATGTTATCAATTTTAGCTGCCTTCTCCAAGATTTAAGGAGCAAATGTAAATGAATAACAAAATCTCTCTAAATTTGATCTACTTTCAAATACTTCTACCGGTAGTGATATATTTAGAATTGATTTCCCAGATAGTAGATTTGATCCTATCGATTTTAACATAAATTTAATAACTCGTTTTTAAGCCTCTATTTTCTTCTAATTATAGAAAATCATTCCACCATGTTTCATATCTCTTTTCCAATCTTATCTTAAAAAGTAATGTCCTTCATTTATTTAAGTAATATATTCGTCTTTGACCTTCTAAGGTTCAGTAACATATTTATGATTTATACAATTTGCAGTATAATCATACAAACCTTGTTCAATATTCTTTATCATTTATTTAACTTAACCAATCTCCTTATCTGATAATTCTGGTAATGTCTATTAAATAAAATCACTCGGAGTGTAATTACTTAAATCAGCATCCTCTATATCTTTATTGTATTATTAGATCTCATTTATTTCTTTATGATTTTCAATGATCAAAGGATCAGTCTCTGGAACTGTAGCAATTATTGGGAGCTAATCCAAAGTTATAGTTTGAGTTTCATTGATTTTATCAAATTTGAACTATTCTTCATATGCTACAGTTATAGGAGAAGGTTAATAAGCTTCTTGTTTCAATACTTATTGTTGCTATTAAATGCTCAAATATTCTTATTATTATTATTATTATTATTAAAAATTAGTTGGTTATTATAATTATTATGGAGGCTAAACTTATTATTATTAATGAATATTAGTCACTCCTATATCTATTATTATATTTTCTTTTTATTTATTAACTTTTGTTCTATTTAATACTTATAAAAGAGGGGATTGTATTATCTCTTAAACAGCAGAGTAAGTCTTTAAAAATTGCTGAAAGTGTGAAAGCTCACTTAGATACCATTAAGTGATGGCACAGTCCTAATTTACAGATGATAAACCCCCATTTGTTATTTCTGACTCAATTCTTACTATAATATTATTTTCACTTTTCACTATCTCTGTTAGTTAGTAATTAATTTCTCCTCTAATTACTTTCATATATGGTGGGGCATCTTCATTCTCAATTGATTTATCTACAATTAGAATATCATCTCCTCTGTATGTAACATATCTAAGATAAACAAAATCTCTGGGCAAATAAAGCAAACCATATGGCTTATGTCTTTCATACATTATTCCACAATTCTCACTCTACATCATATTTAATAATTTAGTTTCATTAGGATTAATGACAGCATTCCATTTTTTTACAAAATCAATTTCAGCTAAACATTGGAATACCTTCTCCATATCTCCATTATATATGGTTAATGATGATCTGAAGCAGAGAGAATTATTTTAGTCTTTTAGAATTTAAACACCATCTTTTGAATAAACTTGAGTAAATTGTTTAGTTGATTATACAAAATAATCAGGATTAAATTTGCCTTCTTCAAATAATACTTGAAACACTTATGGATACTTCAATTCATTTTTCACTAAATTAGCTTCATTTTTTTATTGCATATCTACTTATGACTAAATCTTTTATTACTGCTCTTGCTATAACAATTATTATTTAATTAATTCTTATTATTATCTTTATTAATCAATTTTTTATTGTTAAAGTAATTATTCCTATTGCAATTTGTATTATTCCTCTTGAAATTTTTATTGTTACTATTATTATAATAACAATTATTATTACTAATATTATTATTGTTATTATAATTATAATTATTATTGTTAATATTATAATTATTATTATTACTGTTATTGCTGCTATTATTATTATTATTATTATTATTATTATTATTATTATTATTATTATTATTATTATTATTAATATTACTACTATTATTATTGTAATTATTATTATTGTTATTGTTAAGGTTATTATAATTATTGTTATTACTATTGTTGTTATTGTAATAATTATTATTGTTATGATTATTGATATTATTAAGATTACTATTGTTATTGTTGTTGTTATTATTATTGTTATTGTTATTGGTATTGTTATTGGTATTGTAGTTATTATTGTTATTATTATTGTTACTATTGATATTATTATTACTGTTATTATTATTGTGATTACTATTATTAAGGATACTACTGCTAATTATTGAATGCAGGTTATGATTATTATTATTAAATATATTAGTTCTGTTACTAAAGTTTGGCAGGAGAATCATTCTAAACAATTTATTAACTGATGTTGGATTGTTGTTAGATATTTTGAGGTAGATTTTGTTATTATTATTTTTGTTATTATTATTGATTTGGTTTTATATCTAAATCAAAAGTTTACTTTGTGATTTTAATATTCGTATTTTATTTTTGTGGAATAATTTCTGATTAAGTCACTAATCTCATATCTTGCCTAGTTGTAACGAAGGATTGTTAATTGGTATTAGATCTCGGCTGATTAAAATCATTCGATTCAAGTAGGATAGATCCCCTCATTACATGGTCTGTAAACTATGATATTGTCTTAAGTGCCTATATCACCTTGTCATAGAGGGCTTTATCATCAGATCCACAAACCAATGTTTTGTAATAGCCATGACCATCAGAATTGGCTATAATAACGAATCGATAACGCTTATCTTTGAATTCTTAGGGCTAGACAGTATAATATTAAAGGTAGATAATTCGTGGTTTCTTTTTGCTGCTCTTTTTTCTTAAAATTTCAAAAGTTCTTTATTTAGAGTCTATCTTAAACTATTTTTATTTCCAACTTTTCAACACCTTTGTCCTTACATCAATAATTCCTTTAATTTCTCCAATTGCTGATGGTATCATGTTGGCCTTGAATAAATAAATTAGAAAATACGTATGCATATCCTTTGATGATCTACATAAACATCTCCTTTTAGGCTTGTTTATTCAACTTCATCAAAGCATGACACTCTTCTAAATCTAATGAATGGAAAATTGAAGTGTCAATATCTTAGCCATTGATGCACTCTAGAAGAAGCTCAAGTTTATGGGACATTTTAATAGGCAACTTTTTTTGCTCTTAGAGGAACTAAAATGAATTTTGAGCTTCGATAAAATCAAAATCCATAATATAATATTATGATTAAAAATAGAGGCTCATCATCTAATAAAACACCAAATCCCTATGCACTATAGATGCAGGAAGAGGCAAAAAAAATGGTACTGATGAAGCATATACTTAGGCAGAAAAATTAGCCAAACTAAAATAAAACTTGAATTCTTAAAAGATGGAACGATCATAAATAAGTAAATAATCAGGAGATCTGACAGAAAGCTAAAGATGGTAAAATAATACAACTCCAAATAATCGAAGTAAAATGCGCAATTAATAAAGTACTTAAGGATAGGCCTCCTTCAAACAAGTCAGAACCTATTGAATCATTTTTGAAATCAATCAAATTGGATACTTATGTGTAAAAATTTAAAGAAAATGGATTTGAAGAGTTAGATATTCTTTTTGACATTTAAAAGGAATAGCTACAATAAATGGAAATACCATTAGGGCATTAAATTAGATTAATGAAAAAAATTAGAGAACTCAAATAATCTGTAGAAGTGAATGATGTAATAATTCAAAATGAGTCTAAATATGATGAATTAGAAGGTATGCTCATTCAATAAAAATAGAACCTTAAATTGACTTAAGCTTCACTAAACCTATTAAAAGATCAAGCCTACAGAAAGAAAGACAAAAAAATGTGAAAAAAGTCACGTTTAAATAAAATGAGGATTAAAAAGATTATTAAAGTATTGAATAATCCTTTCACTAATCCTTCATCCTAAATGAACTGGAGGAAATTTCTAATTACATGCATCAAAATCATATAGGAGAATCTTCAGATATTAATACATAAACTAATGTCGAATTAAACCAATTTGATAATAATATTAGTTCTACTTCTGTTTCTAAATAAAAGCCTTATGATGAATAGAATGCTTCAAAACTCAGAATAAAAAAGGTTGCTTGCTGGAATTGTTTTAAATTATTAATTAAAGACTTTATTTTTGTAGAAGGCAATGATTTTTGTAATTTTGAATGTTATTAAAAATATAACCATTTGTATCTTGTAAGTATTTAATTTAATGTAAGGCTTAATGTGTAAGTTGCAATAAATAATTTGATGTTAGAAATGGAATTTTACTAAATGGATGCAGTTTTTGTACTGAATTATGCTCTGAAAAATATGATTATTAAATTATGAAGGACAATAATGAAGAAATTGAAAAACAGTTCTTAAGCTTCAAAGGCAACAACATACAGGAACAATTCCAAGGTTAAAAAAGTGTTGATTTAAATTTTGATTGAATCATACTCTATTATTTCAGTTATAAATCTCATTTTTGTGTTGTTTCTAGTTTATTGAATTGATCTTCATAAATAATAATTTTAATTTATTTAGAACATCTTCTTTCTAAGTTTGACTTTATCAATAAATATTTTATTCTATGTTTTCTAATTATTTTATTGTTATTTAATTACTTAATCTCAGAACTAAGGAAATTTAATTTAGATTATTAAGGTTTCAGTAATTTATTATTTAAATTTAATATTGATTAATATTCAATGAAAATAAAACAAGATTTTGTAAATTCTGTTATATATAATAGATTTCAAAAGTAAATATTAATAAATGTCTATAATTTTCTTAATTTAAACTAAATAGAAACTTTTTCTTAATGAATATATATTAGATTGTGGGTTTATGATTTATTCATTCTTCGTAAAATAAAAAATTGTATAATATTGAGATTTAATAATATTTTTTATAAAGGAAGGTTGTACAAATATTAAAATGAGTATAAGAGACATCAAGATAAAAATTTCACTTAAATAATATTTAAATATCATCAACCATTAAATAACAATTAATTAATTTTTTAAAATAATTTTATAAATTTACATTCATTCAACTATTTAAGATCAAATAATCAACTATCTTTCTCTCCAATCCAACCAGACATCTTAACTTTTCATTATACATGTTGCCATCCAATACTTTTCATTAAAATGAAGTGTTTTATAAGAATTAGTATACATATAAAACTGCTCTTAATCAGGAGTAATAGAATTAGCAATTTAATCACCCTTCTCATTTAATGTGACTGTATACAATCCAATTTTCTAATGATTATTTTATATGTAATAGATATGTGGATCTCCAATAAATAGGATTGTATTATTTCCATCAATTTTATAATCATGAATAACCATACTATATTGAGAATCATCAATTTAAATAGGAGACTTTCTTAGAAGGAAATGCTCTTATAAAAATTACTAAAATTAAGTGAATGTTTAAGTTTCTGTAAATACTTCTTTTGGAGCGTTGGAATTAGGTGGATATCCGTTGATTAAAAATAACTTGGACTCAAACCCCATATAATAAAGAATAAGATGGCCTATGTATGGTTCTGCCCATCCATTAGCTAAATCATGAGGAGCATATACAGAATTAGAAAGATATTGTGGAACTTAATCTAGTTGGTTCATATGCATATAAATTTTTTCTAAAATTGTTTTTGACCCAAAGAAGCTGAATAACCATCTGAATTCAGGAGTTATGTTATATTATGAAGATAGCATCATCTAAATACTTCTCCAAGCGCAACCCCATCCAGCATCATCTATTTAATCACTGAAATACGNATATATAATTGTTTAAATGGTTCGGAATATTTAAGATGAGAAATGAAAATATTTTCTTATCCTAAAATATATAGAATTCAATAAACATCGTTTTTAGTCAATTATTGTATGAAATAGTTCATTTCTTATTTTTTTCATTTACATATGTGCTTAAAGCAAATCCAACAATATATTCAGATGTAATAAAAACAAGGTAGAATATTAATATCATTTTTAATCAAGCCTTTAAAAAGAATCTGAATTTTCAATTAGTATAATATCATTTGCAATAGCCTAAAAATAAATTTTAAAGGTGAGTTTTTTTATTTATGTTAAATTTGATTTACATATTTATTTTAAATCTTTTTTTGTTAGAAAAAATTCTTAAATGTATTACTTTAGCTTAAAGGTTTTAAATAAATAAAAATAAATTTCTATCTTAATAATACAAATATTAAAATGAGTATAAGAGACATCAAGATAAAAATTTCACTTAAATAATATTTAAATATCATCAACCATTAAATAACAATTAATTAATTTTTTAAAATAATTTTATAAATTTACATTCATTCAACTATTTAAGATCAAATAATCAACTATCTTTCTCTCCAATCCAACCAGACATCTTAACTTTTCATTATACATGTTGCCATCCAATACTTTTCATTAAAATGAAGTGTTTTATAAGAATTAGTATACATATAAAACTGCTCTTAATCAGGAGTAATAGAATTAGCAATTTAATCACCCTTCTCATTTAATGTGACTGTATACAATCCAATTTTCTAATGATTATTTTATATGTAATAGATATGTGGATCTCCAATAAATAGGATTGTATTATTTCCATCAATTTTATAATCATGAATAACCATACTATATTGAGAATCATCAATTTAAATAGGAGACTTTCTTAGAAGGAAATGCTCTTATAAAAATTACTAAAATTAAGTGAATGTTTAAGTTTCTGTAAATACTTCTTTTGGAGCGTTGGAATTAGGTGGATATCCGTTGATTAAAAATAACTTGGACTCAAACCCCATATAATAAAGAATAAGATGGCCTATGTATGGTTCTGCCCATCCATTAGCTAAATCATGAGGAGCATATACAGAATTAGAAAGATATTGTGGAACTTAATCTAGTTGGTTCATATGCATATAAATTTTTTCTAAAATTGTTTTTGACCCAAAGAAGCTGAATAACCATCTGAATTCAGGAGTTATGTTATATTATGAAGATAGCATCATCTAAATACTTCTCCAAGCGCAACCCCATCCAGCATCATCTATTTAATCACTGAAATACGGTGTGTATCTCATATTTATGGTTGGGAGTATTTAATTGATATTTTCATTAGGATTGGCAATAATTCTGGGATGCAATTGAGTTTATCCATAATTGGTTTACTTTCTTAATGTATCTATANGTTTTTGTACTGAATTATGCTCTGAAAAATATGATTATTAAATTATGAAGGACAATAATGAAGAAATTGAAAAACAGTTCTTAAGCTTCAAAGGCAACAACATACAGGAACAATTCCAAGGTTAAAAAAGTGTTGATTTAAATTTTGATTGAATCATACTCTATTATTTCAGTTATAAATCTCATTTTTGTGTTGTTTCTAGTTTATTGAATTGATCTTCATAAATAATAATTTTAATTTATTTAGAACATCTTCTTTCTAAGTTTGACTTTATCAATAAATATTTTATTCTATGTTTTCTAATTATTTTATTGTTATTTAATTACTTAATCTCAGAACTAAGGAAATTTAATTTAGATTATTAAGGTTTCAGTAATTTATTATTTAAATTTAATATTGATTAATATTCAATGAAAATAAAACAAGATTTTGTAAATTCTGTTATATATAATAGATTTCAAAAGTAAATATTAATAAATGTCTATAATTTTCTTAATTTAAACTAAATAGAAACTTTTTCTTAATGAATATATATTAGATTGTGGGTTTATGATTTATTCATTCTTCGTAAAATAAAAAATTGTATAATATTGAGATTTAATAATATTTTTTATAAAGGAAGGTTGTACAAATATTAAAATGAGTATAAGAGACATCAAGATAAAAATTTCACTTAAATAATATTTAAATATCATCAACCATTAAATAACAATTAATTAATTTTTTAAAATAATTTTATAAATTTACATTCATTCAACTATTTAAGATCAAATAATCAACTATCTTTCTCTCCAATCCAACCAGACATCTTAACTTTTCATTATACATGTTGCCATCCAATACTTTTCATTAAAATGAAGTGTTTTATAAGAATTAGTATACATATAAAACTGCTCTTAATCAGGAGTAATAGAATTAGCAATTTAATCACCCTTCTCATTTAATGTGACTGTATACAATCCAATTTTCTAATGATTATTTTATATGTAATAGATATGTGGATCTCCAATAAATAGGATTGTATTATTTCCATCAATTTTATAATCATGAATAACCATACTATATTGAGAATCATCAATTTAAATAGGAGACTTTCTTAGAAGGAAATGCTCTTATAAAAATTACTAAAATTAAGTGAATGTTTAAGTTTCTGTAAATACTTCTTTTGGAGCGTTGGAATTAGGTGGATATCCGTTGATTAAAAATAACTTGGACTCAAACCCCATATAATAAAGAATAAGATGGCCTATGTATGGTTCTGCCCATCCATTAGCTAAATCATGAGGAGCATATACAGAATTAGAAAGATATTGTGGAACTTAATCTAGTTGGTTCATATGCATATAAATTTTTTCTAAAATTGTTTTTGACCCAAAGAAGCTGAATAACCATCTGAATTCAGGAGTTATGTTATATTATGAAGATAGCATCATCTAAATACTTCTCCAAGCGCAACCCCATCCAGCATCATCTATTTAATCACTGAAATACGGTGTGTATCTCATATTTATGGTTGGGAGTATTTAATTGATATTTTCATTAGGATTGGCAATAATTCTGGGATGCAATTGAGTTTATCCATAATTGGTTTACTTTCTTAATGTATCTATATTTAATATTATCATTAAAAATATCATCTATATTATGATAAATATTAAGTGCGAAGTTATTAAATCATTTTTTCTTTTTCTGAGACTAATACTCTAAGGCTATCTATTTCTGCATTTTTAAGGACTGTTAATGCTAATAATTCTTAAATTTTATTGTATTGGTTTCCGGACTCAGTATATCGAATATGAAGTGTATCTATTTATTATTATAGGTTTTTATTTATTAATTGTAATTATTCATTTTATCGTTAAAGCTCTGCATTAGAAATAATTAATTAATTTATTTATTATGGTTATCTCTGAGTATTTTGGGTAGATTATTATTAAGATTAATATAATTCTTATTGCAATTTAATGAATTCAGATTTGATCGATTCTAGTTAATCGTTTGCCTATTAATATTTCAGTTTGTAATCTTCATTCATTTAAGAATCAACTTTAGCTAAGCAATGTTTAAGTTATTTAATATCATGCTAGCTTTAAGTAAATAATTCATTAATTTATTTTAATTCACTTTCTCTTACAACTTCACATCTACTATGTTTTATTTATAATTCTTCTAATTTACTACATTTATCTTCCAATAGCCAATATTGATGTCTAAGTTCATAGTATTTATCCTTCCAGTTAGTTTAATCATTCTGATAATATACCGGAACTATATAACGATATTTAGTACCTTCTAAAGTTCTAACTACAACTGGGGATATACTTCTAACAACAGTAACCTGAGGAGGTTGAATATTTATGACAGATTAAGTGATTTAATGACGAGGATAACGCGTTTGCATATAATTATAATATTAATCATTATTTTGGTTATTCTTTTAATGTTTCTAACAATGCTAAAGTTAAATTATAAACTTACAATTTACAATTGTCGTATAAATTTGAGCAGCAACAGAGTCAGGAGCTGTTTCATAAATGCATTTACCTTTTTCAGCTGACAATAAGACTTTTGGTTCTAGTGGTATTTTACCAAGAAGTTAGAGTTCATACTATTTGCATAATGAATCTCCTCCACCAGTGGTAGGATGAAAAATATCAGTATGGTGCTAACAATTAGGACATACAAATCCGCTCATATTTTCAACAACTCCCAAAATATTGGTCTTTGTCTTTTAACAAAAGCTGATCTCTTTTCTTACGTCAGACAAAGAAACTTCTTATGGTGTTGTAACAATCACTGCTCCATCATTTGGAGTAAGATTAAGGTATTAAACAATTGAAATGTGTTCATCAGAAGTTCCAGGAGGAGCTAAAAAGATTAATTGATAATATACTATCAATAATTAAGAAATCTAATTCTCCCCAAGCAACATCAGTTAAAAATTGTTTAATCAGTCCATTTTTTCTTGGTCCTCTCCAAATAATAGCTTCATCTTTATTATCAATTAAGAATCCTATTGACATCACTCCCAAATTTTCGTTGATATATATAGGTTACCAACCATTATTGCTTGAATGTACTTCACTTGTTTCTAACCCCATCATTCTTGGAATACTAGGTCCACAGATGTCTATATCTAATAAACCTACATCGAATCCTTTGGATGCAAGAATATGAGCTAATTATGATGAGACTGTGCTCTTGCCTACTCCCCCTTTACCTGATAAGACCAGTATCTTGTGCTTGACCTATTTTAAATTTTCTATGATTTCAGAATTATCTAAGAATATGTCTTATATTACCTAATAATTATTTGCCAGCTCCTTATTGACATAGTTATTAATTAGGACAACCAGAACAAGCTTCACTTTTTCCTGCTTAATCAGAGTTGGCTCCTGGACAATGCTCATTAGCATTTTCAGGAATATTTTAATTACTTTGCATGTATTTTAATTAATTAATGGGATTCAAAAGAATAAAAATAAAATTTATTATCAGAAATGGCTGAGTATCAACCACAAGCAATTATTTAATAACCTGCTCTATATGGAGCACCTCAAACAGTTACAGGTTAGCCTCAATTCGTGAGACCTATAGTTCTTGGAAATTCAACTTACTAACAATAACAAGTAACAAATTAGAATTTGGGTCAGAGTGGATTTTATTAAGGAGGAGGAATGTTGGTTAATCAACCAGTTTTAGGTGCATCAGCAATAAGTTCAAACCTAATCTCTGTAAATAATTGTTTCAAAGTAGACTGGATAAGCTATCAAAGGAGAGTCAAAAATTGAATACATACCATATGAAAAGACAATAATGGAATATGAAGAGGTTAGAAGATAAATTTAGGTGCCAATAACAAGATAGATTACTGAGTATTAGGCCATCTAATATGAAACTGAATATATTCCTTAAGTGATCTAAGAAAAAGTGATTGAATACATGCCAGTAGAAAAAGTTGCTGAAAGAGTTGAATACCAAACAGTGACAAGATAAAATATGCTTTAAGTAAAATAAATGTATTAAAATATTAGAATACTGTACAATAAGTATAGTAAACATAAATATAACCTATTGTGACAACTCAAACATATTAAACAACCACTCCTGTTGTATAAACTGTCTAAACACCTATTGTCACACAAGTGGCTTAACCAGTTGTCTAATAATAAATAGTTTAGAATGTTCCACAAACCTATTATTCAACATATTAATAACCAATTACTACATAATATATTTAGCAACCTCTCGCTGTTTAATAGACTATCCCAGCCCCAGTGTATTAATCTTCAAGTCCAAGATTAAGATAGCCTACACAAGTTATATAAGCTTCTGCTCCAGTAACTACCACTACTGCATATGCTCAACCACCTGTTCTATATTAAGCATCACAAACTAGAGTTGGCGCTCCTATTGTATAAACATAACCTGTTGCTTATGGTTATTAACCATAAGGATAATAATTACTAACCTATTAAGGATAAGTACCATAGCCAAACCTACCTAATTAATCCAATCAACCAATTTCTAACAAACAACCTAATCAGGCTTCTACTTAAACACCTAAGGTTAGTCAACCACCTTAATAACCATAAGCCAATTAAGTTCCATCTACTATGGTAAATTATCTTATTAAATTATTAATAGTAATAACAATAATAATAGCAACAACAATAGCAATAGCAAAAACCATAGCAGCAATAACCAATCACCAACCAACAATAATAGAAATAAGATAAGGGATTTTTAGCCAAGTTATTCGATTGAAATTATATTCATAGTGCATTATAAAATAAATATAAAATTTTTAATTCATGGCAAAATCATAAAGATCTAAAGTTATGCGAAGATGGAGATCACTTAAGAGAGAACATCTCCAAAATGTTAAAGTCAATTAAGATCTTCATGAATTAAATTAAAAATTAGAGGCAACCATACAAAATGTAAATTTCCTTATTTTTATATACTTTAGAGATTTCAAAGACCTACTCAACCCAAAAATAAGTTTCTACATCCCGATGATCCCACTGCCTAAATCCCTAAATACAAACCTTAACCTATTATTGATTTTAGAAGTTAATCACTACCTTATTCAGCCACTTAATTTGTTGGGGCTAGAAGAAAACCAGTTCAAGAAGTAGTTTTCAAGCCAGAACCAGAAGTTGAAGAGGAAATTGAAATGAATGATTAACCATAAAACGAAGAAGTTTAACATGATGAAGCAGATGATTTGATTAATGCTATGGAAGGAGTCAGAGTCAAATCCAAAAGAGAAATAAGAAGAGAAAACAAAGCCAGAGCTATGGAAGAGATCATTCCATTAACAAAAAATAAATAAATAAAAAAAAACAGAAGAAAGGAATTATAACCAGCAAGAAAATCAAAAAAAATAATTACCTTTTGATTCATGTTTATATAAATATATTTATATATTATTGATTTTGATAATTAAGTTAATTTGTATCTTGAATAAGCAAACATAATACAATCACAAAAATACCTCCATTCTAATAATTTGTAGTATTTTCTTAGAATATTTCAAGTATATGATTCATTTCATGTGGAGTCTTTAATAAATAAAATTATTTACTTTTTTATACTAATATATTATCTGAGAAAATCCTCTAAATAGTTTAGTATTTTAACTATTACTCTCTTTGACTGTTACATAATCAGTAAACTTGATATTTGTTAAAGATTAATCCCAAAAAATTAATTTTTTATACCTTCTCTATCTAGAATTATTGACACATAATATAAATGAAATTCTTCTGCTTCTCTTACCAAAGGACTCACCATCTTCTAGTTGAANCCTACCTAATTAATCCAATCAACCAATTTCTAACAAACAACCTAATCAGGCTTCTACTTAAACACCTAAGGTTAGTCAACCACCTTAATAACCATAAGCCAATTAAGTTCCATCTACTATGGTAAATTATCTTATTAAATTATTAATAGTAATAACAATAATAATAGCAACAACAATAGCAATAGCAAAAACCATAGCAGCAATAACCAATCACCAACCAACAATAATAGAAATAAGATAAGGGATTTTTAGCCAAGTTATTCGATTGAAATTATATTCATAGTGCATTATAAAATAAATATAAAATTTTTAATTCATGGCAAAATCATAAAGATCTAAAGTTATGCGAAGATGGAGATCACTTAAGAGAGAACATCTCCAAAATGTTAAAGTCAATTAAGATCTTCATGAATTAAATTAAAAATTAGAGGCAACCATACAAAATGTAAATTTCCTTATTTTTATATACTTTAGAGATTTCAAAGACCTACTCAACCCAAAAATAAGTTTCTACATCCCGATGATCCCACTGCCTAAATCCCTAAATACAAACCTTAACCTATTATTGATTTTAGAAGTTAATCACTACCTTATTCAGCCACTTAATTTGTTGGGGCTAGAAGAAAACCAGTTCAAGAAGTAGTTTTCAAGCCAGAACCAGAAGTTGAAGAGGAAATTGAAATGAATGATTAACCATAAAACGAAGAAGTTTAACATGATGAAGCAGATGATTTGATTAATGCTATGGAAGGAGTCAGAGTCAAATCCAAAAGAGAAATAAGAAGAGAAAACAAAGCCAGAGCTATGGAAGAGATCATTCCATTAACAAAAAATAAATAAATAAAAAAAAACAGAAGAAAGGAATTATAACCAGCAAGAAAATCAAAAAAAATAATTACCTTTTGATTCATGTTTATATAAATATATTTATATATTATTGATTTTGATAATTAAGTTAATTTGTATCTTGAATAAGCAAACATAATACAATCACAAAAATACCTCCATTCTAATAATTTGTAGTATTTTCTTAGAATATTTCAAGTATATGATTCATTTCATGTGGAGTCTTTAATAAATAAAATTATTTACTTTTTTATACTAATATATTATCTGAGAAAATCCTCTAAATAGTTTAGTATTTTAACTATTACTCTCTTTGACTGTTACATAATCAGTAAACTTGATATTTGTTAAAGATTAATCCCAAAAAATTAATTTTTTATACCTTCTCTATCTAGAATTATTGACACATAATATAAATGAAATTCTTCTGCTTCTCTTACCAAAGGACTCACCATCTTCTAGTTGAATTTAGACTTAAGTCCTCCTCAAAGGCGAATTGAGTTTTCAAAAATTTTTTATTAAATTTAGGCCATATTTCTAATCCAGTTTATAAATAATTATCTCCATCCACGTCATATCCCAATCTAAAATCTTACTTAATATATTCTTCTATTGGGATATCACTTAAATTCTAATTTTGAATAGGTTGTGGAATGATGAATTCTTTATTAATTTATTGATTATTCTACTTTTTTATTTATATATCTTCTCTTATTTTTGTTAATTCATATTTTTACCTTATCCCTTCTATTTTCGCTTCTTTTTCTAATAACTATAAAGAGTTTACAATTAATAGATATCAATGTTAAATTTATTTTCAAAATATATTTAAGTATTTTTAATAATGATTTAAAATTATATATTAATTACATATTTGGAATTCATGAAAATTCATAGGGAATTATGATTTAAATAAACTTGAAATCAATTGCTGAAATTCTTTCAGATTATCAGACTTACTTAATTAATTGTTTAATAGATTAATTTTAGATGTTAATTACATATATCTCACCTATACAGGAATATAAATTTAATCCTAATATCTTTTAGATTATATTGAAATCTATTAGTTAATTTATATAAACCTTTTAATTCAGATTTTTATTATGTTTTGAAGGCTACTTATATATCTATATATTAAGATTAATTTTTAAAAATAAATTAATATGTACTTACAATATTTTAATATTATTTTAGAATCTTTGTAAAATATCTTCAATTTATTTATTTAAGTGTTTCAAAGCTAATTGGTCCATAATTATCACATATTAATCTTCAATTATGTCTTTTTATAATGCAATCACTTTTAAATTTAATATTTATTTTTTTACCCATTGAATTCAACAAATAGTAATGATAAAGCTCTTCTAATTATTATTTGAATCTTCTCTAGTTTCAGAGTAATACTTAAAAATCTAATAGGTACCAAACATTATTGCAAAACAATAGAGCAAAGCATCTTAGCATTCTTTTTTTTATTTTTTTTCATAGAATTCTTTTTCAAGGAACAATCTCTTATCTGCTCTTGCTACAATCCAATTAATATATATTTTCTAATTAAATAATGGTTCCTTATATGGTTTTCAAATTAAGAGCAACTGCAATATCACTAAGAAGAGTGCATTTTTATAGTGCATAGCAAACTAAATATGAATTTGGTAAAGTGTCTAAAATTATTAATTTTAAGTAGATTTTGAAGACTTGGAAATCTTTAGAATAAATAAGCAATATAAGATTCTGATTAATCTTTGCATTCTTATCTAATCAAATTCCATTTCTCCATAAATTAAAATATAAATTATATATGAGAATTGAAAAGTGTTATTTTTGCTCTGGTCCCATCTACCCAGGTCATGGAATAGTATTTGTTAGAAATGATAGCAAAGTATTCTTCATTTGAATAATTTATAGATGTTTCGATTTTGCAGATCTAAATGCCATAGACACTTTAAAGCTTAACACAACCCAAGAAAAACAAGATGGACTAAGGCTTTTAGAAAAGCAGCTGGAAAGGAGATGACTAATGATAGTATCTTTGAATTTGAGCAAAAGAGAAATGAACCCTTAAAATATAACAGAGATTTATATATCAACACAGTTTAAGCCATGAAAAAAATAGATAAAATCAGATTAAAAAGAGAAAACAATTTTTGGAAAAATAGGTATATTTTATAGTAATTTTTGCAGATTAAGAGCATAAAGGAAATAGAATCTAGATAATGTGGAGACAGAATTGGCAAAGAATATAAATTTAGTATCAGATAAATCAGTTAAAGAAATAATAAAATAAAAAGCCATAGAAAAAGCTTAACTTAAGGCATAAAAGTAAAAGAGACATTAAAAGAAAGACATGGTAGAAGAGGAAGCTTGAAACTTAATTATTTGTTTTAAATAAATATAATTTCACAATTTATTCATAGTTTATGGATTTGCAGTTTGAGGCTTTTTAGTTATTTTATATTACTTTTGTAATTCAATGAATTCTGTTTCTGGTACAAGTTCTTTCAATTATCTATTTAATCATAAGATTTATTATTACTCTAATAGTTAAATTGATGATTATTAATGTATCAATTTTAATTTTGATTACCTATTACTAATTTCTGATTCTACTTTCTATTTTGAAGTCAACAAATAAAATAAAACTTTTTCTTACTCATTTTTTTATTATTCTAATTTCTTTTAAGCATTTAAAGATCGTTCCAACAATAAATCTTATTAACTAAACTTATGATAATTAATTAAATATACTTATTTTCTTCTTCTCAACTCTATTTTTTACAATTATTCTCTTTAATTTTAAACATTTTATTCTCTTAATTATTTGATTTCTTCTAATTTGCTCATTCTTAGTTTCTTAGAAACTTCATCTTTATTTTACAATTTCTCTTATAATTTTAATTACCATTGTCTATTCTAAATATTTGTTAAATATACTTTTCTTCTTCTTAAACTTATTCTAGATTTTATTAATGTTTCTTTAATTTATCTTTTCTTTCCTTAGACATTTTAGTAGCTTCTTTCTTTATAAGATCTTCATTCTTCTTTTTTTATTCTTCAATAGATATCATTTTTTATCCAAAATTATTACATAATTCAGATTCCCAAATAGCTTTTGATAATGCACTTTTTTCATGTATTCTCATTAATTATTATTCATATCTCCATTGTTTATCTTATCTATCTTTTGCTTATCTTTCTACTGATTTTATTCTATTTTCTTCTGTTTAGGTTTCTTTTCTAATATTTTAAAGTTAAGTTTCAGATTATTCATGTTTTAATAATGACTTTCTAAATAATATTTTCTCTTCTAATTTTTTATTTCTTTCTATTTTTTCCATAATTATTGTAGATTTTTTATTTGCTATTTCATTATCTCTAATATAAATTATTAAAAATACTTTTAATTCAATTTTTCTTAAAATTCTTTTGCTTTAGCTAAATCTTCTTCTATTTATTCTTCTTTCATTTTTTTTTATGTTTCACATTTCTTTTTAGCCTTCTTATTTTATTCTTATGCTTTCATTTTAATCTCCATAATTTTTGCTGATCTCATTTATGCATTTTTTTGTCTTCTCTCTAAAGATGTTTATTCCCACTATCTTCTATCTAATTCAAACAATAATGCTTCTTTCACTTCAATATTGTTTAAACTTAATTATCTTTATCTTTCCTAATTTATTTTACCAATTTTATCTTCGATTGTTATAGTTTAACATGGAAATCTACTTGTTGAATGTACACTATTAAATGGTATATGTTCATAACCACGTAATTCATCTTCTTCTTACTATTTTTTTTAAAACCATTCTTTTATTTATTTTCTTTACTCTTTCAGTTCCATATAATCATCTAATTGTCAATAATGGAAATTACTTAATAATTATTCTAAATATGTCTCATATTCAAAATCAAGTGATTACTAATCCAAAGATTTATTATTTCTTTTATTTCTATATTCTAACTCATTATGTTTTTCAAACTTATTCCTTAAATGTGAATACTATCATATACTTCCTTCTAAAGTCATATTTAGTTTTATTCATTTTTAACAATGCTTTCTAAGTTCTTGGAGAATCAAAATTCATATTTATTTCGAACTCTTATATCTTAGCCAATAATTCTTTCTAAGAACTCAATTTATGAAATTTAGTTTATGTGAAGAACATAAAATTTAATAATAATTATCATAATACAATATTTACTCTCCTTTAATAACTCAATTTAACTTTCTCTAAGTACTCCCAAGATTATTATTTCTTTTGTAATGGTAAATTTGTACTCTATAGAATATCATTTTATTAGAAATCCATTTATGTTAATGAAGGTAAGTATTTTATTAAAGTGATTAATGCATCATAAGCATGATGATCTAATAAATTATTACTAAGATCTAACTCTTAAATATTAGTTTAAACTAAAACTTCACAAAGATCCAAGAAATACTTTGTTGAAATCATCATATCTGACATTTTCAATATTTTAAGATTTTATAAATCTAATAATAATATCTTAATAGTTTAATTTCTAGGATATGTATTACTAGATATATTTAAATACTCTAATCTTTTGCATTCACTCAATAAAGTAGTTAATAATTTAAATGCAGTTTCATTTAATTAAGTTTTTATTAATTCAACTCTTAATAAATTTATCAAAGGAGGTTCAATCATAACTAAATAGAGAATATGTTCATTAGTTATTTATTTATTCTTTATTGTAATTGATGATTAATTCTTGATATTTACAGAAATTTCATTATCATTCTTTTAATATTTAGTAGCTTTTTCTCCACCATAATTAATAGTGACTAAATCTGATGCAAGATGAGGTTTCTTATGTTATTATTAATATTCTTAAAATGTCTTAAATTCAGAATAATTAACATTACTCCAATATTCTTTCCATGCTTTCTAAGTGTCTAAATTATGTGAATTTAATTTTAATATTCTTTCTAATCTACTTTATAACCAAATATGAGAATCAATTGCATCTACTTCATTACTTGAATTAAAGAATTATTTATTAGAACTAGAATTCTATTTAATCTTTTAAGAATTAGGTCTACTGAAAGTATTATCATCTTTTTAAGAATTGTTTCCAACATTTTTTTATTAAGGCATACGAATTTCTTATATTTTTAACTTTAAATCAGATTTAACATTTAATAACTCCTATTCAAATTATTCTTATCTTTTAGTTAAAGGTATTTTCATTCTTAAATATTTCCTTTTTTCAGGATCAATTTCTTAAAATTTATATTCTTTATTAAGTTTTTCAGGTGAATTCATTTGTTCAAATTCATTAATGTCCATTTTAAATACATCTTTAATAATATTTGATATTATTTCTGATGCTTTAACTGTTTCTTTTTCTTCTTTTGCTTATTCAAACTTCTTAGGAATTTGATCTTATCTTTTTTATGTTTTACGATCTAATCTTCTATTAGGTAAACGAGGATTTGGATCAGTAGATCTCAAATCAAGAAAATCATTTAAAGAACCAACATCTAAATCTAAATTTTTAGCTATTTTCTCATCTTTTAATGATTCTTAAACTGTAAATATTTCACCTATTTCGAATATCATTATATAAATATTTTATTTATATTATATTTTCATAAATTTATGATTTTTAACTATAATGAAATTTCATCCAAACTCATTTAATTTGATTATCCTTTATCAAAGAATTTTCTCATTATTATTTCTCTTTCATAATCATGATTAGAATCAAAATCTTAGAAATTTAATTATTCAATATTTTCTTAATTTTCTTTTATTAATTATTATTTCTTTCGTTTTTATTCTTCTTCAAATTAAGATTTTACTTTCTATTTAATAGCATTTCTTTAATATTCATCTATAACTTAACTATTAATATTCAATTTAAATTCATATCTAGGTTCAAAGATCTACATAATTTATTTTGCTCTTTAATATTCACAAAAGGCTTCATAAATATGTAAATTATTTTATTTTAATATAAGTATTTCTAATTCTTATTTTAAAAATGATTAAAAATAAAAGAGATCCTAATAAATTAATAATTAATAAGGTCTATATAATTTTTATGGACATTATAATAATTTTAATCCCATTTACATTACATTCTATATCTTATAAATCCATATGAAATCCTATTCATCTTCTGGATATTATAATTTTCTACTACTTAAATAAATCTATTAATTAATTGATAACTTTTAAAGAAATGAATAATAAATAATACAAAACATTTTTGGTTTTAAATTTAGAGAATCTGCATTATTAACTGTTTCAGTATTTATTATTGGATTTTATAATTTTTGATTCATTTCAATTCTTGCTTTTCTTTTATCTTCAATTTTTTCTCCTTTCTTTTAATTTTATTAATATTATTATTATTAATTTTATTATTATTATAATGATTAAGGTATATAACTATTTGTACTTTGTTCAGTAATCATTCTTTCAATTTAAATAAAATTTTCTCTATTTTCAGTCATCAATGTATCTAACCAATAAATTGGAATTTATCTTAATTATTCACAAATTTCATCATTTGATATATTTGAATGAATAACTAATAATAAATTTAATAATTGTTCTGGTTTTGGATCCATAGTTATAAGTGATTCTCTTTATCTCAACATTATGAAAATTGGAATTGGTTAATTACATAACATTTAATTAAAATTCTTAATTGATAATTAGAGCTCATGAGTTGTTGAAGGTTTCAAGAGTTTTTAAAGTGTTTATTAAATATCATCTTTTGATTTAAACAGATTTGTAAATTTTGAGAGTAACGACATTTATTTATTAATAAAATAATACTATGACATAAATTTTCTTTATTAGAACAAAACCTAATATATATTTTAATGTAAATTAATAAATTAAATAAAACATAAGTTATTGAAGAAAAACAAAACTCTAGAATTTATAAATCTATGTAAATGGGAAGCAACAATAAAAATTCTATATAAGATTATTAAGTACATTTAAGAGCAGATTCAACTATACTAATACCATTTATAGATGCTTGTATGATTGAATGGAATGAAAGTGCAATTTCAGAAGCTGCAAATAACAATTCTGGAAATTATGAAACTAATTTCTTACATTTCAAACATTTTCTTGAAGATTAATGTGTTTTCTTAAAAAATAATTATGATCTTGCAATTAAAATAATTGATTATTTGGATAGTAAAAAACTAATTGTTGGTTATATAAAAAATTCAGAGGCTTAATTATAAACTGATGATAAAGCAAGAAGCACAACAAATATCCAAAATACAATTAAAAATATCAGAAAAGATATATATCGTTTTAGAAAAGAACTCAAAGATATAATGGCTATCTGTGCAGAAGCAGAAACACCATTAATACTTAATGAAATTGGAAATCTCAAAATAGAAATTTTAGAGAGATACAATTAATTAGTTAATGATATTATACCAGGCATTTTATTTGATGATATTTCAATTGAAATAGTTCAAAACTATTATATTAATTAATCTAATGCTTAATCTGATGAAGTTAATCATTTTAATTTAATTAAATCATATGTGTTATCACCATTTATTCCACGATTTAGAGCATATGTTTATTAAATTTATGAAATTGCTCAATCAGAATTCAATTAGACTTAGTAATTAAATATTATATTCATAGAAATCTATTAAATAAATTACAACAAATTGGTAAAACAGCCAGCAATCAATAAAATTAATCAGTTTAATTATACTATGATTTACCTTATTTAATTGATTCATATAAAGTAAATCTCAATTAATAATGTTCTTTATTACCAACAACTCTATAAGATGATAAGGATTATTGGAATTATTATCAATCAAATGTTTAATTGAAAGAGAAAATTAATAATGAATTAATTAATATTAAAGTTAAAAATGAATAAGAATAATAAGAAAAAAGTTGTCTTTAAATAGAATTTAATTAATTAGTTGAATAATAAGATTATTTTCATAAACTATTTCTTTTTCAAAAATAAATTCCTATCCTTATAGATTAATTAAAAGATATAAATTAAGAGAAAGATAAAATGTGGAAAGAATTACCAGAACATAAAGTAATTTAATAAGAAAGATTATCATAAATGCTTTAAACATGTATTAACATAAGTAAAAGTATCAATGATTAATTTCCTCATGGTAGGATTCCATTTAAATTTTAATAAGTTTCAATGACAGCTGATAATTTAGCTAAATAGATTTAAGATCTTATGAATTTCAATTGTCATTAAAATTAATAAAATTATGTTAATAATCCAAGTCTTCCAGATAGAATAAAAGAATTAATGAAATGGGAATATAATGGAGAATCAATTGAATAAGCTTAAGGTGAAAATGCAGAAATCAACAGTTATCTTACATAAATATTTGAATTTAATTCAATTACAAATGTATTACAAATATTCATTTATATTTTTAGAAACCTCCTTAAATTGAAGGTGAATTAAATTAATAACTTGAGTAATGTAACCCTGATAATATTAATGAAATGATGGAATTAAATGAAAATTATAATATATGGAAGAATATGTAAGCTGCAGGAATGTTCTTAAATGAAGAATATTTATATACAACTCTAAAAGATTCAGAAGGATTACCTTAATATGCAAAGAAATTATAACATCTCAAGACATTCTTCTCTATAAATTAGTAAATGTAATATGTTGGATATATTACAGATGTTCTAAGTTTAATTTAATTGGTTTAAACTAAATAATTAGATCAAGCTAAATTATTCATTTAATAATCAAAAAATATTCCAAGAATTTATAAATAGAATTTATTATAAGCACTATGTTGAGACTATAAGGAAATTAAAATATGAATATATTGCATAAATAATAATATTTATATAAAAAATAGAATAATTAAATTATGTCTTACGGAAATAAAATAATCCCTAGTGTTCCTAAATTCACAGAATTCAAAGATTATACTTCTAGTCAAGTTTTATAGATGCATACTCCCCATTTATTATAGAAATAGCATAAATAAGATTTAGTCTTATCATCTGACTATTCTATGGAAGTAGAACCAACCAAAAAATATACATTATAATCAGCACATATGCAATTAACTGGTAAATAGGATGTATATTAAAGGACATTAGAGTGAAGTTTATTGTGTTAAGTACTCTCCAAATGGAGACTATCTCATAACAGCTGGATTTGATAAAAAAATATTGATTTGGGATATATATAACAATTGTACTAATCTAGGAATTTTGGGAAGCCATAAAAATGCTATTCTTGATGTTGCTTGGTAATATGATGGAGTTAGATTATTTACTGCATCAGCTGATAAGACTGTATAAATTTGGGATATGGAAACATATTTACCTTTAAAGAAATTGAAGGGACATTAGAGTTATGTTAATTGTTGTTATCCTTCAAAAAGAGGATAAGATCTTTTAGCATCTGGAGGTGATGAAGGTTATACAAAAGTATGGGATTTAAGAACAAGAAAATTAGCTTTTGAAATTCAAGGCAAGGTAACTCTCTATTTTTAAATCACTTCAGTATCCTATCACAAGTGTTTGTTTCACTGAAAATGGGGAGAGACTTTATACTGGTTGTTTAGATAATATCATTAGATGTTATGATGTTAGAAAATAAGAAATTGAATATACTTTAGATAATCATACAGATACTGTAACAGGATTAGCAATCAGCAATGATGGTTCTTATTTATTGAGTAATTCTATGGATATGACAGTTCGTACTTTTGATATTAGGTAATATATTTAATATTAAATCAAGACCTTATGTTTAAGGAAAAAATAGATAAGTAAGGGTATTTACAGGAGCAACAGCAAATACAGCTGAAAAGAATTTACTTAGATGTGCATGGAGTCATGATGATTCATATATATCTGCAGGATCTGCTGATAAGAATGTTTATATTTGGGATTTTAATTCAAAGAAAGTTATCCATAAATTAGGAGGTCATTAAGGAACTGTAATTATTTATTTAATTTAAATTAGGTTAATGAAACTGCATTTAGTCCAAAAGATAAATTGATAGCATCAGCTAGTAATGATAAAACAGTAATTATTGGTGAAATTCCAGAAGTAACTTTGTGATAAATTATTAAGAAATAATATAATTCAACATTTTAATCTATTCTCTATTTCATTTTCAAGAATATATCCTTTCTCAAGAATTTCACTCATAATTACATCATAAATTTCATTTAATTTTACTAATTTTTGCTTAAAAGATCTATTTTCTGAATAGACTTTTATAGAATCAAAAAATAATTTAGTACTTGCTTCATCTGATTAATCAAATCCATTTTAATTTAATATTTCTTATCTAATTTATGATTATTTTATATACTTTTTACTCTACTATTTCAATTCTGTTAATATTTATTAAAATGCATTTGAATGTTTTGTCACTTTTACACCATTATTTTATTATGCATATTCTTGTATTTTTATATTAAATATTTTAGCACTACTAATTAAGATTTAACATTAAGTTTTTAGTATTAGTTCTTCATTAATAAATTCAGGTAATTTTATATTTATAGGTAAATTTAATTCCAATTTTATAGCTTAATCAAATCCTAAATTAATATAATTTTATAATTCTGCTATTTAATCATCATCTTTGTAAATTATTTAACAATTATAATTAACTTCATCTTTAGATACTTCATATTTAATATATACACTTTATTCAATTTTTTCAATTACATTTTAAAATTTAGATTCAATCAAATCTCTTAAAATTTCCTATTTATTTTCATTACTTTTTTTATTATAAACATGATTTTGTAGTTTTCCATATTCTATCATTCTCTCCCATACAGGGTAATATTATTTTTAAAGGTCTTTTAATATTTTTATTAATTATGCTTTTTCAATTATCCTTTCTTCTCTTAAATTTATTATAAATTTACTTTTTATTCTTATTGTTTATTAAATAAAGACCTAATCCTGCAAAGGCAATACAACTACTAAAAACTGCCAGTTTATTCATATTCTAAAGTGTTTCTAAATCAATATAAATATTTATTAAATTTGAAGCTATAAATATAAAATATTATAATACTTTAAATTCATATTAATTCATTAAATATTTATTCTATTTTTAATATTCATATAATCATTTATAGTAATACAAATTCTTAAATTATAATTAGGTTCCATATATATATTGAAAATAATTGATTCTTATTGTAAGGAATCTAATATAATAAAAATCATAATCCAAAAAATAAGAAAAATATGTTATAATATTCATAAGTAATGAATATTTCTTTGAAATTCATTGCAGAGAATTATCATAACTAAATTAAATATAACAATATTTAAAATTTTAGTATTTTAAAATGGATTAAAAAAAATCTTTTAATTAAGATATATTAATATCAATAATATAACAAAATAAAAGCTTTATAGAATAGTACTTTTTTGATAACATTAATAAAATATGCAATAAAACTATTTGACATATAATAAATAGGTCAAAGTATATCTAAATATCTTTATTAAAAGATTTAAACTTTATGAAATTAATGAACTTTATAATTCATATTTTCATACTAGATGGATATGGATAAAATAATATAACTTCTAAATTATAAATTTTAATTGGAATTATAGTCTTAGATTATCTTGAACTCTAAGACATAGTAATTTTTATGATTAAAAAAATTTAAAGAAATTTGATTTAATATTAGTGAAATTTGAATATTCTATAGATTGAAGTGAGTGGGTTAGCTCATTTAATTAGAATTGTTTGCTTAATGTACATTTATATAAATTGATTTTATTTTAAGTCATCTATAACTCTTTTATCTTCTGGCACGAGCACCCTTACCACCAAATTTACGTGGTTCACATCTTCTTGGATCAGCAACTAAAAGAGTTCTGTCATATTATAAAAGAAGATCCTTGATTTCTCTCTTTTATGTTTCATCAATGTATTTTTAATAGTATGCTACAATACCCTTGCTGATTGCCTTTTTTATTAATTAATATTTCCTACCTATCTAATGGCATAGATCTAAGCAGTTGTACCACCACCTCTAACAGTAACTCTGATATCAAGTCTGCCTGTTCTGACTTAGCCTAACAATAAAAGTGGCTCAAGAGCTTTTTATCTCAAGGGGGCAGGGTTGACTAATTCGATAGGAGCACCATTAACTTTGACAATTCCTTGTAATATATTGTTTAATTATACCTTTTCCTTCTCTAACGCTAGCACTGGCAACGGCATTCTTCTTTCTTCCAAAAGTTTATACAAGTTTTGGTTTTACACTTGGTGTTGACATATCCAATTAAATACTTAAAAAAATATTTAATCAAATTTTTCAATTGGTTTTTATATATAATCTAAATTTTCTGTAATATTTAATGAGTTTATTAGGAGTTGATTATGATAGTGATGAATTGTGTTTAGTATTAAATTGGATTTCTTGATTTTGATTAATTTGAGAGTTGTTTAGAATTAACATAAATGAATAATTTAAATGAATTCAAAGAAAGAATTTAATTTCTATTGGCAGAAGCATTAAATCCACCAAAAAAATAATAATGTTTAATAGAATTCAATAGATTGCTTGTAGCAAATAAAAGTGATCAACATTAAAAAATAGTATTGTAAGTGTTAGAAACATAAAGAATGAATGAAGTTAATCTAAGAGCTTTAAAAATATCTGTGTAAGTATAGAAATATGATTTGAATTCATCACTTAGAGCAGCAACTATCATTAATAAGGCATTTAATGAAGGAACAGAAGTAATTTACTAATTATGTGGTGAATGTTACAGATTATTAGCTAATTCTACAACTATTAATTCTTTAAGTGATTTACTATGTAATTTAGCATTAAAATTAACTTCATAGCCTATTTAAGTAATATTTATAATTTGATTAATTAGATTGGTTCCACAATTTCATTACATTATTTATTATAATTTGAAGTATTACCTAATACAAAGAAGTTAATATAATAAGCATATATAAAGAATTAACTAATTTGCCATTAATCAATGGTGGAAATAATGATAAAGATAACTACAAGTTAGGATTCAAATCTAGTATAAATACTTTAAAGAAGTTTAGCAGCTCTTTAAGAATAGAGACATACATATTAAGTGAAATAAACATTATGTAAATTTATGTTAGCATTATCTGATTATCAAATATATGATGACAATTTGTTAGTAATAATATCAAACCTTATTTTAGTTATAATGTGTAACCATTTTAAGAGAAACAACTTTTGATAGAGTAGTTACTGTTTAATAAGCAGCTAAATTAGCTTTATAATCATATTAAAATCTCTATATTGCTAGAAATCCACCATAAGTAACAACTTCTAGTTATTTTCCTGATGTGAAACCATTCATCAAAAAAAAAAGAGGGGATGGACATTTGGTTTTGAATGCAGAAAAATATAAGAAAATGTAAATTAGTTAAGTAAAGTAATAATTGGAGAAAATTTAAGAAAAAGTAACAGAATAAAAAATACAAGATTCTTTAATTGATTAATTTATTTAATAAGAATAAAAATAATCAGATTTATAAAATTAAGAATAAATTGAAGAAATATAATCTGATTAAGATCAAAATGAAGAGATTACAGAAAATATTAATCCTTAATTATAAGATACATAATTATTTGTTGATGAAAAAATAGAAGAAACTTAAGATTTTACAGAAGATTATTATGAAAAAGTATTGGATTTAGTAGAAGATTGTTAAATAGATTAAGCATTTAAATTAGCTCTATATAATAATGATGATTTCCTTATTATTTAATTGATGATGACAGTAAAAGATTATTTCAGTGAATTAAGTAACAAAACTGCAGAGTAATTAATTAAGAAATTCAATGCTATTTACAAGTCTAATTTTGTTGAAGTTATTTTTAAAGATTTTGCTAAAGAAGCCTTAAGGATGCCTAATAAAGAAATGCTTAAAATTGGATAAATAAATTAATTATAAAAATTTATATGATTATATTGTTTTTCCTATTGTAGATTTCTAATAATAAGTTAATAGCCCCTCGTAAAGTTATTCATGCAATAGATTGTGGAAATTATATAGATACTCGTACATCTTCAGGCATTAAGTATAAGAGTGTAATTTGATGCTTAATTATTCTAGGATCATCATTATATTGGAACATCAGAAATAGTAGATTATTATGAATAAGCAGAGAATAGAAAAATAAAATTTACAGATGATCAATCTCTATATATTACTTAAAGATAGGGTTAAAGTTTTGCTTATACTATTCCTATAGGTAATGAAGTTCCTGAAAATTAAACGTATGTTTTAGTATTAAAATTTGCTGAGGTATTTTGATCTCAGATGTTAGTTACATTATGAAGAAAGTAATTCCAGAGTCTTTAATGTATTATTGGGAAAGAAGATGATTCTATAAAATATAGATATTTTATAATTAGTAGGATCATTTACAGCACATACAGAATATATAGAAATTATAATTGATGGAGGAGCAGTCTATTATTAAGGAGAGCCTTGTTTTGGAGCATTAAATAATAGAAATGAATTAGTTGTTGGATTCAGTGCAACTTAAGATTTAGCAACTATTGCTGCTTTATTTTTATTTAAAGGTCCTTTGAAAGATACAGATTATGAAGATAAATAAATGTTTTAAGAAAGATGGATTTAAAGAAATACTCCTAAAACTAATGATGAAATTAAAAAATAAAATGAAGAAAGAATTAAAAATATTGAATAAGAAATAAAAGAGAAATAAAATATTTTAAAAATTAGAGAAGGATTTGGACATGAGATTGATATTGAAGAAATAAAAATACCTTAAAAAAAAACAGAATGGCCTGAATTCTCATTTTAATTATTATTTATTTTACTCAAAACACCATTAGGAGCTGTTCTTTTAGTTGGATTTTTAACAGTTTGTTTTGTTACAATAAGTTTTGTTTTCTTTGATCCATATGGATAAAATAAACTTAAATAATAATATTAAGAAATAAAAAAATAGAAAAATATAAAATAAAGTACAATCCCTAAAAAATAAGTAATACAAAAAACAGATTGATTATCATAATGAACTTTTATTATATTCAATAAATCTATTGCAATATTCTATCTTAGACATATATTCTTATTTTTATTTTTTTAATTCTTCAATTCTATCTTATTTTAAATCACATCCATATTTTAAATTTGAAACAATTTATTCAGCTTTTTAAACTTATTATTCTTATGCTTCTATTTATCCTAATTTAATTTTAAGTTATTAATTTTCATTTTCTAATTTCATTAATAAATTTTATTCTTATTTAAATTCTTCTTATAAAGATTTTTTAATTGCATAATATTCTTTTTTCCATTATTAATCTTCTTATTATTCATAATCAGTTTCAGGTTCCTATTTTATATTTCTGTAAAAATTCATAAATTCCTTAAATCTCTCTATTGTTTCCCTTAATAATGATGTATATTAAGAATTATTTGATGTAGATTATTCTATATTTCTATTATTATTTAATTTAGTAAACTCTTATAATTCTTTATCTTAATTTATTTATTCTTATTTCTTCTTTTAATCTAATAATATTAATTCTCTTTCTAATCTTTCAATTATTTCTTTTTATTTATCAATTTTAGATTTATAATGATTAAGTTTCTATTATTACATCTCATTTTTATGAATAAACATTTCATTCTAAATTATATCTTTTTATAATTAATTGATTTCCTTCTTTAATCTATTATATTTTTCTTCTATTTTTACTATCTTCTCTGGACTTATTAAATTTGGAGATTAAGTTTAATCATCATTAACTTCTTATAATTCCTTTAATTTTTCACTCAATTATTATTTCTCTAATTCTCCTTTCATTATTTAAATTTAAGTTTCATTAATACTTTTTTTTAATTCACTTATTCTTAATAAATGATGATTAATATTTTTTCTTTATTCATTAAATTTTAATATTTGTGAGGATATAAAATCCTATAATGGATTTTTAGTTACTATTGGCAATTATTCAAGAACATCAGCATTTTAAAGCCATGGATGTTTAAGAACTTCCTCTAATCTTAATCTACTTTATGGTTCTAATCTCAAGATCTTTCTTACTAAATCTCTAGCTAATGGTGGAAATGTGTCTGGAAATCTAATACGAACATTTAAAACATTTTCCCTTATTACACTCTATTTCTCATGAGTCATTAAGGAATTCTCTTCTTCCTTATTCAAAAAAGGAGAATGTCCAGCCAATATTTCAAATAACAATACACCCAAACTCCATATATCAACACATTATGTATAACCTTTATTTAAATATATTTCAGGTGCCATGAATAGATAAGTACCTTCGAATGTAAATCTTAATTCATCTTTTGCTAATGAATTAGCAGAACCAAAATCAGCCAATTTTATTGCATTATTTTTTGTTATTAAAATATTTTCAGGTTTAATATCTCTATGCAAAATTGGTGTAGGTCTTGAATGTAAATAAATAAGAGTAGAAACTATTTGTCTATAATAATGTATGGCATATGTTTCTTAAAGGCGAGTGTCTCTTTTTAAAATGTCATATAAATTAGATCCATCAATATATTCTAAAATTAAATAAACATTATTCTCATCTTCAAAATGAGTTATAAGTTTCATAATGTTTTCATGATCTAATTAATACATGATCTTGAGTTCTAGAACAGCTGAATTTATTTTACCATGTCTAATTAATGTTTATTTAACAATTTGTTTCATTGCATATGTCTAACCTTAATATAATATTCTATAAACAACTCCAAACTATCCTTTACCAAGCATTTCTTATTATGTAATTTCATCAAGTGTAACTATTCTTTTTGGTTAGACATTAATTAGATTTTCAAAACCTTTGCTCATTTAATAACAATAATAAAATCATCAATTCTATAAATTGTATAATTAATAACCAGAATTTCAATCTATTATGAACTACATTGCATAATATAGTCTGTAAAAATAACTCATATTTATTATTTAATCAATCATTAGATTGTATTTTTACAACTATATTTTAGACTATAAAAATAAGATGATTTTATTCTTAAAATATGATGAATTTATTATTATATTCACTAATCTGGCATCTATTTAAGTTAATTTATTATAAATTTGATGAAATCATTCATTATTATTCTGTAAAGATTATTTTATTGATATTATGATAAGATCTGAAGAATAATACACAATTTTATACTTATTTTTAGATTTTGAATTAATTAAACAAGAATATAAATAAAAAAAGTAAATTATGAATGAAGATTTTCAAATATAAAATTTTTAGGATTCACATAAAGAGTAAAGTTTGTTATGTAATTTTATTACTTCTATCAAATAGTATTTTAATTGTAAAAACATTAATATTTATATTATTATCAAGAAATGAATAGCGTTTTTAATTTGTTTATTAAATTAATGAAGACTAGTCGTTTTTGTTGTTTAACTATGTGTTTTTCGTATTGATTATTTACAATAATTTTCTTATGAAATCAATATTGCTGATAGCCTTGATTGCAATAGCTTTTACAGCTAGAGTGCAAGAGAGAAATCTTGCAAAAATCACAACAGACCTTAAGAAGAGCACATATGGAAGTGCATTACTTCACTTAGTAGAACTCCACTCTATGGCTGGAGGACCTGTCTAAGAGTTGATTGATGCTATTGAAGAGCTTATCAACGATCTTGAAGATGAATTGGAAGAATTAGAATTCAATTTCTAAGTCAGAACCAACGAACACAATGCATTAGTGGTTAGCCTTGAATAAGACATCTAAGACGCTGTTATTGGTAATAATGTCCATTTATTTAACTAGATGTCAATAATACATAAGACACATTAGATAATTTACTTTTCCCAAGAAGAGAATAACTCTAAGTTAGAATTGAACAAATCTAAGAAAACTAAGAGGCCAATAGAAAGAATTATGAAGAAGCAGTTCTTGTAAGAGAATAAGAACATGAAGATTTTGAACTCTAAGTTGCTGAATTAAATGATGCAACTGCTGCAGTCGATGATGCTCTTGCTCTTCTTGAAACACTCACAAATCCATCATTATTATAAGTCAAGAGATTCTAAAACTCATTGAAGAACATTGAATAAAAGATTAAATCCAGATCCAAGATGGCTCCAATGATTAAGGCTCTTATTTCATTAGCTTCAAACTAGAACTTCTCTGATCAAGGAATCATTGGTTAAATCGTTGATGCTCTTAATGAATTCAGAAATGCTATTGTTGATTCAATTAATGCTTAAACAGCTGCTGAAGCTTAAGCTTAAGAAGACCATGAGGAATACCTTGAATAATTAGATGATGAATATGCTGAATTCTAAAGATAAATCAATAGAGTTAATGTTGATTTGACAGCCACCAATGGTATAAAATTTAATTGATAATTTATAGAAAAGATTGATTAAATGACAGAATTCAGAGATTAAAGAGATGCTGACAGAAAATAATACACTGCAGAATTAGAATTAGAGAATAACACCTATGCTGAAGAAACCGATACATACACAAATTTAAAGAATGAATTCACAAGAGAACTTGGAATCAGTGAATAAGCTTTATCTGTTGTCTAAAGTGCTGATTTCTCAAACATTTAAGTTTGAAAGGAATGAATTATTTAGGTTTCTTCTTAATCAAGCACAAATATTTTTTTTCAATTTATTTATTATTTTTTTTTTAATCTTAACACAAATTATCGTTTTTTATTTTATTAAAAATATGAAGTTTATAGTCTTAGTATGTCTTGCTTTGTTAGTCACAGCAAATGACTATGAATTACTTTCTGAATTATCCCAATATGAATTTGGTAAAACAATCATAGCAACAATGCAAATATCCCTTTCAAGTGAAGAGTAAATTCCATGTAATAATAATTGCTTAGCTCAAATATCGATGGAATAGTTCATTAATTGAAATCCATGTAAACTAATGCATAAAGTGACTTAGAAGAAAATACTTAGAATTTAAGACATTAATAAGAACTCTGCAATCTTCGTTTTGATGAAATTTAAGGTGTAATTGATTCAGCTTCAGCCAAAAAGGCATCAGATGAATAATTATTCCCACTTAGATAAGAAGAATTGATTGCTAAAAATTAATAACTTAAAGATAAAGTAGGATAAGATTAAAGAATCTAAGATAGGTTATCTAGTTTAGAAAAGTCAAGAGAAGAAGAAAAAGTAAATATTTTTATATAAATCTCTATAGAAAGCCTTTGAAGCTAAATAAACAGAATCTGTTGAATTTATTTAAGGATTAAAAAAAGCTAAATCAATTGTTTCATAACTTAATAGTTCATTTATATAAGTTGCTGATGTTAAAGCTAAATTACATAAACATTTAGAATCTTTACACAATAAATAAACACCTTATAATGGACTTGTCAAGATGTTAGTAGCAGCATCAGGAGATGAAAATGTTTCAAAAGTTGTTTAAATTATTGATGAATTAATTGAAGTAAATAATATAATCAATATTTAAAGTCTTTGGAACATTTATAAAAAGTTGGACATTAAGGAGAAAAAGCTAAATAAGAACTTTATTTATTATAAAAAGCAAGATATGAATTAGAAAGTAAGACACTTGAAACAAGTTTGGCTGATTTATCTGCAAATGCTGAAAATTTGAGATAAAATTTATTAGAATTAAAACATGATATTGAATCTAAAGGATAATTATTAGATGTAAAAACTTAAGAAATGGCAGATTGGTAAAAGACTTGTGCTGATGAATTGAAAGCTCATCAAAATGTAAGATAATCAAAGTATATCATTTATTTTTTATTATTAGAAATACTGAACTTGGAATCATCAATGAATGCATTGAAATTTTCACAAGCAGATTCAATGATGGAATTAAGAGCTATATTCAAAAACTAGAAATATGATTCAATTTATAGAAAAATCAAAAACATTATTATATTACAATTTATGTGCTGTTATTTAATTTTTAACTTTTTATTATTCTTTATATCTTTTCTTGTTAAAATATATTAATTAACTATTATTATTAAATCTAAAACAATTTAAACAACTTTTTAAACCAACTTTTTGTTTTTGTAAATTAGTTAAAAGCTTGTGATAATATTAAAATAATATTTATATACTTTATTTATTAAAAAATTCATAGCTATTTATCATAGTTATTTGATTATTATACAAATTTGATTTCATATGTATTTTTGATAAATTAGTAAGTACTTTATTCTAATTTTAATAGAAAATTTCAATAATAATGGAATCATGTAAATATTTCATATTATTCTAAAACTTTTATAAGATCAACATAAATTAAATATATTTGAATATCATTCCATAATTATCGAAATAAAATTTAAATTACTTCTATTTTTAATTGGAAAATTATTATGATATATTTTTAAAATATTTAAATTATTTTACAATCATTTAATGACTATTTTTAGAATATATTTCTTTTTTGATCATGAATAAATGGTGTGCTTTAAACAAATAACAAAGATTTTAATTTTTTGAGTGAACTTATGATTTTGTATTTGAAGACAACAATTTTACTTAAATTTAATAAATATCAATAATAAGGTATCAGATTAAATCCTAGTAAGTGAATACTACACTTAAAATAGTTTTACTATTTCAAATAATAGAATTCTAAGAAAACATATAGATCAAATTCATAAATATTTAAAGTTTATATAATAGCAAGAGAAAGAAATATGTTATACACTTAGCCATATTAAAATAATAAGGATAATGAAAAGAAATTATTAAATAGAAATAAGATTAATGTTCATATAAAGCAAAATTATATACTTTTTTAATTAAGTGTTATAGCTAAATTTTATAAAATTATTTAGGAATAATCAATTAAGATATATTTAAAATATCCTAATATTTTATTAATCAGATTTAATCTAATAATAATAGAAGATCAAAATAGAAATTATTCATATATAATTAAATTTGAATTTATGATAAATTTATATGTAATAATAATTATAAAGACACGGAAGTATGGAACCGTTAAATGATCAAAATGCTTAGGTACGTGGAAATGCATTAGATTAAAATTTATTAAGATCAAAGAACTGTATTTTGTGGTTATTATGCTTTTGCTTTTTGTTTTGTACAATATATTTATAAGCGTTATGGTAAATTTGAATTTAAAATTAATTAGTATGATACCAGGACTTTAGGTATGCTCAATGAATGGAATAGAAGCTCCTGTGCCCTTTTAATAAAGCATTATTGCATATTACTTTTTTACATTATTGTTTCTATATATGATTTACTATGCTCTTGAAAATGTGAAACATTCAATTGTAGTTTATATTAGATGGCCTTTATTACTTTATGCATTAGCTGCTATAATAATTGGAGTTATTTCTATAATTTCATCATATAGTCTTACTACAGATGATTTATAAGAAGGATGGAATAAAATGACTTAATGGAGAAAACAATAATATTATGAGAGTTCTTCAACTAATTTATTAGATGAAAACAAAAGGAATCTAATATTAATAAGCATTTATCATTTTATTTATGGATTCATATTTATAGTTCTATTTGGATTATTATTCAATTACTAAACAATAATGCCTTAAAATTGGAGACCTCCTTTTTCATCAAGACTTGTTTTAAGATAAACATTGATTTATAGAGAAGGAATGATATAACAACCAAAATAGGATGATGAAGAAAATTAAGAGAATAAATAAGATAAACCTTTTTAGGATTACAATCAAAATGAGATAAGATAATAATAATAATAATAATAATAATCAATTGATTAATAACCTTCCACTATATTTCAAAAAAAGAATACTGGTCGTCGAGTTTTTGGAAAACAAGTACAAAATTCATAAGTTTAATAATAATCGTAATAATAATCTCAAATACAATAATCTTAAATACCCCCATAACCAAATCCTCATTAGGATTAACCAGAAGAAGGAAATCAGCAACCATTTTGATAATCTTTTATATATTAAAGAAATAAAACTTATAACAGATATAATTTATTATATTATCTGTTAATTTAATGTCGTCTGCCAATTTATTAAATCATAAAAGTGTATTAAGGGAGAAAACTCTTAACTTTTTAAATGTACCAATAGCTGAATACCTAGTATAATAAAATATTATTTTATATAGACTTAATAAAAACCAAATATAGAGGATTCATAATATAAATCATTTTAAAGAAATCTTTAACTTTAAAAACAGATACTAAATGAATAAGATGATGTTCATCATTACTAAACTGAATTATTTACTAAATCTGTTAAATAAGAGAGAGTACCAATAATAGTAAATCGTCCATCTGTTTAACATTTTAAACCAACTCTACCTAATGATTTTGCTATTCCAAATAGAAAATCAGAGACAATTATAAAATAAATATCTAGAATAGATGATGATTTAGATCAATTAGCTCAAATCTTCTATTAACGTAAACTATTGATGAAAGCATATAATGCCTTAGAATAACATGCTGAAAGAAAGAATATTCAGATTGCTGATGAACACAGACAAATTTAGATCTTCAAAGCGTTTTTCTAATAATTATAAAAGAAATAAATGATATAGAATTTTAAGAAAAGTCTTAAACAAAAATGAATTCCTCTATATTTGACTTATTCAATTTATATACACTTTTTTTATTAATTTAAATTTAATATTTTTGTTTACATAAAACTTTAGGTTTTGTTTAACTTATATATAAAATAATAAGTAGATTAAAAAATTTATAATATATTTATACAAATAATTCTCTAAAATCGGATGGAGAATTAAATTTAATTAAGCACTTAGTCACTAGTCATTAACATACAAAATCACTTGATTATTATTAAATAATAAAGATTTATTTGATAATTATCTAAAGATTATTATTATATAGGAAATGACAATAGAATATTAATTGATTATATTAACATTTATTGAAATAAAGATCACTCAATAAGTTACAATATAGAAGAAATGATATGATATTAAAAGTTATTGATTCAAAAACTATAAGAATTAAAATCATAAACTTTTTTATTCCATTAGTTGTAAAAGTAATTAAGTGAAAAATCTATTGTAATATCATTTCTTTTAATTAAGGATTTTTTAAACATTAATTATAGCATCTTATCTAAACTGAAAATTGACTAACATTAATTCTTTTGGCAAACTTTCTTCTTCATCTTAACTATATATGTCATCATCAAGTCTAAATGATTTTATTTTTCGTATTGATGCAAGTTTTGCCTTATAAGTTTCAGAATAGCTTGGTTAATTCAAGCTTTTAAATTTTCCTGGGATTGAATTCTTTGTTGTAAACATTGAATAACTCTCTAAAAATTATTTTCTATAATATTAAGAGTTATCAACGCTCTAATCACTTTCTACATTTTCAGAATCAGATGAAAATTTCATCACTAACTTTTTATTCTTTTAAATCTTGATTGATCTAATTTGTTAGATACTTGGCTCATTTTCAACTTGGCAATTTAAATCTGAGGGGTCTTACATTTTTACTTATATATAAAATTATATTAAAATCTGATATTAGATTGCAATATTTCTTCTAAATTTGAAAATTAATTTACAAAGGAGCATTATCAATTGCTTATTTCAGATAAAACAATTAGATTTATAATAATTAATTGGCGATTCTCTTTTTTAAATTAATTACATAATAAAATTCTTAGTAATCAGTTATATTTTACTAATTGACACTTATCCTATTGTTATCTAACTTTTTAACATATTTCTGATATCTAATCTAAAATATATTATTTATTTAATAATTAATTGATTTAAAGACTAAAATGATTTAATGTACTTCATTTATCATAAATTAGTGATGAATGATGTTTAGATAAAAATATGGAGATTTTAAACTATTTTAGTAAGAAACTATAGTGAAATTTAGTATATGCTTAATGATTTAATGTAAAATTAAGTTATTGATATATTTTATTAATTTTATAATGAAACCTAAAATAAAGAGAAGTCTCAATGAACATAAGAATAGAAATAATATATAAGTATTTAAAATGATTATGAGGTTCCTTTTTTTAATTCATGTCCTGATATGAATAGTCAAAATGGATAGGAGAATAGAATGAAAAAAGTTGTTGCATATTTATATCTAAGAGAAAATTATTCAGATATTAAATAATGTAGATCATTTAGTCAAAAAAGAATAATAAGATATGGTTTAACAGAGGAACCAGCTGATTAGAAGAATGAAAAAACTAATTCTAAAAAATTAAACATAGGTGTAAATTAAATTAAAATTCCAGTACATCATAATTGGAAAAGTAATGTAGAAGACATAAAAATTGATTAATAGTATGAAAATTAATTGGATAAACATTTTAAAACAAAAGAATAATAAATTGATTATTAAGATAAAATAGAATACATGAATTAATATATATAAGAACTAAATGATATGCATAAAACTTAAAATAAAACAGAGTCAATTAAAAGTATTAGAGCTTTACATAAAAAAAATAGAGATGACTTAAAGACATATGTTAAATATAAAGGATAAAGATTTTTTGAAATATTACCTCTTTTAAAAAAGAGAAATTCAACTGTAATAGAATAATTTAATTGTTTTTAACCTATTTGTAATTTAGAATTAAAATAAAAAGAGAAGTATTCAGATGAATTATTCAAACATCTGAATAAAAAATAAGATGTTAAAAATGATTAAGACTAAAAATAATCTAATAATATATGTATTGATTATTAAGATATTCCTAAACTTTCACCTTCATTAAGAAGAACCTTCAGTTAATAAGATGTATTAATTTCAGAGGCTTAAAATTTCAATAAAAATAATTATTTGTTTGAGATTAAAAATGCAAATGAATAAGAAGAATAAGTAAAAGCATATACGATAAATAACGAAGAAGCTAAAGATATGTCTAATTTTCAATAAGATCTTAAAATGTATGTTTCTAAACATCTAAATACTAGTGGTTCAGCTGAAATCTCAGCAATGAATATTACTTAAATGTAGTAGGTAATATTTTATGAAATATAAGAGTTTTATTAATAAGAGGTAAAAGGAATTAAAAAGGATGAATAAGAAGTTTTAATTTAATACATTTAGAACACATACTGAGTCACCAAAAATAAAAAATTCTGTATTCTAGACAACAGCTACATCTTATTAATTTAAATTTTGATGATTAATTATTAATTTTTTCAGTTATGAATTAAGTCGATAATTTACTTAAACCATCTTTGATTAACAAAATATCCTAGCCAATAGATAATAACACAAATAAAGATCTTTTTAATTAATGGGAATAGAAATTATTACAAAAAGAAACATAAGTATCTTCTATCATAATAATTAAGTATAGTTAATAAATAAAGAAAAGAAATTGAAAGATAAAGAGAATTAATTAGCTTAAAAAGAGGATATATTACTTAAAAAGGAATTAAATTTAAATTAGAAAATGATGAAATATTCAACTATTTTAGAATAGATAATTAACTAAAAATAAACTAAATCAGATATTTCATTATTACCATTAAATTCAAATGATAAATCCCATAGAAATAATAATATCAATGAATATTAAAACAGAGTTATTAATTTATTGAACACTATAAGAAGTAATAGTTAATAGTAATAATAATTGATACATTAATAATCTTACATGGGAAGCACTTTAGAATTGACAGATGATAGATTTAATAAGAGTTCAAGAGGATTTTAATTATTATGAAGATTCTTACATAAATTCAATATAAATTATTATAAACAAAAATCAGTAAAAAGAATGATAACTTATATTCATTTTCTTTTTTAATTATAATATGATTTTCCTATTAATGACTATTGCAAAGTCTCTAATTTCATTGGAATTTCTATAAAATAGTTTTATCAATACATGATTCTATAATATTTTATTTGTTATATGGAATTGAAGTCCTAGTTTTATAATTTTCATAAGATTTATCTGGAGATTTTTTAGGAGATCTTCCTCCCCTTTTTGGAGAGCAATTGGATATAAAATTTTATCTTTACACTCTAGAACTTTCAAGAAGAAAGGACTTTACTAATCCATTATTATTTTATTTAGTAAAAGGAAGTTATTTTATTATATGATTAAAAGTTGTTTTAGCTGATTTATAAGGTTATAATTAAATTGTAAGAGTATTCTTTATTTATAACATCTTCTCATTGACTCTTTCACAACTATTATTATTTGATATATTTAAAAATTAAAACTTTTATTTTGGAGATATATCAGAAGGCATTTATTATCTTCTTTTGTTACGTATCATCTAATCAAGGAAATTAGCTTAAATCTTAATATTATCACTAATATTTCTACAACTTTTAAGTGGAGATTGTTGACCCTAAAAAGAATTTACTAATCTTCCAGTAGGAGAAGAATCATTCAATTTTTTTTCAGTTATTTTCTATAAGAGCAATTAATTTTCTCTTTAAGTTTGAATTTGCATTTATTTCAGTTACTAAAATTTTTATTCTTTATAGTTGAACTCTGATACTATAGTAGAGATTGACTCTTCTTAAATAGTATCTAAATTAGAATTATAATGTTTATGATAAGTTGTTATTAGATGATTTATATATTGTGAAGAACAAGCTATATGTTTACATGCAATTTCAATAGCTTTAAGATGATATAATTCACTTAATTTAAATTCTTCAGTATTTAATTCTTTTATTTTTAATTGTTTTGCTTTTTCTAGTTCTATAAATCTTAATTCAGTTGCAATTGTGAAATATGAGATTGATAATTAAATAATCTTTTCCAATAACATTCTTTTGGATATCTCATATAACATTTCACCTTGTTATGAAAATTCATTATGAATTAATGGAGTCATGTGCATAATAAAACTAACATTAAAAGATTGTATCCATTCTTCAACATTTTAAACTCCTAAGATTGAGCGATAATCATCTGGTTTATTATTTATTTTTAATTCTTTACGAAAGTGTTTTTCATTATTTGTTGGATTATTCTTCCAAAAATATAACTACTTCTTAGCCTCTCTTAATATCAATTATTCATTATTAGATATATTATCTAAATCTTAATATTTCAACAAATCTAACAATATGTCATTTCCTGAATTAATTACTAATCTACTAAATTCAACTTCGTCCTTCATTTGAAATTTAGTAATTTTTTACTTTGTTTTATAGTTCATACATGATTGAGTAGTTGCTGCTGATTCTAATGATCCATTTTTGTTAACCCAATCATTACAAAATTTTGAGGCTAATTTAAATACTTCTCTCATAGTTTCTGCTGCTTTTCTAGCTTATTATAGTGCTTATGTATGTCTAATAATTTAATTTGATCTTATTACTTTCCCAATTAGCTCAATATTGCAGTGTGTTATAATGAAGCTCTTGCAAGAAATGATTTCTTCTTAACTTAAGTGGCATCACTAAGTTCTTCATTTGTTATAATATTATCATTTATATCTTCTTCTTTCATGCTCTCATCAAGATTATATATGACTCCAGTTAAATATTTTGAACATTTATCTAAAATCCATTAACTTAATTGTTATAATAAAATATTTACCATTAATAACTGCATGCCTAATTATAAAGTATGACAATAATAAGATTCTTATCAATTTATTTGCCACAACTTGTTGCATACTATTATACTATCTACTTCTTTTACTTCCAACATTTATTCCGATTATTATAACAATTTCATAGCATCCTAATATTTTTATAGCTTAATTTTGATAACTCCTTATTGATTAAGTTAATTAATTTATTTGATGAATTATTCTGATTTTATAGAAGATTCAATATATACCTTAATTTTCATATAATTCTTTTAATCCATTATCTTCAATTAATTCTACTTCTTCATCCTCTTATTACTCTTCTTCTTATTCATATTCTTCTAAATTCTTTTTAGACATATATTTGAAATATATCAATAAGATAATAAAATAATAAATGTTTTGTCAGATATCAAAATAATATAATTTTTATAGATTTCACAAATGCTAAGCAGTTTTCTATTATTTAATTGAGTCGTAACACTCTTACAAATCGATATAAAACTTTTTCTATACATCATTCAAACACCAACTTTATTGTTATTTAAAGAGATCAATATCATCAAGAAAGTTAATATGCAATTATTCTACTTTTTATTTGTTATTGTTGATTTACATTTTCAATTCATCTATCTATGATCTATAATTTGGATTATTAATTAATTAAGTATCTTTATTAATCTATTCTTTTAATTCTTTATATAGATTTATTAATTTAATTGCTTAATCATAATCTTTAATACTTGCTTCCATTCTATATACATATTTTTATCTTAATTTAATTTCATAACTTTCATATATTTTTATTATTGTTTTTAATGTAGTAAATTCTTCAACACCTTAACATTCATTCACTAATTCAATTTATATAATATACTGAATATATCAAAACTATTTGATAATGATCTAGCTTGTATCTACAATTTCTAAACAATTTTTTAAATATCAGATGTTATTATTTCAGTATTAGATTTGTTTTATTCTAATTCTTTCTTAACTTTATATAAATTATTATTATTATTTTACATTCTTCAAATTATTTATCATTTTCATCAGGAATTCTATTTATAATTTAAACAGAATTATAATTATAAAATTTAGAGAACATATTCATTACTGATATCCCAGTATTGATAACCATATTAATCATTGATTAAGATTCTTTCATATTATCAATATAGTGTTGAAATGCATCATAATCCTAATTTATATTCAATTATTACTCTTAATTCTTCACTAAAAAAACGTTCTAGACAATCAATTTATTATAGTTTTTTATGACTTAATATTTTTTACATAAAGTAGACAAATTCTAATTTTCTATTATATTATCTTAGAGAATGATACCTTTTATCTTTATCATAAACAGTTTATTTCTCAGGTAGACTAGGAATCACTCTACCTATTTACTTATTTTGTAATTCATTTTATAACCATAAGAAATGTGTATATCTATATGGTAATATTATTTTAATACCTTCTGACAAATTCATGAGACTTTTTTGTATCTGTTAATAAATCAATTTTAGTTATTGTAAACTTATATTTAACTGTGTCTTTTCCCCTTTTAAATTGAATATTAAATTTTTACATTTGAGCTGTTTCTATTTCAGTTCCAATACATTTAATTTCATATTGTATACGTGTTTCTTCTACATAATTACCTCTTTTAACTACATCAAAAATAGCTTAAGAAGTTGTGATATGATCATAATTGTCTTTCATTTAAATTATTATATATAAATTAATTATCAAGTGAAAAATTTCTTCTTCAAATGAGATTAGGCAAATACTTATTTAAAATTAATCTTTTGATTTTGACAAGTAGTATTACTATTGAAAAAATTCTTAGCGAATGTAAAGTTACAATCATCTTCTTTTTAGATAGAGTCTTCAATTTTTGGTAACTTGGTGCGTTTATTATAATTTTGAGAGATAGATTACTTTACTTCTATTAACTTAGGTTTGATGGCTTCCTGTTAACTTTGAGGTTAAATATGTGACCTTGAATTCTTTTTTAAGTCATTGAAATCTAATCGAGTTTTTGTTTTCTATGATCTAGTCAAAGTATCAATAATCTTTTATTTTTAGTTCAAGGATTTTTTCAAGTTCTCATTTTCTCTAATAATTAACTATATCTAATCAATTGGAGATCCAATTAACATTTCAGTGGAAACTCTGTAGGATTTGAAGGCTCGTAATTATGGAGAAGGTGAATGACTAAGTTATAAAAAGTGATACTTTGAATCATTATCATTAGTTGAAGGAGTGACGAGAGCTTATTTGAGGACTCGAGGTGTTTCAGTAGGTATTGGACCTTTGAACTTAATGAGATAATTTACCTATTTGAAGTCTAAAAGAAAGAGGTTTTGGTTTAAAAAGTTGACAGTTCAACTAATTGAAAGCTCCAAAAGATTTAGAATGATGTTAATCCATTATGATTATATAAATAATTATATATTTGGTCATTGTTTATATTGTTATATCTCTTTATACCATTCTTCAAAAATGTTTTAAGATTCATACTGTTCACATATATATTTGATAAGTTCATCTTCAAATGAATCAATTAATTTCTATTATTTGAAATCTATTTCTAATTTCTATGGGATATCTTTTTTCATATTATATCCTGTGAATTTGATTTCTTTTAAATACAATCCTTATTATGGAGCAATATAAAGAGAATGCTTTTATTAAGAGAAAGTGTCTTAAATGAATTATAAATCTTTTTTCTCTTATATGATTTAATAAATAGTTCCTATCATTTTTCTAATTTAATGATACATGAAACTATTTCCAAGAATAGTGAATTTCAAATAATTCTCATTATGAAAATTGAGTGTTTAAACACTAAATTCTTATATAAATCTTTTTGATGATGGATCATTATATTCTTTTTTTGAAGTGTAATTATGAAAGTTATGTGTTCCTATATATTATTAGCATATTTTCTAAATATCATTCATAGTGGAAAATTAAGGTGAAATATAATTATACATTCTTTAATCTGCTTAATTTTTTACATTAAAAGATTGAGTTACATGTTTAATTCCATTAACTCTAATATCAGTTGGTAATTATGAATTTAATTCATTAATCAAAAGATCCCAATTAATATTCCATTTATCAACTAATTTATTATTAGTCATAGATTAACAATATTTTTAATCAATTTGCAATTTCAAAGAGACATAATTACATAATGCATGTACACCTCGATCTGTTCTTGCTCCTCTACTTACTCCTATTTTTTTAATACTATCTGCATTTAATTCAGAAACTAAATTCCTTTATATTATTCAAAATTACTGTTTTAATAAGAGCATCATATAGTGTTGATTCAATTGTTGGATACGATTATTAATATTGTAGTCCATGATAATTAGTACCAATATATGATAACATTAAAGCCACTTTAGTTTTGAATGATTGTTTAATCATGTAAAATATATCAAATTTTAAATAAATAAAATATCCTTTTTAAAAAAAATATTATGGCTGAATAAGAATCTGTAGCTACAGTCAAATTTGCAAATCAACCTAAATTATTCGGAAAATGGGATTATGATGAGGTTTAAGTAACAGATTAATGCTTCAAAGATTATATTGCAGTTCAAACATCAAAATCACGTGTGTTTGTACCTCATACTGCTGGAAGGTAAAGAGATTCAATTATAATGTTTATAGATATCAAAGAAAGAAGTTTAGAAAGGCTTAATGTCCAATTGTTGAGAGATTGGCTGGAGCACTTATGTTTCATGGCAGAAATACAGGTAAGAAAGTAAAGGCTGTGGCAATAATCAGACATGCATTTGAAATTGTTCATTTGTTGACTGGAAAAAATCCACTTGCAGTATTATCACTTGCTGTCTAAAGAGGTGGAGCAAGAGAAGATTTTACTAAAGTAGGAACTGGTGGTGTTGCCAAATAATAAGCTGTTGATGTTGCTCCAATTAGAAGAGTTAATGAAGTATAGAATTGAATTATAATGAAAGGCTGTTCACAATTTAGCCAAAGGTGTTAGAGAATCAGTATTTAAGAAGATGAAAACAATAGCTGAAGCCTTAGCTGATGAATTGATTGCAGCATCCNAATTTCAAATAATTCTCATTATGAAAATTGAGTGTTTAAACACTAAATTCTTATATAAATCTTTTTGATGATGGATCATTATATTCTTTTTTTGAAGTGTAATTATGAAAGTTATGTGTTCCTATATATTATTAGCATATTTTCTAAATATCATTCATAGTGGAAAATTAAGGTGAAATATAATTATACATTCTTTAATCTGCTTAATTTTTTACATTAAAAGATTGAGTTACATGTTTAATTCCATTAACTCTAATATCAGTTGGTAATTATGAATTTAATTCATTAATCAAAAGATCCCAATTAATATTCCATTTATCAACTAATTTATTATTAGTCATAGATTAACAATATTTTTAATCAATTTGCAATTTCAAAGAGACATAATTACATAATGCATGTACACCTCGATCTGTTCTTGCTCCTCTACTTACTCCTATTTTTTTAATACTATCTGCATTTAATTCAGAAACTAAATTCCTTTATATTATTCAAAATTACTGTTTTAATAAGAGCATCATATAGTGTTGATTCAATTGTTGGATACGATTATTAATATTGTAGTCCATGATAATTAGTACCAATATATGATAACATTAAAGCCACTTTAGTTTTGAATGATTGTTTAATCATGTAAAATATATCAAATTTTAAATAAATAAAATATCCTTTTTAAAAAAAATATTATGGCTGAATAAGAATCTGTAGCTACAGTCAAATTTGCAAATCAACCTAAATTATTCGGAAAATGGGATTATGATGAGGTTTAAGTAACAGATTAATGCTTCAAAGATTATATTGCAGTTCAAACATCAAAATCACGTGTGTTTGTACCTCATACTGCTGGAAGGTAAAGAGATTCAATTATAATGTTTATAGATATCAAAGAAAGAAGTTTAGAAAGGCTTAATGTCCAATTGTTGAGAGATTGGCTGGAGCACTTATGTTTCATGGCAGAAATACAGGTAAGAAAGTAAAGGCTGTGGCAATAATCAGACATGCATTTGAAATTGTTCATTTGTTGACTGGAAAAAATCCACTTGCAGTATTATCACTTGCTGTCTAAAGAGGTGGAGCAAGAGAAGATTTTACTAAAGTAGGAACTGGTGGTGTTGCCAAATAATAAGCTGTTGATGTTGCTCCAATTAGAAGAGTTAATGAAGTATAGAATTGAATTATAATGAAAGGCTGTTCATAATTTAGCCAAAGGTGTTAGAGAATCAGTATTTAAGAAGATGAAAACAATAGCTGAAGCCTTAGCTGATGAATTGATTGCAGCATCCAATGAAGATGGATAAAAGTCATATACAATTAAAAAGAGAGACGAATTAGAGAAAGTTGCCAAAACCAATCGTTGATTTAGATTCATTAATTATAGTACAATACAAATAAACATTAATTAATAAAAATGAGTTCATATATTATAGCAGGCAGTTCTGATAAAGTAGATACAGCTGAAGTATTCTCTATTCTTTTAAACATAATAGTGTGAGAACATGGCCAATCTAATTAGATAATATTATCCAGAAATCTCATTCAAAATTGTATTGAAAGATCTAACTTAATGGGAATAATATGCTGATGAGATATGTAGAATATATGGATTTAAATAAAAAAGTAATCCAATTATATATACAATGGATGGATGTCTAATTGGAGACAGAAATGTATTATAATGCAAATAATTTAGGCATTTATTTCATTAGCAGAGAGTAGATTTGGTTTCTCTGATCCAAAATTAAGATAAGGACCTATTACTCCTGATGTCAATAAGAAAATAGCCAAATAAGAATTGGATCTAAAATTAAAATTATAGAGAAACAAGAAAACATTAATAGAGAAAATAGAATAACAGATGCTTATCATTTATTCTAATAATATTGTATAACCAACAGATGGTGTATTCAAATAGTCATTTAAAAGTGGTGTCAAAGAAAAATTGAAGACTTGGTATGATTCACTAAATAATTTAATACGAACAGATGTCAAACGTAACTTATCAACTGATAGTATTTACTCATCTAGTTTTAGAAATGGAATGAAGGTGAATTCTCTATTTTATTTTAGTTCCTATATAAATTTGATGATAGATTGAGACCAATCAAAAAATTATAAGAATCTCATTATTTTGAAGAAAATAAAGAAACCATATAAGAATCNAAATGGGATTATGATGAGGTTTAAGTAACAGATTAATGCTTCAAAGATTATATTGCAGTTCAAACATCAAAATCACGTGTGTTTGTACCTCATACTGCTGGAAGGTAAAGAGATTCAATTATAATGTTTATAGATATCAAAGAAAGAAGTTTAGAAAGGCTTAATGTCCAATTGTTGAGAGATTGGCTGGAGCACTTATGTTTCATGGCAGAAATACAGGTAAGAAAGTAAAGGCTGTGGCAATAATCAGACATGCATTTGAAATTGTTCATTTGTTGACTGGAAAAAATCCACTTGCAGTATTATCACTTGCTGTCTAAAGAGGTGGAGCAAGAGAAGATTTTACTAAAGTAGGAACTGGTGGTGTTGCCAAATAATAAGCTGTTGATGTTGCTCCAATTAGAAGAGTTAATGAAGTATAGAATTGAATTATAATGAAAGGCTGTTCATAATTTAGCCAAAGGTGTTAGAGAATCAGTATTTAAGAAGATGAAAACAATAGCTGAAGCCTTAGCTGATGAATTGATTGCAGCATCCAATGAAGATGGATAAAAGTCATATACAATTAAAAAGAGAGACGAATTAGAGAAAGTTGCCAAAACCAATCGTTGATTTAGATTCATTAATTATAGTACAATACAAATAAACATTAATTAATAAAAATGAGTTCATATATTATAGCAGGCAGTTCTGATAAAGTAGATACAGCTGAAGTATTCTCTATTCTTTTAAACATAATAGTGTGAGAACATGGCCAATCTAATTAGATAATATTATCCAGAAATCTCATTCAAAATTGTATTGAAAGATCTAACTTAATGGGAATAATATGCTGATGAGATATGTAGAATATATGGATTTAAATAAAAAAGTAATCCAATTATATATACAATGGATGGATGTCTAATTGGAGACAGAAATGTATTATAATGCAAATAATTTAGGCATTTATTTCATTAGCAGAGAGTAGATTTGGTTTCTCTGATCCAAAATTAAGATAAGGACCTATTACTCCTGATGTCAATAAGAAAATAGCCAAATAAGAATTGGATCTAAAATTAAAATTATAGAGAAACAAGAAAACATTAATAGAGAAAATAGAATAACAGATGCTTATCATTTATTCTAATAATATTGTATAACCAACAGATGGTGTATTCAAATAGTCATTTAAAAGTGGTGTCAAAGAAAAATTGAAGACTTGGTATGATTCACTAAATAATTTAATACGAACAGATGTCAAACGTAACTTATCAACTGATAGTATTTACTCATCTAGTTTTAGAAATGGAATGAAGGTGAATTCTCTATTTAATTTTAGTTCCTATATAAATTTGATGATAGATTGAGACCAATCAAAAAATTATAAGAATCTCATTATTTTGAAGAAAATAAAGAAACCATATAAGAATCTAATTATGTTGATGTTGAAGTCAAAGAAGATGGTAAATTAGTAATCAAACAAATATTATGGTTTAGTGAAACAGCCAGATTTCTTACTTTAGAATAAGAATAATTATAATAATAATTATAAGAATTGGCATAATAGAAAGAGAGAGAATAATCTCATAAGAATAGTAATAATATATTATTATTCAGGCATGATTTCACCTGATATTAGAAGAGACACCAATGAATTAAATGATACTAATTCTTCTCCTAAGGCAACCATTCAAACTTAACCAATTGCTGAATAACCAAATGAAGAAGGTGAACAAGATGTCATAAAAAATGAATAGATTGATGATCCATAATAAATTGATTAATAGCAAGAATAAATAAATCCTACTATAGAATAATAAGAATTAGATTAAGTTTAATCTATTGGAGGTGGAGCTATACTAGATTTATAAGAGGATATAGAAACTATCTTAAATACTAATTAAGAGAAGCCTGATAAAATTGATGTATCAGAATTGTATGTTCACAAATTTAGAAATCAATATGCACTCATTTTACATCCATTTCCTTTGATGGATGGTTAAATGTTGTTATGTAAACCTATAGATAATCAAATTGATGATTATAGTTGTATTAAAAGAGGAAGAATAAATTCATATAAGAAAAGTAGTGCATAATCAAATTGTGAAGGATTATATGATCACTAATTAGATATATTTAAATCAATTACTATATAAGATTGTGAAGTTGTTACTAAAATTATAAATAAATGTGATGCTTTAGTTGTTTTGAATATACTACCATAAGATTTAGAATCATTTTTACCATTATCTAATGGTCATTATTCAATTATTTTAAGATAACATGCTGAATTAAATAAAGCTAATAAGAAACTGTTTAAATTCTTAAATGAGAAGAAAGTATAAGTTAATTATAAATAATTAATGCCAATTGAAGAATTTATTCTTGATTAAAGAAGTTAATGTTATGAAGTACAAAGAGAAGTATTTAAACGTACTATTTGTATAATTATAATTTAGTTAAATCTTTGGATATTCAACATTATTTTGCATTTCCTCCTTAGATTCTAACAGCAGAATCTGTTATGGATATAATATTAAAGATTTTATCAATAATTTTGGATAATGATCATAGTAATCTAATATTTTAATATTTAGCTGCTGCTTTGAAAATGGGATTTAATTTATTAATAAGCAAACACATTGTATTTTTATGTCCAACATTTTCCAATTATGATAATATAGATGGATTTAAATTACATCTTCAAGCTTTTACAGCTATGGGCTTTCTAAATCTACCAACAGGAAGTTAATCAATCAATTTCTTTGATTTATTATAAAAAGCACAAGAAAAAGTATAATAATGATCATTAATAAACATTATATATAATATATCATTTGAATTAATATTCTCCACAGTAAATATAATCTATATCATCATCCCATGTAGTATATTATTTGTCTATTCTATATAAATCCAATATTCGAGAATCATAAATGTATTAACAATTGTACAAGGCTTCAATTAAACCAGTTTCATCAATTATTTAATTTAAAAATTCTGGTTCAGTTTTGTATATTTAACTTTATTTAATAATAAAATTTTAGTCATATTTAGTTTATTACTTTTAAAACTTACTTTGTTAATTATTATTATTATCCATATCAAATTCCATTCCTTTACCTCTTCTTCTTTTATTATCATTTTCATCTATTTTCTAATAAGCAATTAATTCATTTTCAACTTAATTTAATATCTCATCAATTTATTCCTAATTAGATAATAAATCTTCTCTATTCTCTAAACCATTTCTATTTGTTTCTTCAGATTACCTTCTATTATCACTAGATTTATCTTAATCAGACATTTAATCACTTACCATCTATCCATCAGTATTAATTCTATAATTTTTCTTATCAATTTGTTATCCATTAGCTGCATATATAGCATTTTTTCTGCTTATAACTTTTGCATCTCTCCTTACTCTTCTTTTTGTATCTGTACCTTTATCACCTGTACCATTTTCACTTGGTTCTTCTTCATCATCTAAATAATTTATATTAGCATTCTTATCTTTTGTATCCATGATATCTTCAATACTTAATTTTGTATATTTTCTAGGTATTTAAGTTTTTGATTCCTTAAAATCTTATTTAATACTTTTGCGTTTCTATTTTTATTAATCAACTTATGTTTATTAAATTTATTATGATTCTATTGGATTAATTAATTTTGATTATCTTGATACTGACACTTTTGTATTTCTATGCTATTAAGCATTTCTTTTTGATTGACTGATTGTTCCAGATACTTCTGATAAGTTCTCACAAGATTACTAAGAGGTTGTATTATATTAATCTTGATCACTAAATTAATCAGACAAAAATTGCATTATCTAACTTTATTCAGCAGTATTGAATGATTCATCACTATTAAATAATAGATTTATTCTATTGCTCTTTTGTAATTTATTAGGTTAAAATAAATTAATTAACATTTCCATTCTATTCTTAAATTCAAGATCAGGTTCTGCTTTTGGTAAAATATAATAATCATTATAATCTTAATTTAAAAGTATGAATTCTTTTCTTAACTTTACTAAGGTAATTACAGCTTGCTTCTTTTCTACTTATCTTACATAACCCTTATGATTTTTCAGTAATTTCTCAACCTAATGATATATTTCCATTATTTTCTCTCTTATTTCAATTCTCTTTGTTTAATTTTATAATTGAGGCTTTTTCAAGTAATTTGGATACAAGTCTAAATCAGGTGCACTTCTGCGAGGATCACGAGATATTATAAAATTATTCTAAAAGTTCTCATTACTACTATTTCGTATACGCTTTAAAGGACTATCTTTATTTTTAGTTGTTGTGGCAGCATCAAGAGGTTTATATAAGCAGTTAAACATTTCGACTTCATTTAGAGGAGCTTATTCTATTTTCATTATGCTAGAATAATGATAATAAGAAGAGTTCTTATGATGAGTTGAATGTAAAGGAGTTGTTGGCTATAAAATTTTAGACATTGGAGATTGAGATGGATTCAAGGATCTAGTTTATGAATGTCGAGTTGATCGTTCACGAATATGACTCATAGCCAATTAAGGTAACTTGATCTTTGTTACTGTAGCTTTAGACTTAATAATCATTATATAAATAAATTATATTCAGATTATTAAATCTAAATGTGATTAATATATATAATTCTTTTTTTCTCTCCTTATTTTCTTCCATCTTCAATTCATTAAAAAATATTAATAATTTACATAAATAAAACTATCCCTAGATAATTTTTGCATTATTAAATATAATTTTATAATGCAAGATTTCAAAAGAACTAAACTTGAGACTTCTTGTATGAAATTTAAAGCCAATTTAATTAGATAATTCATAAAGAACAGAAGATTTCTCAATCATCAATGGGCCAACTGGTACAATCAAGTAAAGTGATCATAAATTTGATGAATAAGCTAGTGAAATATCAGAATATTAAGAAAAGTAAAATTTACTCTTTCATTTAGTAAATCATCTTCTTTAAAATAACCCTTACCTATAATTCAATAAGACATCGAAAAGTCAGAGTATGAATCACAAATAGTAGAATCTTTAGGAGATTCATATCCTGGATCTGAGATTAAAGCACTTATTGAATAAAAAAAGTAAAGAGATCATAAACCTGTATAATAATATATTTTTAAATCTAGATTTATTTGAATATTATGGTTGTTGGTTAATCAGGATTAGGAAAATCAACTTTCATAGATGTTATACTAAAAAAAAAGTTTCGAACTGGTTAAATTTTAAGAGATTCTACTCTTCAAATATAGGAAATATAAGGTATCCATTCTTTTAAAAACAAAGGTCAAATAACTGCAAATGATTTTACTTTGAATATTAAATTTATTGACACTCCTGGATTCAGACATTAATATAGTTTAAGATCTTGGCTGAAATTATTATGTGGACACATTAGGAGTTAATTTAATTCTTACTAATAAAGATAAAATCTATAATATGAAAGCAAAGAGAAATTTTAATAATTATCATAATAAGACTTAGATGAAAGAGTACATGTATGTTTTTACTTTTTCTCTGGACCTAGAATTTAAACTGAGGATTTATAAGCACTTAAGAAGATAAGTGGATTAGTAAATGTAATTCCCATTTTAGCAAAGGGAGACTCTTATACTAAAAATGAGATTATCTAACTTAAATAACAGTTTAATGATTTGATAAATGAATATCATATTGATTTGTTTAAATGCTAATGCAACAATAATTTAAATGAGAGAAGTCAATTTGGATCTACACCTCCTTATGTAATTATAAGTTCGGTAGAATAATTTCAAGTAGGAAATCATCTTATATATGGAAGGTAATGATTGATTTATAGAATTTAGAAAATTTCCATGGGGAATCTGCGATATCTTTAATCCTTAACATTCAGATTTAGCAATATTATATAAATCATTAATTGGCCATTATTGTTTAGAATTGATTCGATTAACAGATTTCCTATATAATAATTAAGTATAAAAAGAGAAATAGAAAATGAAAATGAAATAATAAAATAAAACTTGGTTAGCTAATTTGATAAGCTATATATTTAATCTATGAACTATTTATAAAATATGTAATAACATTATAAAATAATAAATTAACATTTATTTATTAATATATAATAAATCAACAATTAGCTGATGGTTACTCTTCTTACTTTTATTCATGTGAATCCTTTTCCTTTTCTTGTTTCAAATAATTTAAATTTAATCTATGTGTATTTCCAGGAGTATATTTAGGACTTATCTATTTTCCACTATTTTATTTAGGTTTCGGATTTGATAATCTCACTGGTCTATCAGGAGTCCAATCTGGTACTGTTCTTGGAACATAACTATATTAGGCTAATTTTTATGATTAAAAGTCATCCAATTTATATCTATTATATTATTCAATAATACCTTATAGATTAAACTCTCTTTGATACATTTTAAGAATCAGTATCCACAAATGATTATTTATTTGATGCATTCTGATATAATCTCTTAGATGTAACAAAACCAGCTAAGCCTTATGAATTTGGTTTATCATATGTTCTTATTTACTATCTTTATTCCTTTTCATTTTAAAATAGTTCAGAAATATACGATTAAAGATCTCCTTTCATTCTGTTTGCTTTTTAAGATTTTCTTTCTTCTTATAATTACCTTTCTTCATAAGGTGACTTTAATTATTATTAAGGATTAGATGCATAATTTCTTAAATTTTAAGCTGCTTTTTGTGGAGATATTTAAATCTAAGATTCTACAATAAAAGAAGATTTAACGGATAATTGACTATTTCCTAACGAACCCTTATTTTATAGAGTACTTTAAAGTAAATTACCACTACTTCCAAAAGCAGCCTTATTTCTAGAATATGCAGGAGTTGAATCAATATAACTTCGTTTAGCTTTTGATGGATTAGTACTTTATTCTTCTTCATTATTTTTTTATTGTAGTTTAGTAACTTAAAGTTCTGATTATTTGATTTCAGATTTCTTAGCTAGAAATTGTGCAAAACAATCTTATTCATTTTAAATAACATCTTATTTTTCTTTTTATTTTTATCCTTCATTTACTAAATTATCTAATTTCTCTTATAATTTTTCTAATGTTTCTATTGGTTATACTTTTTTATTTGGTGCTGAATCCAATCCTCTTGAAGCTTCTTTAGGCATCTCTCCATTATCCAACATAGTCAATAGTTATAGTTTTTCATTTATGATTTGTAATTTATGATCATTTTATTTTTATTTATATTCCCATTATTCCCAAGCTTTAGAAAAGTTTTCATCATTTAATGTAATGTCTTTAAATACTTAAGTTCTAATTAAATATAATTCAATTATCTTACAAATCCAATCCTTTAGCATAATCTCCAAAATCTTCAATGGCTAACACATCCTTCCCTTCCTAACATAATGATTTAAAAGCTTCTGCAGGATTTTTGAATTTAGATGATAGATTTTTCTTTAATTATACCCATTAATTTAAAATTGCTTGACTTTTCTCAATCTCTTACTTCTATTAAGTTAACTGTTCAATTTCAGACATATTAAAATTTATTTCAATTATAAATAAAAATTTAATTCAATATATATAGATATTTAGTTTAATTATTTTTTTACAGTGAATGAATATCAAATTATGTTTATTTTAGAATGCTATAATTATATTTAAGTATTCTATTTTATTTATTCATTATAATATATATATTAATAATTGCTTAAATTATAAGTCTTAGAATAATGAGAATTACAATAGAAATCTATTTCATTTTGAATTCAATATTATATATGAATAGACATTATTGATATTTATTAAATAAAAAGAGATATTTAAATAAATATAAAAAATATAATGTAGAGCACAAAATTGGAGCGAAATTTTGTAAATGAAAATTTGATTTCCAAATATCTAAAGTGTATTATTTGTTCTGCTGTTTTTGATGAACCAACTAGATTAAGATGTGGGTATTATTTTATTTTTGATGAAGCCATACATTTTGTAAATTATGTATTTCTTAATGGTTAAATGATCATTCAACATGTCCTGAATGTAGATCAGAAGCTAAAAGAAAGAATTTTCAAAGTATTTTTTATCAAAACAATTTTTTATAGTTGACCGTATTGCTGCAGGAATAATAAGTGAATTAGATGTTTATTGTTCAAATAAAAATTATGGTTGCAAATGGAAGGGTGTTATAGATAGATTAGAAAGTCATCAAAGAAAATGCACTGCTAAAATGGTTGCAGAATAACTTAATTTGAAAATTCAATCAAATTAAAAATTTGATGATGATCATGAACTTGTTTATCAAAATGATCCAGGGAACCTTGTTACAAGAATTAATGCTAATTTAAAGGATAAAAAAGAAGTTATTGATGCATTAAAATCATCTAGTGAAAATACAAAAGATAATAATTTAGAAGATGATGATCCATTAGCATTTTTAGATCAATTATAATAATTCTCAGATGATAATCCTTTAGAAGAAATGAGAATGATTGATTTCATTGATTAAGATCTTCCTAAACAATGTCGTGAAAGAATAATATCATAATTAAATTAATGATAATCTCATATATTTGTTATTTCATTATATGAATTTAATTTCTTAATCTGAGCTCTATTATCCACTTTTAAATTTTCAAATTGAATAATAATTAGATCTGTTAATACTTTTAACTTATAAAATTATATAAACACAATATTGATGATTCTTTTATAATATTATACTTTTTACAGAAATTGTAAAAATAACAGAGTTTTAAAATAGTTAAATTTATGATCAATTAACAACATCTTAAATTTATAAGTAAAAAGTATATTTCAATTAAATGTTTAAGCAGATAAAAAATATACTAAAATCTAATGAATTAAAGTTGATATCTATAGTAAAATACATCTATATTGTAATAATATTAAAGTATTTTATTTAATTGTTTAATTATTAAGGAAATAAGTAAAATATAATCTAGTGTATAGCTAAAATGTGCATATATGTATTAAGAAATATGTTTATAATTGAAATTATGATAGTCTCTCTATATTAATTATTAATATTATAATTAATTTAAAATACTATGATAATATCTATATTCTTTGTTATTCTTAGTTCTAACTGTATGAGATGGATTAAATTTCTTTTTTAATTGGTTTAAATAAGGTGAAATAAATGATTTGATTTTATTTATTTATGAATAATAATTAATTTATGTTAATGACTTAAATTTTCAATGTCAAATCCTTTAAAAATCTATAAACATCAATTATTTTTAGTATAATTAAATTGCTGACAACAATAAATAATTATGAATAATAACTTTTTGCACATACACAACATATTAATTTTTCAAATATATTTATTAATAGTTTATAAATATATTAAAAATACCCGGGAAGAATGTATATAGAAGAATTTTCTAATTAACTAAATTTGGATCAAGAAACATTAGATAAAGCTAAATTAGCTATGCAACAATTTTCAGAATAAGATGAAAAAGTATATTTGATTAGAGAATATATAGATTTATGTTCCAGCTGTAGTTTATTTGTGTAGCCAAAGCTGCCAAATTCAATAAATAGATGGATAGACAAAATAAGGCAATGGAATTACACTTACATAAGTATATTAGTAATTATATTGTAGATCATTCGTAACTTGGATCCCTAAGTTGATATTGAGTAGTTCTTAATGGTTTTATAAGACCTTCCTACTCTTCTGAAGTGTCATTCAACTGAATTTGATAATGTAGTCAGATAAGCTAATTTCAGCTTTAGATTATACAAAAAGTTTGACAAATGTTTTAGTCTCATCCAGTATTTTGATAATTTTTATATTTTTAAAGACCTGTACAGAATCCAAGTTAAACTCCATAATTCAAAAAAGAAGATGATTGTGATCCTTATATATTAGACTTAAAAAAAGTAGCTTGGATTCTCTGTATAATAGTTCGATAGAATATTTTACAATATGAGGAACAGTTAGATAAAAATTAGTTAATTATCTGTGATCCAAATACTAAAGTAATTTTAATTTTAGTTGGATCTTTATCGATTGTATTTTAAAATTTACCAAATACATTCACATAAAATGTTGAAGATATTTCACAAAAAATGTTATCATTTTTTTGTAATGATTAAAGAGAAATAGATGAAGAATTAAAATATTATTAAGATTTGTGTTTTAAATGTATAAATTAAGTTGTAAATATGATGCAATATAAAACTAAAGTATTAGATATGTAATAAGAAACTTAAGAAACTCAACTTTCTGTATTATTTGAAGAAAAAACAATTGATTAAACATATAGAAGATTACATAAATATTATGAAAAGACTAGAAAACATTCTGATTTAGATGAAGAATGTTTTTTAAGATAAAGAATTGTATTTACACCTAAGAAAGACATTAATAAATAAGTAGATTATTCAGAATTTGAGACATTATAAAAGAAAACTAAAATAAAAAGTGATCCTCCTTTTATGTAAACACCATTGAAAGATAATAAATTCTCTAATACTTAAGAAAAAACATATTTTGATATAAAGAAAAATGCAATTCCTTAAACTCCAATTAGTAAATGTATGGAATTACATTAATGGATTAAAAAAATAACTATGTAAACATATAAATGTTTTGAAGATGATGATGAATAAGAATTTTATAATTAGGCAACTATAAATATTAGAAAATATTTTGAAGTTACAGAATCCTCTAAATCTTCAAAATAAAATGAATAAACTATATTAACATTATGTCTTGCTGTCATTGACTCATTAATGAAATCAAATGAAGGATAATTTGATTTGAAATTACTTAAAAATTATAGATTTCAATTTGCTATTTTAGGTTTATCTTTATATACCTATTAAATTGTAATCTAAAAACCTAATTTACTTTAAAACATGAAATAATTATGCACTATTTTTGAGATAAGTCCCTTAGATTTATTTAGAGTGATAGCTAATTTTGCTCATTTTCATAGATAAATGCCATCTACTATAACTTCATAATTATTTGAATTAGAAAAACATATACTTTTTAATTTGATGTGGTAAACAGATGCTGAAAAACTAGTTGAAATATTTAAAGATAGTATTAATATAATATATATATATATATATAGATTCACCAAAATATTTTGATTAAGAATTAGTAAGGAGATTCTAAAATCATTTAGCTTTAAGAGTAAAAGAACTTTGTAAAATACTATAATTAGACATTCATGATTTTGCTTATTCAGCAATATGTGAATTTATGAAGAATCCTAAATTAGATGTATTAAAGGATGTAATATTTGACACTGTGATCATTTGCACATTCTATGTCATATAAAAACATCAAAAATAAAGTCCATCTTTTAATTCTTATAATAAGGTAATATATATATAATAAATTATAATAGCTTTACACTTAATATTATTCATAATAAAAATAAGTTTTCACAAGAATTGTTGAGTATTATAATGAAAGATTTTTGAGTGGATTTAGAGATATTGTAAAATCTATATCAAATGCTCAACCATTATAAATACCTAAGAATTTTGAATGCCAAAGTCCATTAATAATTAAATAAATACCTGTATCTCCTAATTATAGATAATAATATATTGCTACTCCAGAACCACCTTCCCCTCAAAAAAACTTTATGCGTTCATTGATGCAAAAGATAAAACCATAATAATAATAATAATAAGCATAATAAAAATAATAAGACATTCAACCTTTTTAAGATTGATTTTATATTTAATAAAGCAATCAAAGAACTTCTGCTAAGATATTTTGATTTCTCTCCATTTCCTTTATAGCTGGTCTAAATAACTAAAATTGTATTCCTTGTAACATAATTCCCATATATGTCAAAATAACTCTTTCTGTCTATACTTTCCATATATGAGTATATTGTAATTTCATTGAGTTATTTTAACATAACACTCTAAATTACAAAAATGATTACATGCAAGTGTAATACAAATATAAAAGAAAAATGGTATATAATGCATCTGAGTAGCTTTCTTCTTCTCTAAAAAACTATTCGCATAAGCAAAATAAACCACATTTAATAAAAATGATAAATCAACTAATGTTTCATGTTAAAATAATTAAGTTGGCATAGCTTATAGAATTATTTCAATAAGTAAAAGTAAATGAGCAATTTGTCCTGCTAAACAGATAGTTGCATTAAAATTCATTTTATGTTACTTCTTAGTTAAAAACGGCAATGTTCCTATTTATTTATTTGTAAATGATCTCTTTATAATTTCTGAGATTACTATACCCAATATACAAAGACAACACATACAAACCTCTTACTTAAATTAATAACTTACAACTAATCCAATATTGTATGATAATGGATCATCATAAAAAAAATAAATTCTATCTTCTTCTGGTAAATTTGATAAAGCAATCAAAAAACTACATATACTCAAAGAACAATATATAGTAGGTTAACTACTTAAAATCATAGTCTTTTAATTTTAATGTTTTGATTCTATTGTTGAAGAAAATAAAGAAACTCTATCATCTGCTAAAATATCATAATTGTATGTCTCTTTCACCTCTCTTTTTCCATAAAATGCAATGATATCGTCCTTATTCATCACAATTTTTTCTAATTATGTTATTTAATAATATAAACTATTTATATATAAACATAATTTGTCTAATTCTTAATTATGAAAATTAAATATACTCTAAAAACTAATTATATATCAACGATGTTTATTTAATAATATATATCTACCTGGTACACTTAAACCTAAAAGACTTGTAAAACCAATTATTGACATCTAGGCATATTTAAAGTATTTTTATTTATCCTATTCATAATCAATATAATAATTGTATTATCTCAAAATTAATAATCCTGATAACAATAGACTAGTTGTAATAGGGAAAAAAAATCCACTTATTGACTTATTAATTAGATATTGTACATAATTTATAAAATGAGCCATTTAATATTCAAGAATATCTTTTTAGAAATCATTTGGCTTTTATAAAGACTATTAAAGACTTTGAATTGTCCAATTTGCTTAAGTGAATAGACCTGTCATTGTTATTATAACAATTCCATGAGATTTATTTAAAACTCCTTTAATCATTTTGGAATAAATAATTATTTCAATTATTTTATGTTTTATCATTTTTTTATACTTATATGAATTTAATTTTAAGTTTGGAAGGCTTTTTGATAGTATTGGAATTAAGATCTTATTTTTCTTCATTATTTTCCTCTATATTAGTTCCAACTTATAATTCAACAGGAACATATACCTAATTGAATACAGGTATACATTTCTTAGCCTCATCTGAAGAAGATCTTAAACTGTTATTATTATTTTATTATGGTACTAATATTTTTTTAAGTATAGGTTAAGGTTATATATTTTAAACAATCTTATTTAAATCTAATTTCTGATTAAATCTATGTTGTATGCAATTTCCATTATTTTATGGTTTAATTTATAACTATTATATATTTCCTTTAATATCTCTGTGATTTTATATATCAATTTATTAATGATGATGTTATTATTGAATATGTTTTTCTAATAGATCTCCTTTAGAAAATGACAATTTACATTTAATGCAAATATAAATTTCTAGATCAGCCAAATGTTCATTTCTAATATGATTAAGACAATAGTGCTAATTTATTATGATTTAATGACATTCTTTACATGTTGAATCTTTTTCAAAATACAATTTAAATAATCCTTGATGAAGTTTCATATATAGATCATTTTTATATTCTCTATCACAAAATAACTTTAATGCTTCAATTTGATTTATTGAATCTTATTTCATCTTTTATTTGATGTGATAATAAAATCGTGATATTAATTTGCGTGCTGTCTATTTTATATCTAAAACTTATTCTTATTATGGATCTTCTGTATTAATAATTACTTCTACACTAGTTTCATCATTTATAATGACTATAGGGTTTTCAATAGTCTTTGATTTGATTACATCTGTATTTTTTTAGATATTGATATTTGATTTATTATTAAGTGTTTGAAATATATACAATTTGTCATTTAATTTTGAAATGTTCTTATGGCATTTCTTTATTTTGGTTAGGATCTAAGTTTTATTAATTTGAGATTGCATTTTAATATATTAATAAATAATAGTGAAATTTCAGATTTCATATAATCAAATAATATAATGTAAATATTATTTTTATTAATAATAATATGCACGTTAAGATTTATTAAAAAAAAGACATCTAAATTAACAAACCATTATTTAATATATTTATTATTATTTGTAATTTTTACAGATATACCAAATCAAACTTGTCAATATTACTTTAATTTAAGCCATTTAGTATAAATACATTAATTAAACATTCAATCAAAATAGTTTCTCTATGGCTGTCTTTGGTTCTCTATATTTCGAAAATTCCCTCAATTTAAATGTAGATTATAGAACTAATCTACAATCTGGAGCTGGTAACACTTATTCAATTAAGAAATCATATAAATATTTTAATTCTTTGTCTTCCTGATTATCATAATATGGAATTATAGGAATTCCGTTTTCCAAATGTACACCAAAAGAATAAGCTGCATTATCTATTAAAACTATATCTTTTAAATCTCTTTTAAATATTCTTAAATCCTTTATATGTACTCCTTCAGATGATAATACACATCCATCCCTAAATACTTATGCTGAAAGTAATTAATTATTTGGATCTAAATGAGAAATCACTTAACTTGCATAACATTAATGAGAGGCAGTAAATACAATCACTTCACATATTTTACTAAGTTCTGTTAATATCCATTTAGCATAAGGACGAACATTTATTCCTGCAGAAACTATATCACCAGAAGGGAATTTTATAGGTAAATAAATATCAGCTTTAAGAGATTAATTTTCATTACAATGAATTAAGGTCTCATCTAAATCAAATACTACTGTCTTCTTAACTATTTGAATATCATTATTAACTTACACTTGCAATTTTATTTTATAGGTAGATCTAATGATTTTTATCTTAAGACTTAAGGATCTGGATCTTACAAATTCAAACAAAAACCAATACAATTAAAAGTCTAAACAGCATGATCTTTAAATAATTATTAATCAAGTGTTTATGGATATTAATGTTTAAATGTTTCTATAAGAGATGTTACATAGTATATAAATTCTAATTTTATTATATATATAAATATTACTTTTCTATTTTGATGATTGAATTCTACTTGAAGGAGATAAAGATTTTGTTTATTTCAATGGAGAAATCAAACTTTTTGCTGGTTTATTAATTTAAGTAACAAAATCATCTAAACTAACTTTTAAATTTTCTTTTTTTGGTGGATCTTCTTTTTTATTTATTTGAGATGTTATTTATTAAACAAATTATTAATTTGATGTAAATCTTTAATCAATAGATAAAGGATTATATTTTTTAACTTTTTATTATTAAGTTACTTATGGTTAAATTTTTTAAGGTAGAATTGGTGTTCCAGACTTCTCTAATTAAGAAAAATTACGATGTAAACTATTTTTTGGTTTTGGTGATACTTATGAATTGTTTTAAATTTTGATTTATTATTCTTTTCCATTATTTTTTTAATATAGGAAATATTTCATCTTAAAAATATAAAGCATGTAATAATACTTCTTAAGCACTTTTACAAGATTATGGTGTATTATTTCTTTGAGTACCAATTTATATTAATTACTATTATTGTAAATGTTATTAAATGAGTTCACGCTCTGCATTTTTTGTTTACAATTTACCCAAATTATACATTTTTGTTAAAACTTGGAATTGCTCACTATAGAGTTTATTTTTATGTGAATTACGTTGTAATATTGACTTTGACTGGCTTCATTTCTTATCTAGGTGTTATTGATTTTAGATTTTGCATGTGTTTCTTAATAATTAATTTTATTTCTAATGAAATTAGATATATCTTTATTAATTGTTTAAAAAAATTATAATCAATAATAATTAATCAATGTCTTCATCACTTTCNCCAAAAGAATAAGCTGCATTATCTATTAAAACTATATCTTTTAAATCTCTTTTAAATATTCTTAAATCCTTTATATGTACTCCTTCAGATGATAATACACATCCATCCCTAAATACTTATGCTGAAAGTAATTAATTATTTGGATCTAAATGAGAAATCACTTAACTTGCATAACATTAATGAGAGGCAGTAAATACAATCACTTCACATATTTTACTAAGTTCTGTTAATATCCATTTAGCATAAGGACGAACATTTATTCCTGCAGAAACTATATCACCAGAAGGGAATTTTATAGGTAAATAAATATCAGCTTTAAGAGATTAATTTTCATTACAATGAATTAAGGTCTCATCTAAATCAAATACTACTGTCTTCTTAACTATTTGAATATCATTATTAACTTACACTTGCAATTTTATTTTATAGGTAGATCTAATGATTTTTATCTTAAGACTTAAGGATCTGGATCTTACAAATTCAAACAAAAACCAATACAATTAAAAGTCTAAACAGCATGATCTTTAAATAATTATTAATCAAGTGTTTATGGATATTAATGTTTAAATGTTTCTATAAGAGATGTTACATAGTATATAAATTCTAATTTTATTATATATATAAATATTACTTTTCTATTTTGATGATTGAATTCTACTTGAAGGAGATAAAGATTTTGTTTATTTCAATGGAGAAATCAAACTTTTTGCTGGTTTATTAATTTAAGTAACAAAATCATCTAAACTAACTTTTAAATTTTCTTTTTTTGGTGGATCTTCTTTTTTATTTATTTGAGATGTTATTTATTAAACAAATTATTAATTTGATGTAAATCTTTAATCAATAGATAAAGGATTATATTTTTTAACTTTTTATTATTAAGTTACTTATGGTTAAATTTTTTAAGGTAGAATTGGTGTTCCAGACTTCTCTAATTAAGAAAAATTACGATGTAAACTATTTTTTGGTTTTGGTGATACTTATGAATTGTTTTAAATTTTGATTTATTATTCTTTTCCATTATTTTTTTAATATAGGAAATATTTCATCTTAAAAATATAAAGCATGTAATAATACTTCTTAAGCACTTTTACAAGATTATGGTGTATTATTTCTTTGAGTACCAATTTATATTAATTACTATTATTGTAAATGTTATTAAATGAGTTCACGCTCTGCATTTTTTGTTTACAATTTACCCAAATTATACATTTTTGTTAAAACTTGGAATTGCTCACTATAGAGTTTATTTTTATGTGAATTACGTTGTAATATTGACTTTGACTGGCTTCATTTCTTATCTAGGTGTTATTGATTTTAGATTTTGCATGTGTTTCTTAATAATTAATTTTATTTCTAATGAAATTAGATATATCTTTATTAATTGTTTAAAAAAATTATAATCAATAATAATTAATCAATGTCTTCATCACTTTCATAATTTATAATACATTTTACAAGTAGTTCTAATTACATTAATTATAAAATAGATATTATCTTCAACAAATCTAAGTCATTCTAAACTTCTTCAATTTCTATACCTTAATATATCTTATTTGATAAAAAATATTCTTTATACCTTAAATAAACAGCATCAAAATTATTATCATTTAATGTTATAAATGGTTAATAGTGTTATTAGTAAATTTTCATAACATTCTTTAATTAAAATTCTATTATTATTTATCTTTATCCATTCTAAACTGTATATCAACAATTGAAATCTCATCAAATCTATATATATTATTTTTAAGTATCATTTATTTATTAGTAGTTTCAACTCAAATATTAGAAGCGAGCATTTCTTTTATTTTCACCCTTAATTTTAATGAAATAACGCCCAATAAGAAACTTACACTATCTATATAAATTTGACAGCCTTTTAATTATAACTAAATTATTTAAAAATATTTTCCATTAATTAACCATCTCTTATTTTAAAAGCGAATGACAAAAAACTTTTTACTATTCTTATAAATTAATTAATTATTTTATTATTTAAAAATAATATAATCGATTAAGATTACCACATTCTTTTTAAAAGAATACTTAATAGAATACAAGATAAATATTTAANATCTTCTTTTTTATTTATTTGAGATGTTATTTATTAAACAAATTATTAATTTGATGTAAATCTTTAATCAATAGATAAAGGATTATATTTTTTAACTTTTTATTATTAAGTTACTTATGGTTAAATTTTTTAAGGTAGAATTGGTGTTCCAGACTTCTCTAATTAAGAAAAATTACGATGTAAACTATTTTTTGGTTTTGGTGATACTTATGAATTGTTTTAAATTTTGATTTATTATTCTTTTCCATTATTTTTTTAATATAGGAAATATTTCATCTTAAAAATATAAAGCATGTAATAATACTTCTTAAGCACTTTTACAAGATTATGGTGTATTATTTCTTTGAGTACCAATTTATATTAATTACTATTATTGTAAATGTTATTAAATGAGTTCACGCTCTGCATTTTTTGTTTACAATTTACCCAAATTATACATTTTTGTTAAAACTTGGAATTGCTCACTATAGAGTTTATTTTTATGTGAATTACGTTGTAATATTGACTTTGACTGGCTTCATTTCTTATCTAGGTGTTATTGATTTTAGATTTTGCATGTGTTTCTTAATAATTAATTTTATTTCTAATGAAATTAGATATATCTTTATTAATTGTTTAAAAAAATTATAATCAATAATAATTAATCAATGTCTTCATCACTTTCATAATTTATAATACATTTTACAAGTAGTTCTAATTACATTAATTATAAAATAGATATTATCTTCAACAAATCTAAGTCATTCTAAACTTCTTCAATTTCTATACCTTAATATATCTTATTTGATAAAAAATATTCTTTATACCTTAAATAAACAGCATCAAAATTATTATCATTTAATGTTATAAATGGTTAATAGTGTTATTAGTAAATTTTCATAACATTCTTTAATTAAAATTCTATTATTATTTATCTTTATCCATTCTAAACTGTATATCAACAATTGAAATCTCATCAAATCTATATATATTATTTTTAAGTATCATTTATTTATTAGTAGTTTCAACTCAAATATTAGAAGCGAGCATTTCTTTTATTTTCACCCTTAATTTTAATGAAATAACGCCCAATAAGAAACTTACACTATCTATATAAATTTGACAGCCTTTTAATTATAACTAAATTATTTAAAAATATTTTCCATTAATTAACCATCTCTTATTTTAAAAGCGAATGACAAAAAACTTTTTACTATTCTTATAAATTAATTAATTATTTTATTATTTAAAAATAATATAATCGATTAAGATTACCACATTCTTTTTAAAAGAATACTTAATAGAATACAAGATAAATATTTAATTTATAATAAAGTATATTTTATATTGCTTATATTAATAGATATCTATTTAATATCTTTGATTTATTTATCTAAATATAAGTTAATAATTATAATTTATTATATAAAGATTATTTAAATAATATTAAAAATTGAGTATTTAATATACTTTAAAAAGATGTATTAAGATTCTAGAATATTTTTTTATTAATTGTGTAAGTAAATTAATAATAAATAATAGTTACTTAATTACAAACACAAGGACTTCAAAAATAAGCTATTAAATGTTTAAATAAAGCAATTAAGTTCAAATAAACTGATATTTATAACTATGGATTAAAATGTATTTTATTGATGAAATGTTAGCTATGTATTTAGAATAAATAGGTTTAATATAAGAAAGCATTGATTGTTGGGATTAAGGAATTGAGAATAATAAACATAATATTTTATTTTACATAGAGAAAGGTTTTAATTGCTTTTCAATATTTTAAGCTAAAACATTATAGAAGTATGGAAAATTAAATGAAATTATTTAATGTTGGGATCAAGGAATCAATATAAATTGCAAAGATTCGAATTTTTATAGAGAAATTAGTTATTTATTCATTTTATTATATAGTTAAGGCATTATAAAAATAAAATAGATTTGAGGAAATTATAAAATATTGTGATAAAATCATTTAATTGAATTCATAAGCTATGGAATTTTATAATGACAAAGGTAAACAAAAATATTTATTTTATAGCTTGGGCTTTAAAATAGTTGAAAAGATTTGATAAAGTTGTAGATTGTTGGGCTGAAGCAATAGAAAATCATTAATCTTATGCCCCTTTTTTAAGTTAACTTGGTATCATTAACAATTAAACTTTAAAGCTAAGGCATTATAAAGATTAAATAGAATTGAAGAAGCAATCTAAATATTTAATTAAGGTATATTGAAAAATAAACACAACATCAATTTTTATTTTGAAAAAGGTAAATTATAGTTAATATCTTAAGCATTATTCTTAACATAATTGTAGAGATTCACTGAAGTTTTAGAATGTTGGGATTAAGGAATTGAAAATAATATATAGATAATTGATTTTTATGATGAAAAATGTATGATTAAAATATTACTCTATAGCAAAATTTCTAGTTGAATAAGGACTTATAGAATAAGCTCTTGAATTGTGGGATTTGGGGATTTCTTATAATAAACATAATATATCATTTTACTATTTTAAAAGTAAAATTCAATTAATTATTATGATTAGCTTCTCTCCTAGATGATTTAGAAATGAATGATGAAGTTATTTAATGCTGGAATAAAGGGATCGAATTTAATAAAAGCGACGTAAGCTTTTATAGAGAAAAAAGTATATAATAATTATTACATTATATATTAGCAAATGCTCTATTTAAACAAGATAGATTTTCAGAAATCTTGGAGTGTTGGGATGAAGGAACAAAATTAAATAGGAATAATTAAAACTTTTTCTTTTACAAAGGTAGAAAATAATTTTATATTTTACAAGCTTAAACTTTAAGTTAAAATGAAAGATTAGAACAAGCATTATCATGTTGGGATTAATTTTGTAGTTAAAACTTAGAAGATATAGATCATTATTAATAGAAAGGCAAATTATTATTATTATAATTTATTAGCTAACATTTTAATTAAAATGAAGAATTATAAAAAAGCTATTTTTTGTCTACGTTTTTCAGAAAATGAAAATCTATTAAGAAATTTCAAAAGGAATTTTTGAATATATATATTCTAATAAAATATACAATAATAATATTATGTATTATATATTAATTTATTTAAAATTTAATTAAAAATAATTACTAATATAATTTGTTTCAAAATGTTCTCTTATGAATAAGTGACATTTTTCCTTCAGGATTTTCTTCATACTCTTATTTATTGATTGCTAAAGATTAAAATGTCTTGAGTGATCCAAGCATAGAACCACCAATCCAAGCACTATATTTTCTTTGAAAATCAGCAACAAAGTTGAATTCTGATCTCATAGCACCTCCTGGATAAATTTAACAAATATCATCTTGCAATCTAGATATCAGACCTTAAAACATAGAAGTACCTCCTCCAAGTACCATATTAGAAACTAATTCTTATCTTAATTCTTTATCGCATCTTAAGATTGAATTAACAATCATTTAAGGCAATGAAAAACTATTTTTATTTACAATAGCAGAATTGAATAAAGCTTCTGAACAATGATATCTAATTTATGGAGTTATATGAATGACTTATTCATCTGGTAATTCATAACTACGCTCTTCTTCTGTAAAATTATCTTCTGAATTTATCTTAATTTATTAAGGATATATTAATTACTTGCATTTCATAATCACTAGCAATATAACACATCTTTTCTTTAATATCTTTAATAATCCATAATTTCTCTTCTTCAGAAAATTTATCCAATAATAATTCATAGGCTTTTAAATCATTTTCCAAACATTATGTGATTTCAGCACCAGATATATGAGAAAATTCTAAAGCATGCATAATTGGAAATCCTTAATAAATAGGAACAACAGTATTAACAGCATGTCCTAATTCAATTGATAAACCACTTAAAAAAAAGTAATTAATTTAATTACCTGACTAATCCAGTTGAAAATAATGATAAACTTGCTGAATTCATGAATAAAACAGATTAGACTTTGAGATAATCAAAAAAAACTTCAGCAAGCTTTGATTTGTACTCTTTACTATTCTTTACTTAATCGATGATTAATAAATTGACTTATTACAATTCAGATATTTATAATCCATCTTCTAGAATATATTACCAAAATTCTTTCATTGATTCAACATTATCAATTTTCTAATTAAATATAATAATTATAATTTATACTCCATCTTTGATTGGATTTGATAACTGTACATTTAACTTTTTTTCTTTAACGACTTTCTTTAAATCTTAACCAAAAAGAAGCTATGGTTTATTGTTTGGATTGTCATTGTCATTTTAAACTGAGTGTGATCCACATTTATTATCATAGATAAGCTATTAATATAATAGATTCATTATTACTCTAGGATAATCTTCTCCAGAGATTCCAACTTTGATAGTATCAGTACCATTATCAATTACAACAATGTCTTTTTAATCGTATTCACTTTCCATAGTGGCTCTCTTATTAATTTTCATTTTATATATAGTTAATATATATGATTATTTATAATTATTCAATGCTAATGTTATTGATGAGCAGCACCAAAAGGATTCTAATCGTGTCTCTAAAATATAAATAAATAAAATTACAAGAGATGAATAACGTCTTGCTAAACCACCTGAGGAATGATCACCTTTTAATGCAATAATTTTATGTTCAGTTTCCATTGGATTTATTTCTTTGCTTCCACATTCACAACACATATCTTCCTTTATGAATTTAAGGAAGAAGCATCCAATAATTGATATACATCCAAATCCAATACCAATTAACCTTAAATATATTAAAATATAAGAATTTACCATTATTGAATTTTAAGTCCAAAATTACCATAAAGACCAATAGCTTTAGAACCAAATGTAACCATAAGGATTTGTATACAGAAAATAACAGGCACAATTATCATGAATGCAGAATGTTTTGATAATCCTTCAAAAATGTTGATTTCATCATTAAATCTTCTGCTGTTAAGAAAATTGAATAATTGAAGCATGATGAAAACATTAAAGACATAAGTAAACTAATATATAATGAATTAATAAATACATGACGAGAAGGTTCATGAGAATCTTCAAAGAATACAGCATAATCTCTACCTCCTTCAGGAGTATTCAATCTACCACTAGCTATTATAGTGCAACTAGTTTCAAAATCACATTCTTCACACATTATTTCATAACATTTTTTTTCATGACATACACATTCTGATGATAAACATGTTCCATCCTTTTTAACATCTCTTGATTCAGTAATATCTGGTATCAAAGTTAATGGTCTACCACTCTCTTCAGAATATTTCTTAAGTTCATCATAAGTAGTCTTGCATAAATGATCACTATATTTATATCTTTTTTTTATTCCTCTAAATGCTGTAAGATCATATTCATCAGGATATTCTGGTAAAAAGGAGTCTCCAGCAAACACTATAATTAAAACAACAGCTATTTATATAATTGCAGTTCCAACTATGAATTTAAACATCTTTTTAGAGATAATGTATTCATTTCTATCATGTGGTTTACGATAAAGTAATTTCTCAGTAGGTGGTTCAGTGGCTAAGGCAAGAGAACCTAAAGTATCCATAATCAAGTTCACCCACAACAATTAAATTGGTTTCAATATTTCTTGACTCAAAACAGCTGCTCCAATTAATGTCAAACCCACACTAACTAAGTTAGCAGTCAATTAAAATCTTAAGAATTTTTTGATGTTATCATAAACATTTCTTCCCCACATAACAGCTTTAACAATTGAATTGAAATTATCATCCAATAGAATAATAGCAGCAGCCTCTCTTGCAACTTCAGTTCCTGCAATACCCATAGCAAATCCAACATCAGCCTTTTTAAGTGCTGGAGCATCATTAGTACCATCACCTGTAACAGCAACTACATGGCCTCTTTCAATTAAACCTGTCACTAAAGCATACTTATCTTCAGGTCTACTACGAGCCAATACATCTAAATGAGGATAGATTTTATCAAATTCTTATGGATTTGCAATAGTATCAACTCTTACATCCTTATTTTCCTTTTTTGCAGTAGTACTATCTCTTGCACAAGGGCAAACTGCTGTTCTGCATTTTGTGCATACAACTCCTCCAATCTTAGCTATAAAGTCAGGTCCTTCCATTACAATAGATTAATCATCACCAGGTGTAATGATACCACATTCCTTAGCAATAGCTCTGGCAGTCATTTTATTATCTCCAGTAACCATTCTAACTTTAATTCCTGCTCTTCTACATAATTAAATAGCTCTTGGCACTTCTTATCTTAGAATATCTTTGATTCCCAAAACTGCAACTAATGTTAAATCACTTTATTCAACAGCATAAACACCTTTGTTATCTTTTGTTGTCAAATCTTCTCTTGCACTGATTTCTTTATATGCTAAACAAATAGTTCTTAATGCTCTGCCAGCCATAGTTTCAATTGATTTTTCTACCTTTTATTTTAATTCTTAATTCATAGGAACAATAGATCCATTTCCTTTAGAATGATATTATGAACATGCAGCCAAAACCATTTCAGATGCTCCTTTACATACTAATCTACGTCTTCCTCCATCTAATTCTAATACCATTGACATTCTTTTTCTTTAACTACTAAATGGGAATTTAGTACTAGCTGGATATTTCTCTCTTTATTCTTCATAATTCATAGAACATCTTTCAATAAATTCAAGTAATGCAATTTCTGTTTTAGATCCTTTAGGTTCAGGTCTAAGCATAGCTGATCCATTAACAACTGCACATTAAATAAAGAATTCCTAAAAGTTTTATGGGAAATAGGATGTCAATTATTATTTTTCAGAATAAGTATCTATTTCAATGATATCATCATTCCACACATTAACAAGTGACATTTTATTTTGAGTCAATGTTCCTGTTTTATCTGAACAAATCATAGAGGCTCCTCCCATAGTTTCACAAGCTGCCATTTTTCTAACAAGATTCTAATCTTAAAGCATCTATTTAGTAGAATAAGCTAATGATAGAGTAACTGCTAATGGCAATCCTTCTGGAATAGCAACGACTACGACTGTAATTCCAATAATAAAGTATCCAATGATAGTAACAACCATATAATTTTCCCAATCATCATTTATTCCTCTTTCGATACCAAATCTTAAACACATTACACATACAATCAATATTGCTGAGATCAATCCAAATTTACCAATATCTTCAGCTATTGCTGTTAATTTCATTTATAAAGGAGTTGCTATTAAATTAATAATTAATTATTACCTTCTGGTTCATCTTATCTTAATAAGGCTGCAATCTTACCAGCACAAGATGAGTCTCCTACTACAAGAATAAGCATCTTGCCTTCTCCACTTAATACTCTTGTTCCACTCATCATTATTGGAGATGGAACATCATGATGACCTGCTGTATTCTAATATATAAATTATATTAATATTTACTTATGCTCCTTCTTCTTTTAATTAGTTCCTCTTATTAATACATTCACTCAACACATTTTTCTTGATTGGATCAGTTTCTCCTGTCATAGCACTTTCATCTGATGTTAAATCTGATGCCTCCAATACAAAACCATCTGCTGGTATTTCCATTCCTTCGAATATTTATACCACATCTCCAACCAATACTTCACTCATATGAATATCACATTTCTTTCCATTTCGTACAACTGTAACTCTCTTTCTCTCATCAGCAACTTCATTTAATTTTTAAAATTATCTTTCTTTTTAATAATCATTCACAGCATTTGCATTTGTTGATATAATCACTGCTACCAATATTGCAAATCCTATTTTATTTAAATTATTAAAATACCTTCAATCCAAGCTATTTATCTGTAACTCTCATCAGCAGTTGTAACATCAACTATAATACTGATCACGGCTGCTACACATAAAACCTTCATTGTAAAATCATTTAAGGCCCCTAGCCACAACTCACAATACCCTTTTGGTTCAATTTTTGGTTTTCTATTGTGTCCAAAAGCTCTCTCTCTCTCTGCTTGATCTTGCATTGTCAAACCTTATTTAAAATCTGTACATAGTCCTTCCTTTCATACTAATTACATCTTATACCTCTATCAATTTCTCTCCAATTTCTTCTAGTTTGTCTACTTCCTCAGCAAACACTCTTTCTTGACACATATAAGCAATCGAACACAACGTTTGTTTAGCTACTCGAAATTTTCCATATGGTTCAGTCCCATCGTCTTTTAATTATTCCTGCTGCGTCATCGGGTCATCGTCAGCCATTGTTTATTATTATTATTATTATTATAATCTTTTTATTTGAAACCATATGAATATGAAACAGTTATACATTAAAAATCATGAAAAATATATATTATGAAATTACATATTTCTATTCTACCTCAATCTTAATGTATTCAAAGACTAGATTAATTAGAAAATTTCTAATTGAATTTCACTTAACCAGAAAATACATATTTTTATAAAATTACTGGTTTCTAAAAATTCAGAATTTTAATAAACAACCTTTACTTTAATTTATTTTTCTAAAATGTTGTTCAATTAAAATATTCTTTTATATATATATATATATGAATATCTTATTCCTTTATAATCAATATTTGATTAACCTTAATATCTCTAAAATTCACTCCCTATAATACTTTGTAAAAAATGAAAAAGCTCAAATTCTTTATTATTAAATATAAAATTACTTAATTCTTTTACAATAGTCATTGAATTATATGTCAAATTTGGTTGCAACCATATTCTTTACAATTATTTCAATACTTATAATATATAGTATATAGATATAAGATCATGATATATATTATGTAGGCTCTCATATAGATAAATAATATTTTTGGTGATTTTCATTTAGTCATCTAATTAAGATAAAATTAAAGAAGTTTTGATAAGAATAATAATAATTCTTTTAATCATTTTATTTAAGTAAAAATATATCAACAATTTATTATTAGTACATCTTCCTTTAATATACCATATGTATATATTTCAACTAAATTGATAAAAAATATATACAATACTATTATTTGAGAATCGTAAAGAAGATTAATTAAGATAATTCATAATTAACTAATTATTATTAAATAATGAGTTGTGTTTTTTACATTAAATATTTTGTCTGAATAATAATAAATTTTAATATGTTCAATTATACTAATATTGGATTTCTATCCCTCAAAATAATTGCCTTTCTTTGCATTTTAATTGGATATTTTATGAACTCATAAGAATTAAATAAAGCTTAAAAGAATACTGGAAATCCATTATTCCTTGATAAAAAAGATTTTTTTTATTATGTGTTTAGCAGAATTGTTTTGATTGTCGATGAAAGTTTTACAGGATTCGACACTAATGATGTATATTATCATATTGATTCATAATTCAATATTAATTATGAAATTCTTTATAATACTGTCATACATGGAATAAGTCCAATTGCATAATTACAATATTGGAATATCTAATACTAAACTTTAGATAGTGTTACATA